TGCACCCCACAGAGCATGTCTTAGGATGAAAAGAACACTGTAGTGCATCCGTGGTACTTGAAGAATGCTGCACTGTAGGTACCTGACTGCTATGTGTCAATAGGGTGACAATGAAACTTGACCTATCTAAATATACTCGGCGGAGTCTCCATTGTATGATCTGATGGCTATAGCACAGATCTTGTTATTGCATTTGACAGGACGCAAAGGGACCCTCATCAGTGAGCGTACTCCGAAAAGGGCGGGATAACATTCTGTCGTACCGAGTCTTATTGTACCAGCCACAAGTGAATACGCCAAGCAAGCACCGTCGCATGACCTGAGAAACTCGCTGTTGGTGATGTGATGGGGAGAAGAAGTTCAAGGTGCTGTACGCCTCGACCAATCGCCAAATCAAATCAAATCAAATCAAATCAAAGTGCTAGAATTCTTTCTTGTCTCTGACCGTGTTTTCGGCTCCCGAGCGGTTGAACCCGTTCTTGTGGGAAAGGGTTTAAGTATTGATCAGACCATATTTGAAGCTTAAAAAGCCCCTCAACGAAGAAAAAATCGCTTGTCGTATCCCCATTCTTTGTTCAAAATCATGAACTTGATCTTGGCTCTGCCTACAAGGGTGTCGTTGGTCAAGTATTCAGTACCGGGCCCGGACTAAAACCCCGGGGTGATTTGTCTGGGGGAAACTGGAGACTGTGTGACTTCGCACGTAGCACAAAAGTACTGGTCCTGCAATTAGAATTGATTATGGAGTGTGAAGGGACTTGTCTCTACAGTTTGGGGAGAAAAGGGAATGCGGTGCTAGGCCGGGGTAAGCGCTGCATGGCGGCGGCGCTGTTGAGGGTTGGAGTGGCTACGTGCGGGATACAGTGTTTTGACTGTGCTCTTGGCGTGAATTCTGGAGTGAGGTGAACTGCAATGTTCATCCGAACATCCTGAAGGAATTTTTGGTGGAGTTGCTGATGACCCAAGCACTAAAACACTATCAATAACTCTAAAGCCAGCATTAATTATCGTGAGGTTGGAAGACATAATGGCTTGCATGAGAACAACCTGATTCCGAATCCGAATTTTCGGAATGTAAATCCATACTTTGTTCTTACCGCGGAATATTACCGAGAGTTATCACCCTTGAATTGAGATGCATGAATGCAGCTAACAACGGACTGTCCTCGGGGCCCGAAAAATGACAAGAGAGCTTCTTTGTTGCTCAATACCTATCATCCCGTCTTTTGCGACAATAATGTTAACAATACCCCCATTCTCAAGTCTGTGATATGTAAAATCCCATCATAAAATCCTCATAAGTAAGGTAGTTCAGTACCACCCACTGCCACACAATTCTGTATACGAATTTCCTGATTTTCTTGCATTTCTAGCCTGCGTACGACATGAAACTATGGCTTGGTCGTTTATGAGCTGAAAAAAAAAAGAGAGAAGCTCCCCTGTTTCTCTCTCAGGTCTTGCTCGGACAGGGACCGTGTCAATGTGACTCAGTTTCAGATTCGGGGAACTCAAGACAAGCTCGAGGGCAGTGCTTGGATTGCTGCGCGTGCTGTGCAAGGTGAAAATAATGTCCTGAACCGTGATGTTTGTGTAATGATATTAGAGGCCTTTTTTGAAGGTATCCTTTTGCTGGAGAGTTGGGTTGATTTTGAGGGGGATCGCACTGTAGACTCGCTTAGCTCAGCCACTCTACGCTCGTTCCAGCATGAAGAACCCACTGGTATGGCTTGACGAGGTTCCAGTGGCTGCAGGTCAGGGAGCCAATGCTGAAGCTTGACTGGAAGAGGAATGGTCAGGCTTTGGAGGGATGATCATTTCTGCTTTTGCCTCCTTGTCTGGAGATGGGAGTCTCTCGCCATTCACGTCTGCCCCTCTCTGTGGTCTTCCTTTTGAGTCTCTTCTGAGCGCTGAGTGGAAGACACTTTGAGCATCAAGACTCAAACTTACTATCGACCCTACTATTTCATCTATTCTACTCCTTTCTATTTTCACTTCTGGCTACGTACCACGTGCTCTCTCCTCTCCTTTTAAAGACTAGCGAAGCATTGACTTTGACCATTACCATACCAAAAGGTATTCCGTACCCAGTGCGAGGACTAACACTACAACGGCCAGGCTAGAAGGTCGACCAGTGGCCAGTCCCATCCAAATATTACCCACACGGAATCGCCCAATGTCCCCCCGTTGATCTTCTCAACCCTTCAACCTCCACCAAAATCTCGCCGACCCGGAGCCTTTCGCTCTTGATACCTCTGACCCTGGATTGACGACTTCAACACCCGACACCATGGCCATTGCCATGGGCTGGCAGAAACCCGACAATGTCGCGGGCTCGTCGGCGCCGGCCATCATGGTCGGTCTCTTCGTTGCCTCTGGCGGGTTGCTGTTCGGCTACGATACTGGGTAAGACTGACCACCATTTTCTTTTGACTTTGAATGCCTTCGGAGATGGATGAATCACGACATACGATGGTCGAATATGCTGCACCGACGATGTTATTCATGCGGAGGGAGATGCTGGGACCCATCGACGATACTCATGTTCGATTTTGACGATGCGACGACTGCGGCGGACTCGTGTGACATGCATGACGAAGCCATCACCACATATATCTCAAAAGAACGCAAAGCAATATCGCCGGAGGAAGTGCAAGAAGGAAACGCAACAAGGGCGATATACGAACCTCCCACGAGAAACTCGACTCGATTCTCCGACTACCGACATGTCCATACCAGCCCATTTCATCGCGTCACATCATTTTGACAGCCAGAAACTAACCATATCTCTTTACAGAGCCATCAACGGCATCCTTGCCATGGCAGAGTTCAAGGAGCAGTTCGGAAAGCACACAAATTGCCACGACGAAAAGGGTGCCCTTGACATTTGTACAAAAGACTCATCTATTATTGTCGCCATCCTCAGCGCTGGCACTGCCCTCGGTGCTCTACTTGCTGCACCTACTGGCGATTCTCTAGGCCGTCGCAAGACCCTTCTTGTGGCCGTGGGCATTTTCTGCCTCGGCGCCATCTTCCAAGTTTGCGCTAACAACATAGATTTGTTACTGGTTGGGAGGTATGTCCACCTCATCCTCCATATGGAAGACAATGTCGTTAATATGTTCCTAGATTCTTCGCTGGCGTTGGCGTCGGCCTCATCTCTGTCCTTGTTCCATTATATCAGTCTGAAATGGCACCCAAATGGATCAGAGGTACTCTCGTCTGCGCATATCAACTATCAATCACAATTGGTCTCCTCTCCGCTTCTGTAGTCAACATTCTCGCCTCCAAACTCAACAACTCCTCCGCATACCGTATCCCTCTAGGTCTTCAGATTGTGCCAGCCATTATCCTCACCGGCGGTCTATTATTGTTACCAGAAACACCTCGATTCCTTGTCAAGAAGGGTCTTCACACCGAGGCCGGTCTCTCACTCAGTCGACTTCGACGATTAGACATTACACATCCAGCGCTCGTTGACGAATTACAAGAAATGATAGCAAACCACCAATACGAACTAACATTAGGCCCTGACAGTTATAAAGACATCTTTATTGGTTCACCACACCTTGGTCGACGAACATTTACTGGTTGCGGTCTGCAAATGCTTCAACAGCTCACCGGTATTAACTTCATAATGTACTACAGCACGACCTTCTTCGACGGTGCCGGCGTCGAAAGTCCATACACCAAATCGCTTATTATCAACGTCATCAATGTTGTGTCGACAGTACCAGGCCTGTTGGTCATCGAACGTTGGGGTCGACGGAAGCTTTTGATGATCGGAGCCCTTGGAATGGCCGGCTGCCAACTCCTCATGGCGTCATTCGATACCGCGACAGGGCAGAGTTATGAAAAAGCATCCCAGACCATCCTCATCACATTCTGTGCCATCAACATCTTCTTCTTTGCTGCATCTTGGGGACCCGTGGTGTGGGTTGTAACATCAGAGATTTATCCCCTCAAAGTCCGTGCAAAGGCCATGTCGGTTTCAACAGCGTCAAACTGGCTTCTCAACTTTGGTATCGCCTACAGTGCGCCTTTCTTAGTTGGATCAGGACCAGGCAACGCTTCCTTTGGACCAAAGATTTTCTTTATTTGGGGCGCCTTTTGCATTTTGGCGGTCTTCTTTGTGTGGTGTAATGTGTACGAAACAAGCAAGATCAGCCTGGAACAGATCGACGAGATGTACGAACGAGTGAATCACGCGTGGAACAGCAAGTCATTCGAACCGAGCTGGAGTTTCCAACAGATGCTCAACGATGGTTGGTCACCGAGCGCCCAACCACCTGCAGGTCACGAGCTGCAAACAACGACGACTGCATCAAGCGCAGACACAACTTTGGGTGACGGTGATGCATCATCAATCACCGTGAATCAGAACAATAACAACAGTTCATCGCCTAGTAACAACAACAATGACCAGAACAAGGGTCCACCGCCGATGGCCATGGCCAATGTCGACTTCAGCTATTAGGCTCTATGTCGCCGAATTGTTTGTCTATATTGCGTGTCTTTTGCCTGGACGTCACATAAGGAATCAGCGATGGAGTTCATGACGAGGTGGAGTTAGTGGGGTTTACGCGTTATTGTCATGTCATGGTCATTGATTGATTTCATTGTCATTTTATATGGATTCTGTTTCTTTGTTTGTTGCCCATCACATCAACTCAAATCGTCCCTCAGTTTGGGGCTACGGATGGACTGTCGGTACCGGGGACTTGGCTGGGTTGGATACCAAACTTGGCTCTTGGACATCTTTTTCATGATTTACCTACCATCTTTTCAGGGAGTCACAGTGTTTTATGTCGTCGATGAATGGATACCCGGATACCCTGTGGGCAGCGGCTAATTGTCGAGAGGAGCGAAGGTGACGGCGCATGGCCACGGATGGATTTCTTGGGGTTGCAGAAAGGACAGCGCGTTCGATGATCGATCTGATTACCTGTCGGCTACCAAATACCAGCATTTTTTGAACATTTACACGCTTCTACTGTCGTCCACCAATCTCTTGTGACGTAAATGAACTCTGCCGCTGGGTTACATACGCTGTTGACTTCACTTGTCACCAGCGAACATGCCCCTGTGCACTAGGTCACTAGAAGTCTATGACCTTGTTCTTCAATCAGGCACCGAAACTGCCTCGCCCTTGACTCTGGTCACTGTTGACAATACGTAAACAGTCAAAGCGTGCTTTGAGCAGTGCCGGACCTGTCTCTCACCCCGAAGATAAAAGCTTCCCATACTCCCGTTCTTAGCCTTTTCTACCTAACAAGCTTTCTTTCCCACAAACCTTCTAACGTCTCGCACAAATCTGCAGTTGACACCTAAGCAGTCTATAATCTTATAACTTATATCACTACTTCTTCTACTACTTCCATCTGCTTAGAGGAACCTCAGCGACTTAACGCCTATATACCTTTGACAGGTTCGGAGATACGACACCCATAACATCTCTATAAACACTCCCTGCCTCTCTTGGACATCTGCCCAGCATGTCGGACATTTCTGACGCCTTCGACCGCGTCCACCCAGACTTTGTCGACTTGTTGATCCGTAGCAACCTCCTCCCCGGCGAGGCAGGTGACGGCCTCTCGGAGTCAAATCTGGCCAGGTTAATTTACATTGCTCTAGAACTTGCAGAGGAGGACGAGCAGATTTTCCTGCTCTCTAGAATCATAACTGAGGATGAGTTGGCCGTTGAGCGACTGCGCAGCCCCGAAGTTCGCAATACCCACCACCGAGTCGTGCTGGATCGCGTCGAGAGAAGGGCTGCTTTTCGCGATGCCGCAAGCGACCCTGCACCTGAACGAGGAAACGGCGAGGACTGCCTTATTTGTGGCGAGGACGCTCACGTTAGAGCTCCCTGCGGCTGCAACTATTGCTTGACTTGCTACCGCGAAGCCATTCGAGTCGGTCTTCGTTCCCAAGAAGAGTTTCCTCCCAGATGCTGCCAGTCTTTCGATGTACAGGCTATTGAACTTGCACGCGCCCCTGCTTTGGTTCACCTTTTCCGTCAGATGCAAGAGGAAGCTGATGTGCCGATCCACGACAGACTATACTGCCACGACGGTAATTGCGCAGCGTTCATTCCACCTCATCGTAACGGGCATTGTTTGTTCTGCGATACGCACACATGCCGCGACTGCGGTGAGCGAGGCCATCCAGGCCAGCCCTGCCGAGAGGGAGCCGCTGAAGAAGATGTCTGGGCTACCATGGACGAGAACCGAACAGTGAACTGTCCCGGCTGCGGCAGAATGATCGAGCTCGCAGAGGCATGCAACCACATGACATGCCCCTGCGGCCAAGAGTTCTGCTTTATTTGCGGTCGAGAGTGGCATGCACACGATTGTCCCCCCTATGGTGGCTTTCACCTTATGGTGCCCATGAGGGATCGTCCAGGTAGGAAGCCACCGCAGTTTCGTCGTCGCCCACACCGTACGGAGGAAGCGGCAGCGGATAGGGCTGATGCGATGTTGAGAATCCCACAGTTGCGTCCTATGCCTGGTGAAGAGGAGCGAGTTCCGCTTAGAATCGGGGGGCCACAGAGAGTTATTCGACCTCTGGTGTTACCTCCTCCTCAGGAACCACAGGAGCAACGCCGTCGTGGGGAACATCATGGACGGGAACTTAATCATGGAGAAAGGAATCGAGGTGCATATGAACATGGGCGAAATCGCAGACGAGCCGAAAGACGAGCTGGTGGGCCAGCAGAACCACGCAGAGTTGAGCCTCTAATGGTAGGTCGTCCACACAACCCCCCTCGCAATCCGGAAATGCCTGGAAACATGTTTCGCAGAGGTGGAGATATGAGAATAACTAACCAGATTGTCGATGTACAGCGCCGATATGCGCCTGAAATGCGAATGGAACGCCAGCGCGAGGGTGGCCGTGTGGTCGTCGATGCTATCATGCCCGGCATGGGCCGCATGCAGATCAACGAGCAACGCATTGAGAGGCCACCGGCAAGAGATGATCGCCGTCCTCTCGGACCTCATCCAAATGAGATGGATGCACCTCAGATAGACGGGCCTCGCCGTGACATGGTATACAACGTGAGACATGGGTTCTGGGAGGACCTCGAGCCTCAGACCCCTCTTCCTCTGGACGCTGAGGACAGGCGCAGAAACAATGATAGACTTCTTGCGATGAATCGCGAAGCGGCTCGCCTGGCGCAGAATCCACCCCGCCAGCAGGGCAGGAATCGCGAAGTCGAGTATAATGATCATGATTATGACGAAGTATTTATCGATTCCGATGATGAGGTATACGGTGGCCCCGGTTTCGGCTGGGATCCTCGTGCTCATGGTTATTGAGCAAGGTAAGGGAGATGTCATTTTTGCAAATCGCACCGTCTTGAAGTTACAGAGCTTGGGCGCAACTCCTAACCTGGCCTCCGTAGAACTCTGCTCCTACGCCAGTCGAGGATTGGTATTGCAGTCGCGGTAGAAAAGAGGTGGGAGGATGTATTGGACATTCTGTAGGGCCCATTGGTGTCTAGTATTCGATTGATGGGGTTGCTCAAGATACAGTGATCTTTGGCGTTTGAGGTGGATACGGGGTGATGCAGGATACAAGAGGGAATTAAAATTTATGGCAGTATTTTCTTTTCCAGATTGTGTTTGACTACTTGTTTCTACATGACCGATGATTCTCAAAGTCTACAATTCTTGCTCATGAATTATGCAACTCGTCGATGATAACCCGCGCAGCACAAGGGCCGATCTATAATATTGACATAGGGAGCCCGCTCCAACAGGCTCAATATGGTAGACACAGCAATTCCCCGTGTAGGCACAAGAGAACAAAGGCACCGAACAACTACTGTTGATAAAGACATACAAAGACACGGGCTGTTCATTTTCTACCATCTTATGTAGTTACTAACCCTCACTTAGAACTCTTGCCAAGACTCTTCTTGATCTCTGCCACAACTGCAGCCGTGACCTCCTTAGTAGTCGCCTTTCCGCCAAGATCTTGTGTAAGGACACCTGAAGCAGTGACATTCTCAACGCACTCCATCAACTTTGTGGAGGCTTCCTCTTCACCTAACCATGCAAGCATTTCAGCTGCTGTCCAGAAGGTAGCTACTGGGTTGGCGACACCCTTGCCAGTGATGTCGAAAGCAGAACCGTGGATGGGCTCAAACATAGAGGGATTCTCACGGCTGGGGTCGAGGTTGCTTGTTGGTGCGATGCCGATTGAACCAGCGAGGGCAGCAGCAAGATCAGAGAGAATATCAGCGTGCTAGAGTCTGTCAGTTCAATGTCTTCCAAGGAGTAGGTAGTGGACTTACCAAGTTGCTAGCAACAATAGTATCGATGCTCTCAGGCTTAAGAACCATCTTTGTAGTCATAGCATCAACCAACATCTTCTCGACAGTGACCTCCGGAAAGTCCTTGGCAACCTCTGCCGCAACCTCATCCCACAGCACCATACCATTCCTCTGCGCATTGCTCTTGGTAACAACAGTCAAATGCTTCCTGGGTCTCTTCTGCGCAACTTCAAACGAGAAGCGAATAAGCCTGTTAACAGCGTGTCGAGTGAAAATAGCGACTTCTGTGGCAACTTCCCAAGGGTGACCGCGGTGTGAGCGACCGCCTTGGCCGGCGTATTCACCTTCGCTGTTCTCGCGGATGATAACCCAGTCGAGATCACCGGTTTTGCAGTTGCGAAGGGGAGATTGTGTGCCGCGCATGATGCGTGTTGGACGAACGTTGGCATATTGCTGGAAGGGCTGGCAGATTGCGAGACGAAGACCCCAGAGGGAAATATGATCAGGAACATCTAACAGCATAAATAACAAGTTTATCAGAATGTTCAGTGAGACTTACCAGGAGCTCCAACGGCGCCGAAGAGGATAGCATCGTGCTTCTTCAACTGCTCAAGACCACCATCAGGAATATACTTTCCAGTCTTTTTGTAAGTATCCGAACTCCAATCATAGTGAGTAAAGTCAAGATCAAAAGTCTGAAGAGTATCGGCGAGAGCGTTTAAAGCCTCGATACCAGCGGAAATAACCTCAGGACCGATTCCATCAGCTGGGATGGAAGCAATGCTGTAGGATTTTATGGCGGTGACTGCAGACGGAGACATGATGAGTTTGTAGAGACTTGTGATGAGAATTGAAGATGTTGATGAGTTGTATAAGATAGATATGTTATACTTATATATACAAAGATGTCGGATTGAGAGTATGTTAGTCTTGGCTTTGTGTGGAGGTGGGCGGACTTGGAAATGTCCGCCGCAACATCACATTGCCCGGACCGGGTAAGGAAGTGGGCGGTACTTCAAGTCCGTCGTGATTTGACGCTTTTCCGTGAATAGTGGCTTATGATGCGGGGAATGTTTGTCCATCATTAAGAAGAGTTCGGAAGTTGGCTATGAGGGACTTTTCTTTTCTTTGTCTTCTATGATATCTCGAGGGTTAATTTGTTTATCGATCACTTACTTTCTCCTTGTAAATGTAATCACGAAAGCCCCAATATCTTACAATACCTCACCACCATGATTGACCCAAAAGCCATTAATGCCGTCCTGGACATCTTTGTCCCTGCAATCCAAGCTCGTCGGAAGAACTCCTCAAGGCCATTCGTTCTAGGCCTTTCTGGCCTTCAAGGCAGTGGCAAATCAACATGGGCTGCAGCTCTTTCCCAAGCTCTCACGAATCAACACAATCTCAAGACTCGCATGTTATCCCTGGATGATCTCTATCATGACCATCCAGAACTTGTGGCCCTTCGAGAAGCGAACCCAGATAACGGTCTTCTTCAAAGCCGTGGCCAACCTGGAACTCACGATGAGGTTCTAGCGAAGGACTTCTTCGATCAAGTTCTTGGGCGAGTTGAGAGTGATAAGAAGGTCGTCAAGTGGCCAGCTTATGATAAGAGTCTTCACAGCGGTCAGGGTGGGAGGGTTCCAGTTGAAAAATGGGAGGAAGTTCCACTGAATGAGGGCCTTGATGTTCTGATCTTTGAGGGCTGGGCTCTTGGCTTCAAACCTCTAACTGACGAGGAAGTCAAGAGAAAGTGGGAGAAAGCTAAAGCGTCAGAAGCACAGCAGTCTGAAGAATGGGCTCTTACGAATACGCTGGCGAGCCATGATCCAAGTCACCTTCTCCTCATCAACGAGAACTTGAGAAGATACTGCGAGACATTTTCTGGACCACAGCACTTTGACGGGTTTCTGCATCTGAGTACAGATAGACTCGTCCAGGTTTACGAGTGGAGGTTAGGTCAAGAGAGGGCGTTGAGGCAGCACAAACCGGGTATGACGGATGAGCAGGTTATCAAGTTTGTGAAAGGGTATATGCCTGCTTATGAACTGTTCCTTGAACGTCTTCAGAAGGAGAACTTTTTCAAAGACGAGGGATCTAACGACAAGAAGCATATACAGGTGGTATTGAACAAGGACCGGGAGGTTATTCAAGTGAAGGAGGTATAATGTATTAATATTAGTGATACTATCGTAAATAATTCCAAGTTGGATCAACAGAAGCGTCAAACTCCGCGTTTACAAGAAAGGGGTTGTCGATAGCGCTGAATGAACTCGCAAACAGCTGATCATACCACATCATTGATTCATGGCCTTCAAGTGGTATGTTATCCATACTCAGCCCAGGCGGCCCTTCTGGATTCAGTGATGTATTTGGCGTGGAGAGAAAGTCATTCGAATATGGGACTTGGGAATTGTGTGGCTGGGAGTAAGGTATGTCTTGAGATACTATACCCGTAGAATGATACGTCGTCCGTGGTCGCTTATTTTGTTGCGGTCTGAAGGGCTGAGTGGAGGATAACCCTTGGAAGTTTTGGGTGTTGGAAGACGTGTTTGGGGGAATAGAAGTCGGGCTGTCTCTTGTTTCAATACCCTGAGATTGAGCATTATGTTGTCTCGGAGGTCTTGTAGGAGTAGTATTTTCACCACCCCGTACTTGGTTTCCGACACTAGGCGAGAAACTGCGTGTTGTGATGATCGCATCTACCGGAGATTCAATCATCGTTGGACGCTCTTGAGAGAGCTCTTGAACTGTAGAAGTCAGTTCGTCAATGGCCCCAAGGCAGTATTCAGGCCACGATGTGTCTCGCGCAGCTAGATGACCTAGGATATCCTTCGCCGCAGCAACATGTCTAAGAAACTGTCAGAGAAAGTTGAGGAAAGGAAGAGGAGAAGCCCATACCTCATTGCACTTCCTAGATGGACCTGCTTTTCAAAGGCAGCGTGGATGAGAACGAATGCACTGATCCAGATAGACCACGTGAAAGAAGGCCATAGCAAGGGTGCCTGTGACCTCGCACTACTTGAGTCGAGTTGCAACTGATGCCGATTGCGATGCTTCTTCAGTATTATCAGGATGGATTTTGCAGCTGATATGCATGCTTGGAAGGCGGATGAGTATGATGAAGATGGATGTTCGGAGGCGAGGCCAGGCCTGTTCAAGCATATTGCCGATTCATGCTTCAGAACTAAGAGCATGACTTTGTGATGTTCAGATATTGCTGGAGTAGTTGAGCTCATATCGGCTAAATCGTCCTCTTCTACCGCGTCTTGTATCTCATTGAACCATTTCGCCAACTCAGCCTGGACGAAAGCTGCTCGATCCGCAGTATCCTGTCGTTGTAGCATGGATTTATTCCTGAGCTCAAGAATAAGTCCACGTATCCGAGCATGCTTCGCCACGAACGTAAGGAGCTGTAATCTTTCCGCATTTTCTTCTCTGTTCGTTATTGTATGACGCTCTTCGCCTGGATAACAGACATCCAAGTCATCGTCCTGAATGTCGAGAGGTAGTCCAAGAGACTGGCAGAGAAGCCTTTCCAGGATGTAGATGCACCAGAAGACTCGTCTTCGAACTGAGACTTCCTTATCTGTGAAGAAGGGATATCGTGCTGGGCATCGATGAAGGCCCATGTGAAATGCTGTACGAACGATGAGTCCGCCTAATCTCGACGCAGCATTCAAACAAAGCATCGAAGTGAGGAAGAGTTGGATAGCTAAAGCTGCTTGTGTTGAACGTATCGATGCAGGTTGGCTCAAGGCGAATTGTGAACTCGCTAACGCATCGTCCACGCTGTTGAAGAGAAATATCTTCGGAATCGGTTTTTGAAAAGCATTAGCCTGCCGACTATCCGCCAAAGATATCGAAAGAACAGACTTGAGGATAACCCCGTCAATAGAGTTGAGAGATGAAATCCCATTTTTAGAAACTTCCTCAAATAACCCAAGAACTTCCGGTCCATGAAGAAACGGGAGAACAGGATGCCACGCCTCAAAATAACTCTTCGACCACTCAACAAAGTCCTCAAAACTCGGCCCTTCCACTGCATTATCACAAACTTCATCATCTCTCCAAAGAAAATGCTCTCGATTTCTTCTTATCGAAGCATCCTGACGAAGTTGGTCGTCTTCACCGGGAATAAGCGTATTTATAGTCGACGACCCAGGTTCTGTAGTTCTTGATGCAGATCTCTTGGCAAGGCGAAGATGAACAGCACGAATATAGTGAATTCCACTACCGCTTCCTACGAATCGAGCGGCGTCGTGTTCGCCTGTATCGCGCATCAATCCATATTCGCGGCCAGGTTGAGACGTTGAGTGTTTTCGTTTTTGGCCCTGAGGCTCTGAATGACCTAAGGTTGAGTGAGATGCCGTTTCGATATTATCGTATGGTGAATGGTGAGAAGACATTTCCACTTTACATCCTCATAATCCCAGTTTGTGAAGGTGATGGCTTGTGAGGATTGCCAAGCTTGGAGGGAGTAAGCTGAAGTCCAAGCTGAAGCTGCAAAAGTGCTAGTGTCGCGTCGGACAAAGAAAAGGCCGAGGCGGGGTTGAACAAGTCATTCTGCTTGTGGAGCGACGTTTGACTCTGGGGAACTCGATCGATACAGATGCTGCACAAGGATTAGTCCTTGTGTAAGTGAATTGTTTATATGGCGAATGATGAGGCTTCGGTTGAGCAAGAGGCTGAGAGGCAGTTAAATCCAATAGCGTGCAGTCATTGTCGGCAGCGGAAACGCAAGGTGAGATCTCATGCCCCAGTCACGATTCTGGGGAAAGGAGAATGCCTTTTACTAAATTGAGTACTCGCTAGTGTGACAGGCAATTGTAAGTGTTTCAGATACTCATCGGAGAGATCGTCGTGCTAACGGCTGTTGTTCAGGCCGCATTGTCTGCAATGCACCAATGATCCTACCAACTGCCATTATCCAGAACAAAACAAGAGGTATCACTACCATGCTCACTCATATCAGCCACTTTAAATGTTAATGGAAAGTCAGAGGTCTTCCAATTGGATTTATTACGAGACTGGAGGCTCGTCTTGCAGAGACGGAAGAAGCTCTATTCCGACTTGTGCACTCTAACGATGACCCTAACAACAGTCACATCTCACTCAAGCCTTCATCACAAAGGAAAGACGACCGCATAAGAGAATGGGACAGTCTTCCTCTCGGGAATGTGGATGAAATAAGAGCATGGTATCGAAATAGATCAGAACAAAACGACCCGCCAGCCCAGCATGACGCTTTGATGGAAGGAGACCAACGTGAGCGATCTATTCATGTCACACCACCCGAGTCAGAGCCTATGGAGTTCACTGGTGACGTTGGAGATGACCAGGGAGATACAATTGTCCTGCCGGATGCTGATGATGGTGTTATGCCAAGGAATGACAATCAGACTCAGGAAGAGCCTGGTGGAAGCAAAGCCAAGGCGATGGAACAGAAACACCCAAATATGTACTTTTAGAGCATCTATTACTTAATACACCGTCATATTCGACCTAGAAATATCCAAGGAGTCCCTAATTGACCTCGACTATCTTCATATTCTTGTCTCTGTTTACCCCGATAGACCTCAAGAGCCTTCTATCTTGGCCACTTTGTCTCGCACCATGGTCTTACCACATATACCATGCCAACTTTCGAGTTAATTGTTGATTAGGCTTATCAAGTTACTTTAGTCGAAGGATTGCCGGTGGGGAGCCAGCTCCAACAGTGATCACGTCAGATTACGGCTTCTCAGGGTGATGCCTGTCTCCAACGTCTCTTGAAGGCGACGGCTCAGTTATGGAAAAGGCACAATTGAAGTCATCCGACTCCTCTGATCCTAATTCTATTTTAAGATTAACAGAAGTTATGCACTGTTGATCTCGTTTGTCCACAGCTCTTGAGTGTGCGTTGTTATTCTTAGGATGGTCAAAGTCGCGTCCACGTGTCGAAGAATCAAGCCATCTCACTATAGTGGATAGGCTCATTTAATGAAAAAGCAGTTTTCTATTACAGAAGAAGAAAAAAGTAATATGATTAGAAGCAACGTGTTATTAATTTGTAGCTCTTGGTATGCCAACTTCATCCGTCTAAAGCTTGTGATACTTACGAGCTTGCGACTTGGTCATTATAAGCTTAGGATGGTCTTGGGATTAATTACCCTAAGTTTATCTCAATTATGCTAAACTTAGTAAACCTTTATAAGTTTAGGATAGACTTACAATATCTTTAGGGAATTAGTCTGGCATTTCAATAATATGGATATTGCTGAACTGGATTTCATTCAGCACTAGGATTATGAGGCGTACATTGAAGTGTTTGATGCCAGCCAGCATTGCTCAGCACCAAATTCCGTGCTTCGAGTCATAAAATTTCCCAAAGGCAACCTAACCATGTTTAGAATAATCCCTTGTATTCAAGAACCCAATCCATGATGACCTGCAGCTGCTAGTCAAAGTGAGGCCTCTGGAAATTTTCAGCCATTGAGCGGCTTGGTGAGGGCGTCACCATTAGATAATGGCTTGCCTTAGCAAAATGGCGTACACTAATAGCCACCTTGAGCCTTAGGTTGAATGCAAGCATAGCTTTGTGAAGCCACCACTTCTCACAGTATGAAGAACCATTACGCAACAATGGCAGAGTTGGATCAAGATAGAAGCGAAGGATCACGAAGAGCCAAAGTTCCATCTGTACGAGATTTTACTTTTTGGTGGCCGATTACGTATGACTTCAGCTCCAAAGACTCCGCTATACTGAAGGATCTGACATTAATTTGCCATGGAAGTCGGGACATCGGGGGCCGAAAACCACAGTACGGCAAAATCCGCCGCTGGCGAGTCTGAGCTGCGAAGCTTCCTTCAATCCAGCTGATGCACCACCCTCCAGGGATAAGTCATGGCGTAGTGCGCGTGGCATTGACTGACCGCTCATTGACATGCTAATAAGGCTTAGTACGTGACACCAAGACTCTGTCTGTAGTAAGCTGATATTTTCCGTTGCGCAAGTACCATTACCATTATAGCATGTATGACCGACAGCCCGATGGACAATGTGCTCCTGGTACTGGCTTCTTCCAAGTCTGCGCCAATGGCTTCCGCGGCTGCTGCAAATCTGATGCTTGCACTGGCAACGCTGGTGTTTGCCCCGATAAGAAGACCAAGCGATCTGACGACCCTACCGTCTGCCCCCCTGGAGCCGGTTTCTTCCAGTCTTGCTCCAACGGCTTCCGTGGATGCTGCAAGTCCGACGCCTGCTCCGGCTCAGCCCCCATCTGCCCCGACACTGTCGCCAAGCGCTCCGATGACCCCACCGTCTGCCCTCCCGGAACCGGCTTCTTCCAGTCCTGCTCCAACGGCTTCCGCGGCTGCTGCAAGGGCGATGCCTGCGGTAACACCTGGTGCCCCGACTACAAGACCGGTACCTACGAGCCCGCCCAGACTCTCCAGGTCAAGGCTCGCGCTGACGGTACTTGCCGCCCTGGCACCGGTTTCTTCCAGGTCTGCGCCAATGGCTTCAAGGGATGCTGCAAGAAGGACGCTTGCTCTCAGAAGAAGCCTGTCTGCCCCAAGTAAGAGGCATTTTTTTCACATTTCCAGTCATGGTTTTACATTGGCATAGCGTTGCATAGAACATTACTAGCGTGCATAGATAGATTTGGGTTTTGTCGATTTTGTTTGGAACAGTCCTTTATGAGTTACTATGGCATTTGATTGAGCTACTCTTCTTGATATTTACTTATTTAGAGCATTGATTTTGTCGGACACGATAAAAATCTAACTAATACACTCCTTTAAAAATTTGAGTCTCTGCTGCTTGATTCCGTGAACCATTGATAAGAAGAGGGCTTCAAACATTCTTCGTAAAAGTCTCGCGTGAGTGACTGTAGGCTGTAGAGGTACGTTGTTCAATTACCAAGCCGCTTAGACATCTTCATCTTAGTGTAGCCTTTGTATTTGCACTTGACGATAGCCTTCTCTCTGTGCCATTGGCGACGAAGTAGTACCAACATGACATTCTGAAGACTCCCACCACAGCCGCCACGATCAGGAAGACAGCACAGCAAAGAAGGCGTGTCAATTCCCAGCAGCGAACATGAAAAATCAGTTCCCCTATGAGTAAAGGGACTGCCACAACCAGGAGTAGTATTTGGTGCAGTAAAGCTCCCCTCACGGCTGATTTGAGTCGACCGATGCTGCTTATCCACCCGCGAAAGAATAGTGGCAAGACAAATAAGACCAGAAAGACGAGTGCCAGGCCAGTACGAATGATATTATTATCCATTTCCCAGAGGCGCTCGGCATAGGTGAGCCACAGTACGCCTTCCAGGTGCAACCAGAGAACACTTGGCAGTACAAACTTGTCGAATGCTCTTAGAGGTAGTCTTGTCTGAGACACATCGTGTCTATAGCCAGGAAGCTCACATTCCGAGGCCATTAATTCTGGAAGAGAAGATGACATAGTTGTATGGATTTCAACGCGATGATAATGTTGATGTCGTGATGATCTTGTTGAGTTGCGCGGGGTTGAGTCTTGGCTGAGCTGAGGTCTTAAGTTTGGCTGTGCTTCACAACCCTATGACGAAAACGTAGCTTGGCATCTTGGAGAATACAAGGTACCGGCTGAAAATGATCTTTTATTGAGTCTGTTAGTATGCTCACTCTATAAATATAGTGTTCTCTTTTTATAATGCTCAGTTGACTTATATACATGCCAGCTATAACACTGATCAAGACTTATACCTATCAGCACCAGCCCTCAAAATCATCTGGAACAGCTCAACATCTTTCCTAGCATCCGCCGCACTAGTCTTAGGCACTTTGCCTCCAACGACGCAATCATAAAGATCTAACATCTCTAACGTATACGGATCCTCATACGTCTTCCTGATAGTCCTCTCCTGGAATCCTCCATCTCCAATCTTTTCCCGGATCGTCATGATCACGGGCAGACCTTTGACGTAAGGAGAGTCAAAGTTAACTCGTACAATCTTGTTGACAGAATAAACTTCGATGTGTGCGTCGAATTGAGGTACACCACTGAGACCTGACTCATATGTAACAGGGAAATCATCGTATTGGAATAGCACGCTGAAGATACCGGGGAGTGTTAGGACGGCACCGGCCACGGACTTGGGCATGCCGAGGATCTCGCGCATTGCTGAGAGATCGTGAGTTCCAAGGCTATATCAGAAGTTAGCTTTGATGTGTTACTGTAAGGTGAAGATGACTTACGCTCCCAGAACCCTCAGCATTCTTTGGGACTGAGGTGTATTTGGCACCCCAAACTCCTTGACAAGAGCTTGCTCAAAGATATCTGCCTCTCGTCGGTTTCTATCCTGACCATCCGCCTCAGTGAAGTCATTGAATTTCTGAGGAAACGTGCCGTTCTGCTCAACAAAGGTGGAGTTAGGCCCAATGATATCCCTCACTCTCGCATAGTGAATCTTTTCCATGCCCCCAATCTCTTCCACAGCATCGATAAAAGCAGTAGCGTAGCGTCGCATCGTCCCTACAAACACTTTGCCATTTGAAACCTTCTCTGCTTCAAGAAGTCTGTCTATGTCTCGGAAACATGTGGCCGCTGGCTTCTCGATAAGACAGTACTTATGATTCTTGAGAGCGAGAATGCCATGTTCGACGTGGTATGCATCGGCATTGGCGATTAGGACCACGTCGACATCTGGTGAGGAGCAGAGTTCTTCAGGGTTGGTGGTTGTCTTGGGAGTACCGCCCTGGACTTTGGTGGAGCAATGCGCGAGAGACTGTTTGGAGATGTCGCAGAGATAAGTTGTTTGGAACTTATGGGACAGAAAGTTGATGTTGGGGATATGTGCGACTTGGGAGATCTCTCCGCAGCCGATGATTCCAACCCGAAGGATGCGATCTGATGCGCTTGACATAGTGATGTCTTAATTGAATGACTGGTCCTAATGTCTTGGACTCTTGGAGGCTGTAACAAAAAAAGGTATAAGTCACAGTCTGATGAGTTAAACAAGAGCTATTTATCCTTCCTCTCCTCTGTCATCAATACGTAGTACCCGGTGGGTTGGAGTAGTCTATCACTCCTCCAGCTGCTTTCCCCACATACCGCTACTCCCCGACACCAAAACAGTATTCAGCTCCGCTACTCCGCGAAAGGATCATGACTCAGTCCCTGGCTACGCACCATGCCAAAATGTAACCATACTTTATTTTCTTCCCCATGGGGTCACCAAGTTTCCTCGGTTACGGGGAACGAAAATCCGGGGTCTAGATGAGCATCCAAATGCTTTAAAAGGAGCTTGTCATCCTCCTCTTGTGGACCTCCCCGTTCCCTCAAATCACCAAGTCATCGTGGTTATCTGACGCGCCCGAGTACTAATCGTCATCCTCTCGTATCACTCTGGCTTTCGATCATGGGTGTCTTTTCACGTAAGAAAGAAGCCGAATTGGCTGTTGGATCGGAGCTCTCGCGAGTATGACACCTCCTCATCTCTCCCCTCCATTCTTCGCTGCCCAGACTAACGGCTCTCCTATACAGGTTCTTCCTCAAGATCCAAAACCATGGTATAGGACTTGGCATCTTGTCAAGCTTAATTTATGCCTTTTGGTGCCTTTGTTCTCTTCTGCCTCCGTTGGCTACGATGGTATACTTCCTTTCTCCTCATGGTTCCCGGCCAAACTCTGACATGGCCTAGGATCAATGATGAATGGTCTCCAAACTCTGCCCCAATGGCGTGAGTTTTTCGGCAACCCGGAGGGCGCACTTCTCGGCCTCATGAACTCGGTTTATCCTCTCGGCAAAGTCGTATCCCTCTTCGCAGTCTCATACATCTGTGATCGTTGGGGACGCAAGCTTCCTATCCTTATTGGCCTCGTTACCTGCATTGGTTTTGCAACTCTCCAAGGACTCTCGCAGAACCTCCACAGCTTCATCATTGCGAGGGCTTTCTTGGGCTTCTTCACTAGCTTTATCGGCCAGCCCAGCCCCATCATCATCACAGAGCTCGCATACCCGACGCAGCGAGGAAAAGTAACCGCTCTATATAATACTTTCTTTGTAAGTCTGAACTCGGTCTTCCTTTGCATTGTTATACTAATCACGTACGTGGTTTTAGTACTTTGGCTCTATTTTCGCTGCTTGGTGTACCTACGGCACCTTCAAGAACCCAACAACTTGGAGCTGGCGAATTCCATCTCTTCTACAAGGTGCATTACCTGTCATGCAACTTTTGGGCGTTTACTTCCTGCCAGAATCTCCCAGGTATGAACTTCAAATCATTTGACATTTTGCAGAAGCTGATACAACTGATTTAGATGGCTCGTTTCCAAAGGCCGCAAGGCAGAAGCACGAAAAGTCCTCGCAGAGTTCCACGCTGGCGGCGATCTCGAGTCTCCCCTCGTTGAGTTCGAAATGCAAGAGATAGAGCTTGCGCTTACTCAAGAAGCTGATGCTATCTCTGCTGTTTCATGGGCTGAGCTCTTCCGCACTCCAGCTAACCGAAAGCGTACACTTATTGCTGTCATCGTTGGTTGGTTCGCTCAATGGAACGGCGTCGGAGTCGTCAGCTACTATCTTGTTCTCGTTCTCAACACTATTGGTATCACCAAGGTCAAGGACCAGACTCTTATCAACGGCCTCTTGCAAATCTTCAACTGGCTTGCATCGACTTTCCTAGGCGCGTTGATGGTTGATCGCTTAGGCCGAAGAACCTTGTTCCTCCTCTCTACAGGTGGCATGCTGGTATCTTATGTCATTTGGACCGGTCTTACTGCTCATTTCGTCAGCAGTCGTGATGAGTCGACAGGCCGAGCTGTGGTCGCCTTCATCTTCATCTTCTATCTATTTTACGACATTGCCTGGACACCTCTTCTTCAAGCATACCCCGTCGAAATCTTCCCCTATACGCTACGAGGACGCGGTCTTTCCATTACCTACATCTCAACTTTCACTGGTCTTATTGTCGGCAATCAGGTGAACCCGATCGCCATGAAAGCCATCACCTGGAAATACTACATCGTCTTTTGTTGTATCCTTGCCGTTCTCTTTATCATCATTTGGTTCTTGTTCCCTGAAACGAAGGGACATACGCTTGAGGAGATCCGGGAAGTCTTCGAAGGGAAGCTTGATGACCAGGATAAGTTGGCCAAGGTTGAATCAGCTATTGGAGAGGAGAACACGGGACAGAAGGGCGGCAACGCGAAGCAAGTCGAGATCGCCAACTAGGTTGACATGTACGGTACTTGGGGCTCCACGCACGGCTATGGATTTAATTAGAGAATTGAGGTACTTGGAGCATTGTACAAGGGGATGTTTTGCAAGGAGTCATCGATATCCGTTATTGGTCTTAACTTATCTGGATTAAGCTTAATGCCGGGACCAGGACCAGGGGTTTTCCCGCTGTTATGCCGGCATACACGAGGTTGTAGTCGGGGAGTAGCGGAGTTACGCTAGACAGCGGAGTAACTTCTCCATCTTGGACTGCATTTAGCCGGAGTCCATGTATGGTGTGAATCTCGATGCCTTCGTTTATTACCCTGCAACTTCCGCTCTTCTTACTTTCAATAGCCTTTGCTTCACATACCTTGTTACTTCTTTCCCAACATCTTTACCACTATGTCTCAGTCAAAACCAACCCTGCGATGGGGCATCATCGGCACTGGTCTGATCTCATCGTGGTTCATCCAGGATCTCCTCATCGAGAGAAAGAATGCCCAAGCAACACATCATATTCAAGCCATTGGATCTTCGTCCGTTGAAAAGGGGACCAAGTTTGTTGAGACACATATGCCAGGACAAACTCAGCTTCCATCCATCTATGGAAGCTATGAGCAAGCTTACCAAGACCCTAACGTTGATATCATCTACATCGGAACTCCCCACGGCTTCCACAAGGAGAACTGCCTCGATGCAATTTCGCACGGAAAGCATGTTCTCTGCGAGAAAGCATTCACACTTAACGCCAGGGAAGCGAGAGAAGTCTTCGATGCAGCGAAGCAAAAGGGTGTGTTTATCATGGAAGCCATGTGGACCCGTTTCTTCCCGCTGGTTAAATCTCTCCAGAAGGTCATCCACGAGGACAAGGCTATAGGCGATGTTGTTCGTGTATTTGCAGACTTTGCCATGAACCAGAACATCGAGTCCAAGGGTCCTGATTCACGACTAAAAGACCTGTCCCTTGGTGCTGGCAGCTTGCTAGATATTGGCATCTACAGCCTGACATGGGGCCTTGTGACTCTCGACCCAGGTGTAGGCGAAAAGGCCACTACGCCCAAGATCACTGCCGCTCAAACCCTCGTCGACGGCGTTGATCTCGGTACTTCCATCATTCTCTTATACCCCGATGGAAAGCAGGGAATCTTGACCTCCAACTCAAAGGTCAAAACCCCAGAAGCTTTCTGCCGCATAGAAGGCACCAAAGGATATATCATTGTAGAAGGCTTTGCAGGTTCAGTCCCTGCATCATTCACTGTGTACAAGGATGGAGAGACTGAGGGGGGAAAATACGAGTTTGAGAGACCTGGGAAGGGATTTTACTGGGAAGCTGATGCGGTGGCTCTGGATATTGCTGCTGGTAAGGTTGAGAGCGATACTATGCCATGGGCTGAGACTATTCGTGTCATGGAGATTATGGATGAGGTTAGAAGACAAGGCGGGGCCAAGTTCCCTCAGGACTAGATAGATATCATATATGTATTCATTATTAACTCAAGTAAAGAATGTCATAAGTTATGCCCAGGCCATAAATGCACCAAGTATCGTTGCGAATGAAATATTAAGAGTTTTGAATTATGTGCACCAATAAGAAATCCTATTCCAAGGATAAGCCTAACAAAAACTGATTTGTTATAAAAGTCGTGGATGCCTTGAGCACTATGTTGTCTCGAAATAAACTACCTGTGATTTTTGCCTTGTATCCTGTTGCCTTATTCATCTCATGTCTCACACATGATTCAATAATACCATAGCATGAGACCTAACCGAATGACCTCCAGCGTGCTGTCGCCCTTAAGATAGTGCAGACGGGAGAGATGTAGGGTACCCCACTCCCCGCATTCAAATACCAGCCAACACTAATCTAAGTCAGCCTCCGCTACTCCGCGAGACTAAAGAGGCGCTAAATTTAACCACCACAAACTCAAGATCTCCGCTACTCCCCGACATTTGATCTCTGCAACCTCACAACAACTCCGCAATGTTCAGCCAGGGCGGTACCAGCTCCTCGGATCATGTCTTGCAAGGACAGGGTCAAGGTAATAAGCGACAACGAACAGCAGCCATGTATCACCGCAAACGTGCCGTGACAGCTTGCCAGTCTTGCCGATTGAGGAAGACCAAATGCGATAATGTTCGTCCGATCTGTGGTTTCTGTTCTAGGAGCGGTGCCCAGTGTGTTTATCCTGGGTCTGGCCCTGATAGTGATTACTCAAGGTTTGTTAGTAGGCCTATGGTAGACATCAAATTGCTAACTTGTTGGATAGCTATGATCCCGCCAGTTTGTCCATTCTAGACCGACTCAACCATGTTGTTTCTCTGCTTGAGTCGCGGCCTTCGGCAGTACTTTTGAATGAACCATACTCACATAATCTCCCAATTGAATCATATGGTTCACCAAGAAGCCATGTCACCGCCAGTCAGCCATTGCGTGTTGCTCCTATACACGCATCGAATGACCCAACGACACATGTACCCGAAGATGATATCCTCCAGGTCCTTGACCGCCCTGATTTCCCTTCAATATCTAACAATTGTGAAAGTATTATGCGTTGGCCCTTCTTCCAAGGTCTGGCACCTGAAGTTCACTCCTTTGTTCTTGAATCAGATATATATACAGAAGCAATACCAGGTGCTGTCAGAGGCGTCCCCGGCGGAAAAGGCGTTCAGGAAGAGGATTTCATCTCTCTTTCAAAACGATTTCTGGCATATGCGCATGTCAAGAACCCAATATTAGATGTCAAGGAGTATAAGAAGAAGGTCAGAGAAGCAGCTGAGAATGGACCAAGATGGGATGGCGCGTCTTGCCTAATAGTAAGTATTCACCCAACTCGCTTCAATGGAGCATACTAATGATCTAAAGCTAATATCATGCGCAATTGCATGTCTATCGGTACCCTTTCACACGGAGGCAGATATCAACGGCTCTCCTGCCTCAACGCGCTCATCGACAACCACTGTTATAGACCCAGACACCGCTGCATCATACTATCTGGCGGCAAAGAAACGGCTTGGACTGCTCCAGCCATCACTCTTATATATACAGTGCCTATTTCTTTGTGGTATATATGAGATGTACTGCCTTCGTCCACTTCAGGCCTGGTTTCACTTCAATCGGGCTTGCGTCGATTTACGAAACATCCTCTGGACTCGCAGTCAGAAGAAATCGAATCAGACAATCTCGCAGGAAACCCGCCGACTGGAACAACGATTGTATTGGTCCTGTGTGAAAACAGAATAGTAAGTGAAACCAACCTTTTGTCTTTTAATAGCCTAGATTAATAAGTTTACTACAGTGAATTGCGGTATGAGATACCGTTACCACCAAGCGGTATCACGCAGTGTGACTATCCAGACATGTTTCCGTCACCACCAACAGAACTGACCTCTCCATCGGCCTATGACCGGGGTGACACATTGGACGACGATATTGTTCCTGAAGAGGAGAAGAGTTGGTTCTATTACTTGGCAGAGATTTCTTATAGAAGGATGATGAACCGAGCGATGGCTGTAATGGCCCGGAGCAGAGAGCAAGGTTGGACTGATAATATCAGTGAAACTATGGAGCATTGCAAAGAGTTCAACGAACAAATAGATCTTTGGTAAGTCATTCGTTTAAGCATAGGAAATTACGCTGACAAGTGCTAGGTATTCTCACATTCCACCTCAAATCGATCCCAAGAACGAGGCTCACGCCAACAATGAGCTGGCACAATTCCTGAAAAATCGTGAACTGTCATGCCGAGAATGGATACATCGCCCTTTTATCTTCTACATCCTTCATCAATCGCCAAACGATGAGCACTATGAGCAAGTTATGCCACTCGCGCAGAAATGTCTAGAGCTGTGCGTGGAGCATCTTTTCCGAACTTATGGGCATAATCGGCATCATGGGACGTGGTATATTGCACGTTCCTGCGTGACCAAAGCTTTGATCTTGCTGGCTGCGGCTAAGAGTGGTCGCATACCGCTCCCTCCAGGCTGGAAAGAGGCATTGGAGATTGCGCGATGGACAGTAAATCGGTGGTCAGGTGAAGCTCCGGACCTTGAGTGGGCTCAGAAAATGTTAGAGGACATTCTGAGAGATGTTGAAAAGCATATGTAAAAAGTGTATAAAACACCATGTTTATGCGGGGACTGCTTACAGACAGCTGTATCTCTGATTGGTGGTGTAATCGCTCATCTTTCAGCCGCAACTGGGCTTATTTTCACATCTTGCCGGCATGATATTCTCTTCTCCATCTGCTCGTACAAACAACTCCTACATCTCATAAACGGACCAGCTTCTGATCCTCGAAATGACTGAACCTCAACCCCGGGTCGACACAGGCCAGCCTTACAAATATCGGGCACTCGAGTCTCCACTCCATATCAGGTTGATTCATCTAGTACCCGGCAAGCCTGACGAAAATATTCGACTACGAATTTCGCATGAACTTCTAAGGCAACCAGAGCAACCCAGGTCACTACGCCTATCCCGGAAACACCTACAAAAGACGCTTCCTCCAGGTTGGGAAGTCGTTGAAACAATCGAGGGAAGATTCATCTTCATGAACGAGCCTGACGATACATCTAGCCCGGACAGTGATGAAGGCAGCGGGAAGGTTCATACATGGACGCATCCAGATCCAACCATAGACCCAGCACTATATAAACTTCCGCCTGTAAACCCCACACAGCCCGCTTTCGAAGCTCTATCCTATGTCTGGGGTCGGCAGAATGACCCCGTGGTCGCTACTGTTGAAGGAACAGCTGGCGACCCATTTGGAAGCATAAAGCTTGGAAAGAACCTAGCAACGGCACTCAACCACCTACGATACCAAGACAAGACCCGTGTGCTGTGGGTAGATGCTATCTGCATCAACCAAAGTGACGACGTCGAAAGATCAACTCAAGTTCTTCGGGTGTCAAGTATCTATCAGGACTGTAGTCGAGTTGTCATCTGGCTTGGCCCCGAAAAGCACGATATAGCACTGGCTTTCTCTGAATTGGCTCATGTTGGATCTCAAGTTGAGAAGACAACTAATGGTTTTCTAATGTCCTCACCCGATACAACCGATTTCAGGTGGTGGAAGGACGATATTCCAGTTCCCTTCTCTGACGACGTATGGGCAGCCATTAACAGACTCGGCGACCGGCCTTGGTTCCACCGTCTTTGGACTGTACAAGAAGCTATCATGGCGAATCGCGATTCTATCATGCAAAGTGGCGATGCAACTATTTCATGGTCTCTCTTTCGTCGTGCGGTTGCATGTCTGTTGCATAAGAACGACATGCCGGCGGCTCGAGTTTCTATCAGCTCGATGAGAAGCACAGCGGAAAACCCAATCGGAGCAACACTGGCACATACTCTGGACACATATCAAGCCCGGATGTGCTCAGATACTCACGACAAGATATATGGCCTACTGGCCATCCTGCCACCAAGGTTTGTGGAGGAGATCAAGCCGGACTATGAGAAACCCGTGGTCGAGTTATACAAATCCTGTTTCCTGGCTAGTATTAAAGCTCTTTGCCGCTGGGAACTACGCGGCTGTCCCCGGGATCCGGATAAGGATAGTTGCCCCTCTTGGGTTCCTGATCTATCTAGAGTAGATCCATATGGCCGTAGAGTGACGGAGCACTTCTCCACGGGATGTTCGGCTTTGAATTACGAATATCAAGCACCCAATTTACTTCGAATAGTTGGTGTACGATTTGACACGGTGAAGTCCGTTTGTGAAAAGACTTTCGATCATTGGGGTGATGGCGAAACAGCCATCCGGACTATCAGATCTTGGGAACCTAAGTGTCCTCTCACAGACCCTTATCCTAGTGGAGGCACCTATCTGGATGCGTTTGCAGCAACATCTCTTCAAGACGGGAGACTCGAGCGCCGTCCCACTGAAGGATTTACACTTAAACATATCAAAGAGAGATTCGAAAGTCAATTTCTCTCCACAGCTTCTGAACCAGTGTCACAACTGAATCGTGGAGACATGATGGAATATGTCATCTGGACACGTTCTAAGGGGCGAGCGATGGTCACGACAGAGAGGGGTAGCATTGGCTTAGCATGCACTTTCGCAAAACCAGGTAGGTGAAAAACCATGAACTTTAGAGTTTATACTGATGGGGTCAGGCGATGTGATTTGCATCTTCCTTGGTTGCGACTTTCCAGTACTACTCCGCCCATGTGAGGATAACACCTGGAAGTTTCTGAGTGACTGCTACGTATGGGATCTAGAAGCTACACAAGGCTTGCTGGGTCCTCTTCCGTCTCCTTGGCAGGCACAACTTTTCTATGATCCTGTTAATGAACATCGTTCTTACACCCGTTACCATAACCCCGAAACAGGGGAGCTGAAAGCAGAAGACCCTAGGCTGGGACCACTTGTAGGATGGCAGCGAGTATCACTAGAGGAGCTAGGGCGAGGCCTTACGGGCGATGACCCAGAAGTGTATGACTTTTTCCGCAATATGGAAGATGGCAGAATTGTGAACTCTGATCCACGATTAGAAGCGGAAGCCCTTGAAAGTCGGGGAGTGAACTTGGAAACTTTTGTATTGAGCTAGAACATCGGTGTTCTTCTAGACATATGATGAATTTTCACTCGTTCGAAGGATATAGAACCTTCTCCAATGGTACAAACTCCTCCTTAATTGTCCTCGTGCTCACGAATCTTTGCAAGTGAGCCATAGTTCCAGTCTTATCATTGGTGCCCGAATCACGAGACCCGCCAAAAGGTTGCTGAGCCACCACTGCACCCGTGCACTTTGTGTTCAGATATAGCATACCAGCGGCGTGCTTCAGAGCACCTTGGGCGTGGCGAAGCACGTATGGGTCTTTGGCAAAGATACTGCCTGTCAGAGCATATCTGGATGTAGTGTCGAGCAGTGTCAATGTCTCTTCCCACTGATCATCAGGGAAAACATAGATGCCGAGGATAGGACCGAAAAGCTCTTGTGTCATGATCTCGTGACGAGGGTTGGTCGTTTGATAGACAGTTGGGTAGACGTAGTAACCCTTGTCCTTGGAAGCCTTGCCACCGACAACCAATTCCAACTCCTTATCATTCTTGGCATCTTCGATGATCTTGTTCAATTTATCAAAGGAAGCTTCGTGAATAACCGGGTTGATGAAGTTCTCGTAGTTCTCGACGTCTCCGACCTTCAAAGCAGACACCTGCTCTTGAAGATGTTTCTTGAACTCAGGCCACACTGACTCCGCGACGTAGACTCGAGAGTTGGCGGAGCACTTCTGTCCTTGATACTCAAAAGCGGCTCGGACTGTGTTTAAAGCGGCGCTCTTGACATCTGCGGTTGGGTGAACAATTCCCCAGTTCTTGCCGCCGGTCTCTCCGACAACCCGGGGATATGAGTTGTAAGTCTCATCCCCAATGCCATTACCGATCTTCTTCTGCAACCCCTTGAAGACCTTGGTCGAGCCGATGAAAGTCAGCGCACCGAATTCAGGTCTCTTCAGGACTGCATCGGTGATCTCATTAGGCTCGCCTGGCAAGAACTGAATGACGTCCTTTGGAAGACCAGCTTCAAGAAGGATCTGATACAGAAGCCAACTAGCATGTATAGCTGAGTCAGAAGGCTTCCAAACCACAACATTGCCCAGCAACGCAGCTGGTCCGACAAGCGTGGCACCAAGAGCAGTGAAGTTGAAAGGCGACACCGCATAAACGAACCCCTCCAATGGTCGATACTCCATCTTATTCCATACCCCAGGCGTCTGGACCTTGGGTTGCTGAGCATACAGCTTCCATGCTTCATCAATGTAATGTCGGAAGAAGTCTGCTGTCTCAGCTGGTGCATCAATCTCAGCCTGCCAGATATTCTTGCCCATTCCGAGCATGGTTGCAGCGACGATATCAGAGCGATATTTACCAGTTACCAACTCAGCTGCACGAAGGAAAATGGCTGCGCGATCTTCAAACGGCAGAGCTTCCCAAGCGGGCTTTGCCTTGAGAGCGGCGTCTATAGCTGCGTTGACATGCTCAGGCGTGGCGGTTGCATATTCTGCCACGACTTCTTTGTGATTTGATGGGTTTTGTTGTTTCAGAACTTGCTTGCTGGCAATCTGATTCTGATGTCAGGAACAGAGGTATTCTGGGGGCCGTAATAACTTTCTTCTGCACCGCTGATTTGGATGGGAATCTTGACAGGGAACGTGCTCTTGAGCTTCTTGATGCTTTCTGTGAGCTGGGCCCGTTCTGGAGAGCCCTTGGCATAGTCGAACTACAGATTATTGTTAGCGTGAGAGGTATCGCGATGAGGTTCTCGTACCATTTTCTCATTCTCAAACTTGGGCGGGTTCCATAGACTCAAAGGCCTGCTGGCTGATAGGGTCTTAATCCTGCGTTGGTGAGTACCGGCAGGTCGAGCCAGAGGCCGATATTGAGAACGAAGAGATCTGAACATTTGATGCGCGAAAAGAGAATAAATGAACAGAATTCTGATAAAGGTGATAGTACTCCCATTTTGCCATATTCTATCATCCAATACAACCATTTTATAGAGCAAAAGACATGAAGTAAACACTGAGAAGTCGGGACGGCCTCCCGACGACATATCTCGCTCCGACACCCAACCTGACAACTCAGTCAACACCTGCATATGCGGACGAATCCAGCTCGTAATCAATTCTCCACCTTCTGGAATGATTGGTCCCGGCACTTATCAACGAGATCAGCATGAGTCCAGTATCACGACCCCATGACCTTCTCCGCATAACGCCACGCAGTCCATGATGAAGAGAATCCGTTGAATCATGCGGGGTTCGCTCTCAGGGTGACGAGATAGGGATAGAAGCGTCGGCGAATCGTTCCGAATTTACTTATTTGCGGAATCTAGGTTGGTGTTAGATAATGCTGGTGGCATGTTCAGTGGGGGGAGGTGATGGTGGGTGATGGCGCTTTTATGAGAGTATATGAAAGCCATGGCCATCTTCTAATAGAGCTAGAAGCGTCCTTTCACCATCAAATAATCACTTGTCTTCATTTCAACATGCTTTCTCGAACCGCCGTTCAACATCAAAGGCATCTGTTGCCCTTATCATCTCGTCTTTATGTACAACCACAAATAAGAGCTGTCTCCAATGCAGCGCTGAGAACCTCTTTAAAGCCTACACAGGCATCCGTGGTGGATGAACCGTCACCTCTCTCCAAGATGCCGATGGGAGTGCTCCTACGTTCCGTTGCCTTGACAACAGTAATGGCCAATAAGTGGTTACTGCGACCGTCACTTGCATTCATCGCGCTTATCACACAGTCCAACTCAGTGCTCCTAAACCCCGATAAGAACCCAGTGCTGAGTCGGATCCTTCAATGGACTATTTATGACCATTTTTGCGCAGGGAACAGCATTGCCGAGGTGTCGAATACTGTCAAGTACATCAAGGACCTTGGCTTCCACGGCATCATTCTCGGATACTCGAAAGATGTCGTCTTGGACCCCAACGTGGAGCTTCCAACGACAGGCATCGAGGACTACCCCGCTGAATGCTACAGGATGATTGATGAGTGGAAGAAGGGTAACATCGAGACGCTCAATATGATTGAGTCTGGCGATCTTCTCGCTGTTAAGTGAGTCTAGAATGACTATCGACATGACCAAAAACTTACATATCTTAGGGTAACTGGCGCTGGGCCTATTGCTGTAGACGCCTTACAGGCTGGTCGCCCCATGAACAGCTATCTCCACAAAGCCTTAAACGACATCTGCAACGAAACTCGAAAGCGCGGATGTCAACTCTGGATCGACGCAGAACAACAAGCTATGCAGCCTGCCCTCGACGACTGGACGATCGTACTAATGCGAGAACACAACCGAAACGGAAACGCCCTCATTTATAACACCATCCAAGCTTATCTAAAAGGTGCTAGGCAGAATGCGAAACGACACATCCAACTAGCAGCTCAAGAAGGCTGGACTGTTGGCATCAAGCTAGTGAGAGGTGCATACATCGAGAATGAGATACGGTCTTTGATCCATGACACGAAAGAAGACACGGATAACTCTTACAACGATATTGCGGACATGCTTATTTCTCGAAGAGTACCCGATGGAGCTGCAAACCTGGAGTTCCCAGACGCTGCACTCGTTTTGGCAACACATAATGCTGATAGTGCGCAAAAGGCTCTCCAAACTCAGAGAAAACGACTTGAGGCTGGTCTTCCCACAGTGCCTATGAAGTGTGCGCAGATCATGGGCATGGCTGATGAGTTGAGTTGCAAGCTGCTACAGGATTACGAGCAGGCTGTAAGGGAGAACAGAGTCACTAACGAAACACCCAAGATCTACAAGTGCTTGCCGTGGGGCTCGGTGCAGGAGTGTATTAATTATCTTTACCGACGAGCGGTGGAGAATCGTGGTGCTGTTGAGAGGACGCAGCATATGGCGCAGGCTATGAGACAGGAACTCCGACGTAGGATACTGGGGTAGAGAGCAGACAGAAATAGATATTGAAGACTGAATAATGTTGATCTATATCAGACGAAGTTCTACAGGTAGACAAGACAGATGCTCCTCGCTATAACGTCTTTCCATTCTCCAACTCGGTCAACAACTCACTCTTTGGCTTCTCATCGGGCCATCTTGTCCTTGGGAGCTCAAAGGTCGAGGATATCCGCCCATAGGACATACCACCCAGTTGACCTATCGGTCGTAGCTTGTCAAGCTCAATGTGGCTAAAATCCTTGTTTGCAGCATCTTCCTGAACCCAAAACCGCGTTGCCTTGATGAGAACCATTCCATAATTACTCATACCGGGTTTATGGCTTTCGAACTCTTTTATATCGACGACTTTGCCCTCAATGGAGAGCACTGACTCTTTGACGCGAGATGGCTTGACGGTTGTTGTCGAAGCTTCAGTCAAGCCTGTGATATCCCATTCCGACACTCCGTATGGAGCATCAATGGAAGAAGCATTGACTGCCTCTATCATGTTCTCCGAAACGGTGTTGATAACACATTCCCCAGTATCCTTTAGATTCTGATACGTATCTTTAGCCGACCCAAACCGAGATGAGAAGCTAACGATGAACATGGGCGGGTCATGATCAACGACTTGGAAATAACTAAAAGGCGCAAGATTCTTTATTATACCGTCACCTGAAATAGTACTGATGAAGCCGACAGGTCGAGGTGCAATACCAGAAATTAAAAGTCGGTAGTTCTGCCCGACGGATCTGTCAGGCGAGTACGGGTCGATCTCTCGGTGGACATTGGTAGTGGGGGATTGACCAGTGCGGACACCATCTCCATAAGACCAGGATGGGTCTGGGGACTTTGTTATCTCGATAGGTTTGCCGGAGTGATCAAAGTCTGGTCTGTTGGCTATCGTTTCCTCGAAATTGGTGATTGGTTGCACTGCTGAGAATGCAGGTTTAGCTGCAGCTGTAGCTGTAGCTGACGAGTTCAATCTCATTGTTGAGGGTGATGCGTTTGTTATCAGGCATTTGCGTGCATGCAACGTTGATGGTCTAGATTGAGGAGGGTCAGAAAACTGTGCCACTGAATGATATGATCGGGGCCGACATGTCGTTCCAACTGACCTTGATGCAATTGCGGAGCGAAACGTCATCAAAACTCTGGTCATTATAACAATTCAGACAGCAAAGCTTTGACCAATTTTAGAAACCGGGATCTATTCTAGAAGCACTGAGAGCGGCAGTCGACCTACGCCAAAGTAAATCTCAAGTGGAAATGTCGGGATTGTTATACCGATATAGGACTCTAACAATCCACATGATAAGCTTCGACGATCGGGATCTCATTCCGACCTCTTCACTCCGCATCCGATAACGCAGCCCGAATCCCCCAAAGCCGCTGATAAGCTTTTCCACGAACGCTACCATTAAGCCGGAATGTTATTCCAGCTAAAGACTTAAGTCGGAACAGCACCCCGACCTCTCCTCAACTGCCATTGTCAATTGCGCAACGATGCCTAATACTCAAAATGGTCAATTTCGGATTATTAAGAAGTGTGCTAAAGCGTAAGTTCTTATCTGAGCCGTGAAAGCCGAAAGCTGATTGTGATTGTTGTACAGGTGTAAGCGATGTCGGTCTATGAAGGTCAAGTGTTCGGGGGCGCAGCCTTGTTTGAGGTGTGGACGGAAGAATGAGAGATGCATATACGAGGCGGAGGAGAAGAAGGTATCAGTGCCTGAGAGGTGAGTCTTGTTGCTTTCTCTTATGTCGCCGTAACTTACCTTCGGACAGCTACCTACGTGCCTTGGAGAGACGACAAGATGGACTTCCATCGCCAGCGTCTTTTGGAGATAGCACCAGGCCACGTCCAAGGCACTCTTCTGTTTCTGACTATGGTATCTCTGGGGTCGTCACACGAGATGCATCAATGGTTGCAGATGGAGGTTAGTGACCAGTCTTCCAACAAATTGACATCTTTGCTGACGTAGTATCTCAAGACCTAACTCTTGGAACACCTCAAGAAAATGACGGAAACGACGAAACAGATGAAGCCGGATCTCTATGCACAAATGACGTCCTCGAACCTGCATTCCGACAGAACCCCCTCGTCGACAACGACTATGTCTTTGGCCAAGCCATGGGTCGATACTGTAAGTCCCATCCGTCAATCTTCGGCATATACTAACTGATCTCCACAGGGTACATGGGTCCCGCGTCATCATGGGCCTTCTGCAGAAGAGTCCTAGCCCTTGTAGGCAAGCATCTTCCCGAAGCAAACAACGAGCCTCCACCCTGGCACCTCGACGGAGTGGCCTTCCGACTACAGTGGAGACCACTCATGCCAGATGAGCAGCCAGACATCTCCAACCTACCCCCGTCAGACTATGCATATTTCCTCATTCAGACTGCGAGGTTCTATCTTGGTCCTTTGGCGAGTTTAATAGATGAGGCTGAGTTTCTTCAGCATTTTAAAGAGTTGTATCAAGATGCTTCTGCGAAAGCTGCGTCGTGTAAACTGTGGTATGCACAGTATTTACTCATGATAGCTTTTGGTAAGGCTTTCTTGGGTGGGAAAAGTGCTGATGGAAGCCCGCCGGGGTATCAATACGCTGCACGGGCGATGCCATTGATGCCAGAGCTGGCTGGTATTGCCCTAGATCCGGTTCTTTCTGCGCAGGCACTCACGCTGGCAGCCATATACTTTCAGTCGGTTGATATGAGAGTGGCAGCGTATCAACATATCGGACAAGCTCTTCGTATATGCGTGTTGTCGGGATTTCACAGACATATGCCGGAAGAAGCTGTTGGGGCACAGCACTCCAAGCGCTGCCACATCATATTCTGGGTAGTCTACATGCTGGATCAAGAGTTCGCTGCACTGATTGGTGCAACAAGTGCGATCAGAGACGAAGATATCACTAACAAGCTGCCTTCTCAGGCGGACAACTCATTGAGCTCTCTCAGTTTGACTCTTCATGTTCAGCTAGCACGGCTGATAGCACGGCTCCTTGGAAGTAGGTTGATGCCCCTATAATGTGACCTGACAGCTGCTGACATTCCGAAGCGGTATATGGAGTTGGTAGAGATTATGATGGCACCCTTTTTAGTAACACGCAGTCTATCCTGAGGAACCTGGCGGAGCTTAACCGGGATCTGAACAACATCATCAACAATCATTTCCGAGACTCGATTAGCAAAGCGTCACGGATTGCAACAAGACTTCTGCTCCAATATCACCATGCGAGTTTTCAGAACAACGCAATGTTGAACATAAACTGACCTACTCTCAGTGCGTCGTGCTGACAACGAGGCCGCAAATAATGTGCGCTTTGCATATGCACATCGAACAGTCAAAGACACAACTCATGACCCATGGCTTATCACTATCTCCACCAGTGGCTTCACTGATACAGTCATGTGTCAGCTCAGCACAGGCAATTCTGAAGACTCTCCGTGCCTTGGCAGACGAAGACCTCATCGGTGAGCATTGAGTCAAACCGATTTCGGGAGAAGCTGACACCGAGTGTAGAAGCCTTTCTGCCTTTCCAAATTGAGTATGCCTCCTCATCAGCATTTCTCCTCCACCTCATTCCCATTATCTGTCCATCTCTTCTCTCAGATGATTCATGGCGCGATGATGCTCGCCACGTCTTTGATACCCTGATCGCCAAAGGTAGTCTCATAGCTCCTCTGCGCAAAGTAGAACTTGAGCAGTTAGAGCAAAAGCTATCGGCTTTGACGCCAGCTAGTAATATCGCAACGCCAGAAATACCGACCCAGGTGGAAGAGCATGCCACCGTTCAGGAAGAGGAGAACGGGGAACCAGAGATACACGAGCCTGTCCCAGATGAAACAGGATGGGATCTCTTTGCGGCTAATGCCATGGCTGGGTTGACGCCAGGCGAGCTGTTGGACCTGGCAGAACAGCTAGATGTGGATAGTTTCTTATATCAGCCCGAGATGTAGGAGACTGAAAGGCAAAGCATTGAAAGAATTAATAGAGTACTTCCCTAACCCATCTTCTCATCTTCTCATGCCCTGATCTGACGCTATACTTAAATAGGCTGAAGTCGCTTTCAAGCCATTTGATAGGACCAGCCCGTTCCAAGCCACAGGCTGACTCCAAGGCGCACAAGTACCAAGCATGAGTTCAGCTGAAACCGTTCAACTCACCAACTTCAAACGACTGGAATTCGTCAAAAAGAACCCCAAAATACCAGCTGCCAGCGCTGGACCCTATCATATAATTCTTAGTGGCTTAAAGAACAAACTGTGGTCATGGCACAGGTGTCTGCAGAAGCACGAGTCCCTTCCCCGCCGCCCCTCATAGTGGGCAGAGGCAAAGGTCGCGCAAACGCCGTCCCTCCAGCACATGCGCCTAATCAGCAATATGCGGCAATTCCAGACACAAGCTACAACAATAAATTCACGCCATATCCATACGATTACAATATCTTGCCACCGTTATCTCCACCTACTCCAAAGGCTGCCCTCAGCCCGAGCCCCAAGCTGCTTCAAAATCAACAAGCCGCATCTTCTTTTAGCGAGCTGTCTTACCAGTACAGACCAATTGAAGATGCATGCATCAGACTGGTTAGAATATTACCGGAGAGGAAGACGATGATCAAATGTGAGATAATACATGTTTCTCTGGAACAACCTCCCCCATACGCGGCTATTTCCTACACTTGGGGAGATACCGGTGATACCCGAAAGATCGAGATTGAAGGGTGTTTGATCCCGATAGCTGTCAGCCTTCACGGCGCATTGCAAGCGCTTCGTCAAAAACACTCATCTGTGATGGTCTGGGCAGATGCTCTCTGCATTGATCAAAAGAACAGAGACGAACGGAGCCAACAGGTTCAACTCATGCCGTTTATCTACTCCAATGCTGAGAACGTCGCAATCTGGCTTGGTCCGGAAGAAAACGACAGCGCAAGAGCCGTCAGGTTTCTTGAGGCCATCGCGACTACAGGTCAACCTCTTAGTTCCAATAATATCTCCCAACTCTTAGCAGCAGGTGCCGAGAACGGTGATCTTTTGGCCGTGGTATCGCTCTTTGGACGGGAGTACTGGAGACGATTATGGGTTGTCCAAGAGGTCTTCAACGCGAAAAGAATAACGGTCCACTGTGGCTCAACCCGGCTCGAGTGGAAGAAATATCAAAGTGCTTCAGTGTTATTCAGCCAGCGCCGAGGAGAACTTATCTTCAACAACAAAGACCAACTGAAGAGACGGTTGGCAACTTCGCCGGATCAGTTTAGCTATGTTCAGACGCTCATCTACCAGGGACCGGCAAGTCTACCAGATCTCAAATTCCACATGTCGGATGGCGAAGAGGCTCTTCTACAGGTGTTAAGAACTTGTCGTAGAAAGCTTGCATCTGATCCTAGAGATAAGCTCTACGGTATTCTTGGCGTTTTACCAGCGAGTATTCGGGAAGAGTTCCGTGCGGATTATAATCTCTCTGTCAAAGATGTTTATACGGAGATTGTCGACTTTCTTCTCAAGACTACAGAGAAGCTTGACATTATCTGTGAAGCAATCCACTTCCCTGTTCATACTAGCACTGCCAATCTTCCAACATTCGTTCCGGACTGGTCACATATACCGCAAACATCAGCAATGGGCTTCAAGTACAATTTCGCAGCTTCAGGCTCCAGTAAAGCTATCTGCCGCTTCCGCGATGAGCGGCTAAACAAGCTTGAGATCTCTGGCCTCGAAATCGATGTTGTTCAAAGCAAAGGTGTCGTCGTCGGAACACTTTGCAACTTGGGAGATTATCTCATGGCGTTCCTACACTGGAGAGCGTTACTTCTCCACGCTGTCCAAGGTCGCACCGAGCAGGAAATACAAATGGCAGAAGAATGCTTTGCAGCAACGATATGCCTCGGTCAAGTCCCATCGGAATATGACCGAAGTCGATGGCAGGCAGAAATCTGCCATGTCTTTGCGAACCTCTTTCGCGATCGTCTACCATATATCAATCTCGATGAAAGGCTGTCTCGTTATTTGAAAATCCCATCCGAAGTGAAGGCTGAAATGAGGAGACATTTTCTGCAAATTCATTTTGGGGACCGTATGATGGGGAGATGTTTCTGTCTTACACAGAATCGTCGGCTTGCGATGGGTTCGGGATTCATGCTTGCGGGTGATATCATCGTTGTACCACTTGGTTGTTCGACGCCTATACTAGTGAGAGCAGAAGGGACGCAGGGTGAGTATAGATATGTGGGCGATGTATATATTGATGGGTATATGTTTGGGAAAGCTGTTGATCAATGGCAGGCGGGAAAGCGGCAGTTGAAGAAGTATATACTTCACTGAAATTGAGTATTCTTGGCGATATGTCCTAGTTCCGAAAAGTCCTAGATATCTTACAACGTCAGGGATTAATAGGAAGGCTATAGAATGGTGGGTGATGTCAGGGTGACATGTGGTAAGCCTCGGTCCCCGAAACAGTACCGCCCACTGGTGATCGGAAATGATGTCTCCATGTTCCCGGTCAGTGGTCAACGATTTAGCCTTTAAAAGGCTCAGCCAATCAAACGACCTATCTTGAGTGATTGATAATGAGGCATATACCTTCGTTATGGATGGGAGAGAAAGTGGTTACACAAGTAAACTCCGAGCCAATATCCGCCCCAATCGTACGTTCACCTGACGTCAGCCAGATAGAGTTAGTGAGGCGAACAATCAATGTCACTTCGAAGCGAGGCCAAGTGGCCCATCCTTGTCACCGACTGAAACTCACTGGTCGTGATGAAGGTGTAGTATTGGGAGCCAGTTGATCATACATAGTACGCATCAACATGCTTGCCAGAATATATACATGAGATAGGACTGAGAAACACTGAACCTCACACGAAACTTGACAACCCTTGTGTTTTCTTTGTGTAATTTTCCCATCTAATCGAAACTAAGACGATAACCCACGGTCATCATCATTCACTATCAACCTTTGAGAGTCTTGGCATGCGCGGCGAGTTTCTCAACACATCCTAAGAACCGCCAATCAGATCAGCGTCAACGCGACCTCTCATAGTGAAGCAATCATGGGCTATATATCGATTTCTACACAAGGCACGCCAAGTCCTGAATTAACATTAAGTGATGCACTTTGGAGAGAAAGGGTGCCGCACATAAATGGAGAAAACCACTTCTTCTGGCCGTATCCAGTCCTGAAAAGGCTAATGACACGGGAGACAATTATCCAGCAACTTCAATTCGTCAAGATAGGACTGGAGGACGCGGAAAGATGCACCGACTTAATTCTGGACACCAATCAAGCCTCATTTCTTCGGGTCTTTGCAGTCCTGGTTATCGCAGAGCGTCCCGGCGATATTCAGGCTTTCATAGACGCAGACTTGCATGATCAAAAGTTTCCTCTGGTGCAAGGATCTGAGTATCATCTTGTTGCGCAGATTTGTATGGCGAAACTGGGGTGGTCTCACATGCAAAAGGACTATTTCAACATTAACCAACTGCGAATGTCGGCGAGGTTCTTTGCACTGGGGGATAATTACCAAGCTCGGCACTACGATATACCCAAAGGGCAGATGTTGCCTTGGGTATTATGTAGAGACAGCTACGGAGTACACGAAGAGACACTGTCAGGGGGATGCGGAGAGGTTATCAAGTACAAGATCGACTCCAACTCACACGACTTTTCCCCGTTACTTGAGAAGGTAAGTTCATTTCGAGTCTTGCTGATTTATACAAGAATCTTATTTCCATACCGCCTAGCTTGGCTTTTATAGTAGCTTCGTTGCCGTCAAGTCTTCGAAAAAGACAACCAAGGGGATAGGCGCTTCTAACAAAGAGTTTGAAATGCTCAAACGATTCAGTGGTCTGAATCACCCGAACATCGTCACGCTTTTAGCAACATACACCCTCAATAACCGGTTTCACTTCGTATTCCCAGCTGCCGAGTACGATCTCCTCCTATATTGGAAAGTGCACGCTGGTCCACTCGTTAACCCAATTTCAGCCAACATTGAAGGCCTCCTATGGCTATCTGGACAAATTCGAGACCTTCTCGCTGCCCTTGTGCATATTCACAAGGGCAAGAAAGTTGATCTGGATACAGAGGAAAAGTTCGGTAGACATGGCGACATCAAACCTGCCAACATCCTTTGGTTTAAATCACGGAAGGAAAAACGTGGTATCTTTGTCATTTCAGACTTCGGTATTGCAGATGCCCACCGAGAGGAGAGCAGATCCATTATTCCTGGCGTCGATTTGCCTGTCACACCCAGATATCGAGCACCCGAGTGCGATATCCGAAATGGCCAGATATCCAGAGCATTCGACGTCTGGAGTATGGGCTGTGTGCTGCTCGAAATGACCTGTTGGATCCTTGGGGCAAATGAACTTAGAGAATCCTTTAAGGAGGCCCTGGTTTCACCTTATATCACGGGGGTTAAGACCGACATATACTTCGATATCCAATGGCTCGGTCCCAGAGAAGGTTATAGATTCGGAGTAAAAGAGCAGATTATCAGCGTAAGTCTTACAGAACATAAATTTGCCCAAAGTCCTTGCTGACAGTATTGGCAGTGGATCGGTTCCTTGCACAATAAGCCGGGCTGCAGCCCCTACATTCATGATTTATTGGATATAATACACAAAGATATGCTGGTAATTGATAAGGATAGGAGAAAGAGTATGGCTGAGTTGTTTGACAGTGTTGACAAAATGCATCAACGCGCCGTTCAGAACATAGACTACATTAGAGAGTCTGAACCGAGGGAAGTGACTCTTGAGGCAAGATATATGACTGGGGTGCATCTAAACAATAAGATAGAAAACATTCTCGAAAATCGGGAGGAGAAAAGAAAGCAGGTGAAGGAGACCTTGCATTGAAAGGTATCGGGTAACTCTTGACAGATGCACAGGCCCAGACATAGCAGGGCAGGGTGAGTTCCGAATGGCGCCAATATAATTATCGATAATCTTGTCTGGAAAATTAATAGCGCTTCGGATTATATCGATATAAATACGTTAGCTTATCTAACCTTAGTTCTTTTTTGTTTAGTGAAGCCAACTGAAGTTAGCAGTGACGTTTTTAAACAAGGGTCAGGATATGTCCGATTAGTCTCGACCGATCCATTACCATACTACCGGAATTGCGGCGCTGGAGCAGCAGTATTTAACTACTCAATATAGCTATTACTGGAGTTTCAAGCAAGACATATGCATCCGACTGCAAAGCTTATCTATATACCACCGTGACACCCAAGAAAGCGTAAGGAAAACAACCTTTATTTGGAAAGTGTCACAACAGCTAACAATATGGCACAACAGCACTATCTATAGAACAAAGATTGTTACAAGCGTCCCGACAGTCAGGAAATCAGTTACAGCAATCAGCACAGAGCTCGTAACCGCCACAAGAACCAACTCTGTCGTATAGAGTATCACCATCGATAATACTACAACTGTGACACAAGATGGTACAAAGACAGTTACTGAGCAGACTACAAAGACAATCACGACAACAGCTGAAAATGTCAATCCTCCATTCAAGAAGCGAGCAGTTAACATCCCTATCATTCCTTCTTACGCTAGCAGCGCGTGCAGCAACTCGGCCAAGTACTCATCGGCATGTTCTCGCGTGGGTGTAACCAGCAAAACCATCACTCTTCCCCGAACAACGATCGTTTCAGTCATCCAAAAGGTTATCATTCCACGAAGGACTACGATCAAGACAGCTATTGCAATTGCATATGCCACCAAGACAGTCAAGACAGAGGTTGTCCAAGAGACATATACCACTGAGAAAATCAGCAAAGTTGTTGGAACGCAAGTAAAGGACAATATTATTGCCACTGAGACCAAGACCGAGATTAGCACCAAGACCGAGGTAGTCGACCCACTGCAAACGATCTATCTCATCGCACACGACAGTGATGATCCCAGTCTGGCTCCTCTTGGCGGCGTTGGTTTCACCGACCTAGAGAACCAAATCGGCACTGGCAAATACTTCCTCGACTTCACCGCCGACGTTTCCTCCACCTTGACATTTACCCTCAACCAACGCACAGGAGAGAAAAACCCGTCAACGGACCTGGAAGTTCGACTGGAACGAGCGCTTACTACAACACCAACGGAAACTCAAACAACTATGTGCAGTTCATGTCGGCCGAGGATGCGACAGCGAATGTGGCGAACTCTTTGGTCTGCAAGATTATCCCAGCGACCGAGTATCCCTTAGGTCTTCAGTGCTTGTGGGGAACGAACCAGATTGCGACCTTTTGGACCTGCTCTTCAAGGTTGGTGCTTGTTCAACCGGGAGTTTACTTCACGACTCTGTGTTCGGGTGCTTCTACCTCCTATATTATTAATGTGGAGGTTCGTTTGGCTTGAAGAAGCCATATGGGATAATATATATAACATAGATAGATCTGTTACAACATTAATAATTTATCTTACCAAATTACTTCTCTTTCTTTAGTCTTACAGCCTCAGAAAATTTGTCCACACTTTTGTTAATAGTCAAGAGGGCTGTTTTGCCACCCGTAGTACTGGTTTCTGAACTGGTCTCACGACTGGCGACGGACTCGGCCTCCTTTGAGGTTGACAATTACCCTTCACCATGACAGTCTCACATCTTCTTCCACTCTTAATGTCTTTTCAAAGAAGTTCGCTCTCGCTTAAGTCAAATAGGCCGCGGACAGATTCACGAGAACTTCTGGATGGGTTTGGTTGACTTGAAAAGGTTATCGAAGATTCTTGATTGATGGCTACTGTATCTAAGTTGCTTAGTCCCATTCATATGATGTTACTCCTGTCATAAGACACATTCACCGACATAGTCTTCCTGATATGTGGCGACAGCGCTGGACTGGCAGGCTCGCCAGCTGGCCCAGCATTGCCCTGACCATTCATGGAACCACGATGTTCCTTGAGGATACTCTTGTCACTCTGATTGTCAGAAGTATGATCTGGGTGAGCCTCCGTCTCGATGAGAGCACTCCATTGACCAGCCTTGTTCTTGGGAACGAACATGATGTTGTTCATGTTCTTCAGGCGATGCGAGTTCTCGCTTGACTTGGCCGTTGATGGGAAGACTTTGCGAAGCATGGGTCGAAGGGTAGGAATGCAGGCGGCCATGATGATGAGAGCGTTTTCGGCGCAGGCTGTTAGGAGAAGTTCACCTACGTCGTAGGTGGGATCGGTGCTTGTTGCGTTGGCTTTGAGTTTGGTGCACTTGATGACGGCGATGGCACCGGCACTGGAGGAGTTAGTAAGCGAGGGTCACAGAAGGGTACGAGAACGCACAAGACACCAAGACTCATGGCGACAGCGACACCGAACTTTTCCTTGTTCTTCATGTTCAGGTTCCACAACATAGCCCATGGAAGAAGTGCGAGGATGAAGTCAGTGGCAGCAGAGTAAGCTTGATGAATGTCAGTATCAGATCAAAGCAGCGGTATGGAACAGACTTACCACCGATGAAGTACAAGACTCCAAGGTAGGCATTAGGATGCCAGCACTTGCTCACGATAGCCGGGTTCCATGTTGTTCGAGGATCTTCGCAGTGTACAAAGACAATGATGGAGATTAGGATATGAAGGGTAAGCATAGTGACGACGATGAACCAGAGGAACCGATGGATGAATCGTTGTGCGGCTAGACGCATGAGACTGATGGAGAATGATGTCTTGCCCAGGGCGCAGGACATGACGACGAAGGGCTGTGAGACTTGGCCCAGAAGTGCGACCGGGACAGCATCTTGAGGGGCGAAGGTAAGAACCCATTCGATATGTCGACCGAGACCTTTCTGAACAGCGGCTTCGATGATGGCGCCATAAATTATGAGGAGGATCTGTTGCGATGATGCTTGTTAGTATGTGAGATGTTGAAGGAAGTAGCTGTCTTACCAATGAAAGGACGATGACCCAGTCATCAAGACCAAAGACCTTTCGCACAAACAATCTTGTGTACACTCTAAGTCCAACAAAAAGGATGGGAAAGATAACGGAAAGCCACGTAACAGTCCGAATCATCGGCCCCCGCGTCTCAGCGAGATATTCAGGAGAAGGCGTAGCAGCAGCCATGTTCGCATCAATAACCAACAAGTCTGTCTCACTCTTCTTTAACCGACTCCTTCATGCGTCTTATATGTTCCAAGGACAAACCTTGATACACGATACGAAAATAACCGAACCGGTAGGCAAACAGACTTTTCGTAACATAGCTTTGTTCTCTCAAGCATATGTCACATCTCAAAGAGACCAGATGAAGGATTTCGAGTATCACAAAGGGCAAAAAGAAAAAGGATGTTCATCGTGGGGAAAGATTGGCCTCGGGAGAGACCGAGGCCGTTGGACTCGAAACAACGGCTGAGAAAAGCAACGCTGAAAACGGGGCAGTAAAAGTGCCGAGTAGCGAATCCAATCGAGGGCATGAGAATATCCCGACTGTGAGAGGAGAGAAAACTATGGGGACGATCAATGCCATCGCAATCATACGTTAATCAAGCCCCAACGGAGACGATCTGCAGATCCAATCATGGGGGGACAATAGACGACGTTTGTTCTTTTGCATAATATGTCAGATATCAGTTGTTACAACAGGGTAGCAAGCAAAATTAGAGCATGGGGGTGCTTATTGTTATCTCCGTATTGCTGCCAATCCCGGTGAGGTGTTGGGTCTCGCGAATCTGATAGATCAGATGCCGTGCCATACTCCTGCATATTGGCTTGCCACAGAGAGTGGATTTGCCAGCCGCGAGAAGTTTTGCAGGAAATCTGTGCAGAGTGGATTTATTTGAATCAGAGACTTGATTATTTTAGTGTTGAAGAAACCCGTTGCGTGAAGATCAACGGTTATCAACGTTAATTGATGTCTTGTCTAGTTGAAGCCTGGTTCCCTCACCGATGGCGTACTTGTCCCGTGTCACTAGCTCGTTATCTTTTTGTGTAAGAGTGTGTACGAACCAACAGTAAAGTAAGCCACTAATTACGTGACAATCACTTCTCACATTTCAATTCTATTCAGCTTGTGCTTTGAATATTGCCTCGAGTCCTGTAAGCTCTTTGTTTGCTCAGCCTTTTCCAAGGGTACCCCTGGTCTAGACAAGGATGATCCCGCCTCCCTGGTGAGATATTATCTCTTCTCTCGTTCTAATCTTGCAGAACCTAAACCGATTCAGACAATATCAACCGAGTTGGTTGCTAATCGAGGCCGTGTGCGTGGGATTCTTTGTTATAGCTACTGCATGCCAAGTTTCAAGGAGCCTCATGCTTGTGTGGGGAAGCCAACAATTTCACACTTGTTTGCGAGGGAACGCTTCCTGTTCCTGTATTCTCAATGGCTGCCCCGCTTCTCTATTTGGTTTCTCCCGCGTAGAGATGAGACATATCATAAACACTAGCATAAAGACCCTGTAAGTATGTGGTGGAGTACAGTTACATGGTGCATAATCCAGACGCATTCTCTTCAACGGCGTCACTTTTCTCTTTGCCTGTGATAAAGACAGTGTGGAGTTCAAGTGCATTGCACAAATCCAGTAATCAGACCATGTCCTCCGCAAAAAGCAATATAGATCCAGCTCGGTCCCGCGTCTGCATCCCGCTGTTGCTTTTTAATTAACTTTATGATATATCCTCCTTGTTTTCTCCGCAGATGCACTCGTTGTCTCTGTAGATCATGGCCCTTTCTTCCTTCGACCTGAGCTACGTCCTGTACGTTGGCGTTGCTTTTGTCGTCGCTCGTATCTTTTACGATCTCTTATTCTCGCCTCTCAGACGCATTCCTGGCCCTCTTGCTGCAAAGTACACGGACTTTTATCGGGCGTATCTTGCCACCAAGGGAAATGTTGATGGACATATGCGCGCATGGCATCAGAGATGGGGCTCTGCTGTGCGGGTTGGTCCAAATACGATCAGTATCAGTGATCCAGATCTGATTCGTGTTATTTACACGACGAGAAACCCTTGGCGAAAGGTAAGCACCCTGCAACGATGCCCAATTGAGCTTTGGATGTTCCTTGGGTGGATTGAAATGGTTCAGCGGGTTCTGACTGTGCTAGACTAATATGTACCGCCCCAATGATGTCGTTGTCAATGGCCAGCGCATGCAGAACATCTTCAACACTGCAGATGAGGACTTTCACACCAAGTACACCAAGCCCATCCGCGGCTTCTGGACTCTCCCCAAGATGCTGGAGGCTGAGCCCATCATGGACGAGACGCTGTGTGAGCTGATTACTCACCTGGACAATCGCTTTGCCAGCACCGGTTACGTCTGCAAAATGGATGAATGGGTTGCTTACTACGCCTGGGATGCAGCTGCCAACATTAGCTTCGGTCGCAACTATGGCTTCATGGACCAAGCTGCTGACGTGGAGAACATCATTGCTGAGAGCACGGCTGGACTCAAGTATTTCACACCCGTCAGCCAGATCCCGTGGCTTGACGAGTGGCTAGACAAGAATCCCATCTGGCGCATTGGTCCTCGTCCCCTTGTCAATGGTGTGCTGTACACCGTCAAGATTCTCACAGAGTATCAACAGCAGGTGGCTTCTGGCGCTGCCAAGCGTAAGCCTGTGGACCTCTTTATCGACAAGTACAACAGCCTGAAAGAGACTGTTGACTATGTTGATGACCAACAGATTCTGAATTGGCTTATGCTGAACGTTTTGGCTGGCGGTGACTCGACAGCTGGTGCTATGCGCGCCCCTGCTTATCATCTCTTGAAGAACCCTTCTGTCAGCGAGAAAATGGTCGCCGAGCTCCGTTCTGCCAACTTGACTCTGCCTGTTCCTCAGTGGAAGGAGATCAGTCAATTACCATATTTCGATGCAGTCATGCGCGAGTCTATGAGAATCTCACCAGCTGTTGGTCTCATCCTTGAGCGCGAAGTTCCAAAGGAAGGCCTCGAACTTTCAGACGGGCGCTTCATTCCTGCTGGAACAAAAGTCGGTATCAATCCTTGCGTAATCACACGCGATGTTGGTGTCTTTGGTGAAGATGTCGATACCTTCCGACCTGAGCGGTGGCTTCGCAACAAGGGTGAATCTGAACAGGGACATGCTCAACGCGTGCGACGAATGCATGAGTGTACTGAGATGATGTTTGGACACGGTTCACGGGTTTGTATGGGTAAACACATGTCCAAGTTGGAGATGTATAAGATGTTTGCTACACTTTATGTGAATTTTGATGTAAGTCTAATCATCTCTCTAAGTTGTCAAGATCAAGTACTAACCCAAATGTAGGTTCGTATTACTGATCCGAACCATAGGTGGGAGTATGATAACTCCTGGTTTATGTATCACAAAGACATCCCGTGTACTATTAGTCGTAGACAGAAGTCATAACTCTGGATCATAAAAGTATTTCAGTGCTATTAAAAGGCCAACTTCAATAAGAATAAGTATGGCGCCCACCTTGAGCCGTTCCCAACCGCATCCGGACAACTCCTGCTTTAACTTTGTACCTTCTATCGCCATTTGACCCTCCGTCAAGGAATTTAATTTGTTTTTGAACCTGTCTCTGAACACTACGTTTTACTATATTATTATCCATAAGAGCCCCAGCTAGCCCCTGGCAGTGTATTCGTGGGGTATAATCCTCACAAATAGAAGTAACTTGATCTAGCAACAAATCTGCGCGTCCTAGGCTTTACACATGTAATTATCTATAGCTGTGCTTGTTGGTCCTTCAACTTGGAACTGCTCTTCTACAGTATGCATCACTTCCAGCACACTTTTCATGCAATTCTTTCAAATAATCTCGAACAGCCGTACAACTTGCCCGGTCCCTGGCGTCTGTTCGAAGAAGGTCTCTCTTAACTAAGCCGATGATGTCGCGAGTAAACTGGCTGTTACTTTTGTCGAGAAATTTGGACATTTCCTGGTCGGTGTAAGCGAATCATATCAATATTTCCAGAGCATTGGCATTGCAACATACTATTTGTACGGATTCTTTTAACACTGGGCCAGAATCAGAAAGATCTTTTTCTGGGCCAATTGCTGTACCATCCGGGTTCCTTTGAGTCAATCTCTCAGAGTCTAGGTTTAGGATAGTGGTATTCGAGTTACTGTACATGAAGAATTTGTCTTCACGTGTAAAAGCCCCAGATTCCTCTTCTTCATTGCAGCTCAAAGTTGACAACGATTCAACTCTTTCCCAGCCACCATAAGACCAGGTTATAAAGTGTAAGATAATGTATCCCAGAGACCATAGATCCGAATCGGATGCGGAGTCATCTTTGTGTATCTCAGGGGCGCGATAGGTCGAATTTACACATGATCCGGAGCCTCTTTGGTGATATAACTGCTCGTCGTGAAACTGCATGGATCCAAAATCTGTAATCTTAAGAACACCTCCAGTAGATGTTGATGTACTAAAACAGAGAATAGACTCTGGGCTTAGGTCTCTGTGTGGAGGAAGTAGTCCATGGCCACTTTCTGTTATCACCTCTGTAGGGAAGAGATCTCGGATCAACTGCAAGGCATCAGCCAAACCAAAAAGCTGTGATGATATCCACTTCGTCAGGTCAATTGAGTTACTGTTAGGAGAATTACCCATCCAGAACTGCATTAGATCACAATCAGCCAACTGGAAAATGAAACACTGAGTTTTGCCATGGGTTAGGCCAAGAAGAAGTTGTAATATGTGAGGATGTCGTTTCCCGGCTGTCGTAAGTAAAGAATCAAACCTCAAGTCATATTCCGTTTCTTCGATATCTCGGAAGGTCTTGATGGCAAAGATATTTTGGTTCTCGTGCTAAATTTTCGCGCTAATTAATTGAATGCCAGTTTCAGTAGATTCTCATGACCACTCACTTTGGGGTCACCCCGGCTGTGGTGAACGTGATGGATTGTGACCTTTTGCACCCCCAGGCATCCCTCCATCTCGCCCAGAGCATAATCTGGTGGAGCTTCGCTCACCGCGAAAGGGAGTGGCAACATATCGCTCAACGTGTAGTGCGTGGCCCGCGGCTCATCCTCATTGGCAAGGACAAAGTAGGGTGCGAGCATATACCATTGATAGGAATCAAACATATCGGACTCGTGTTCCTTCCAGTCTATGAAGGCCTGAATGGGTTGTGAGGATGTCCCATGTCTCCGGACTAGCTTCATACCATCTGGGTCCAAGTCAAATGGCAGGTCGTTATCCGAAAAACCCTCATCGCAAACATGGGCGATAGCAGGTACCTTTCCCATTAGAACAAGAATGGCAAAAATCTTCTTCCGCGTTGGAGGCGCCATGGAAATGCTCGTCGAGTCAATTGGACCAGTATAAGTTCCGCATGTCTCTTCAAGTCAATAACACCTTGGACTTCCAAGGCTCTCCTGGACAGTTCTGGTTCTTCGAATAAGTCAAGTCTTTTGAACTCATCCAGAATTGACTCGTAGTTTATAATCCGATTCAACTAGTCAATCGGGAGGTATTTCGGCGGATGAAAGCTTGTGGCTGCTTCTGGACCAGAATCCTCATCTGGTCCGATTGATTGTACCAATGCTTGACGTGTTACCTTCCCAAGAGATAAAGTGACATCATTTTTAGTACTTCGCAGAGATTCTGAGTCTTTGCTTGTACTGGAACCCCATGAAGAAATATCAGACTCGAGCAATTGTAAAGGATCTGGGTCATCGTCCCCCTGGGCTTTATCGGAGTCTGTATCGCTGGAAAGACCATTCTCCTTATTAAGTGACTGTCCCGTCACAGCAAAGCACGCCAGCCTCTCTTGGTGGTAGGCCAGATGATTAAAAAGACCTCTGGAGAATGGCCTAGCCGACAGGCAAAAGGGACAGGAGACTGTTTCTTCTTGATGACTGGCCTGCCCCAAATTCAGCATTGCTTCAATCTGACCTCTCCCAAGTTCTTGATGTGACGATGCGAGGTGTTTTTTAAGAGATTCTCTTGACGAGAAGTTCTCTGGGTGCTCAAAGCAGCGAAAAACCTTCCAGTGGATCTGGGCCTCATGGCTTAACCACGCAGAGCGAGTCCCGTACATGGCATTTGCATCTGGGCAGTCATTCCAAGTGCACATGTATGGTTGGAGATCTTGGATTATATGTTTCCTCAGTCAGATGTTAGCATACTCTCTTCTTGCTTTGGGACGTGACAAATTATCACCTCCAGCGGCTGAGTTGAAACTCCTTGGCAGGGCAGACGATATGACAATAGGGGGATCGGGCCTCCATCTATCCAGGGTCCAGACTAGGAGCGGGTGGAAGGTTCGATGCAGTCTCGTCGATGTTGTATGCGGTCGAAATGTGAGATACTGTTGAACTGGTATTACTTACAGCATCCACATGTCGGTTGACTAAAGTATGTTCAGTCTCAGATAAAACGGAAGTTTCCGCTACAGGCAACATTGGCACACGTCGATTATGCTCCGGTGTTTGCGTGAGAAGTTGACTAGGACTGTATTGCAATGGTTGATGAGTTGGAATTGTAGGCTATTTCGAAGTCGCCTCACTCCCTCTTGTTGCTAACTTCTCTGCATGTCTTTCCCAGTACGCACATATGCGACGACGGTTGGTGATAGATTTAATCCACCGATTTATGAGATTTTGATTTATCGCCAAGACGTGGGTTGTCCCTGTGCCAGCAAGACTGGTCTCATAGTTTTGAGGAGTGATGAATGAATGGCTTTGTGAAGATGCCTGGCGCCTCAATTCGAGCCTCCAATATGTAAAAATCTCTTCCACGTGTGCTTGATCGAACTCGGCGTTCAGGCTGAACAAATCTACTTCAGTACTCTCATCAGACTCCTCTACCTTTACCATTTGTCTATGAGATAGAGCCCTCAAAATCGGAAGCCCAGTCGATCTGGTAGCAGGGTTTCTCAGTTTGAAAGATAGCTTGAAAAGATCAGAAATGATGGAGGCTATCTCCACTAGATTATGACCCAACTCAGTCTTTCGAGGTGTTTCGTCTTCGTTATCGAAACTGTCATCAGACGTACTATCCCACAATTCTTGGTACTCAGCAAGAGTTTGTTCAAGAGACAACCGACGTCCTTGCAAGATTTCCATATCTATATCTCTTTGTAACTATAATCTCACTGAGCTCTGGTGGAAGTTGACCTACTGCTAAATATCACCTGTTCGAGCTGCTCAAAGCACTGATTAATTGCCAATTTCATCGCCGAAAAGTCTCGTAGCCGGGCGTCAAAAGCTGCATTCCCACTTTGAAGGGCTCCTATATTACTCGCCCAGACTCTGAGTCGATCTCTCTGATTGGAAAGAGCCTTTTGGGGGAGACATTGGTTGTGAATATAGGATGCGTCTTTAAGAGTGGATATGAGGACATCGAAAGACAGCAGACAGTCCCTAGTTAGTGATGCGAGAGAGTTGTTAAGCCCAGTGTCCATTGTATCGAGACAAAATTGCAGAACTAGTGACTTTCTACCTGGACTTCTTTTTCTTAGTACGGTTATTTGCTTGAAATGTGTCTAAAAGCGTTCCTGTAGCTGATGAGGGGAAGATCGAGATACCCCTTTTGCAGGCTATCGATTCGGCCTGTGTCACCCCTACGGTCTGACAGCGCTTCGTGGCTTCAACTGGTTGGTTAGTATGATTTCAATCCATCAACGGCAAATGAGATCGCATCTACTTCCTCTTTCGTATGCACCACTTGGCTCATATCTCTTCCATTCCGTCCATCACAGCCAAGCGGACCTACGACCTTCGACCTGAGTTTCAGTATGGCTGAAGTCGCCGGCTTAGTTCTTGGAGAAATGCCTCTTATTATATCAGTATTAAAGCACCACGATGAGTTATCGGAGTACACACTGGCTTTCTTCCGTTGGCAGAAGGCCAAATCACTGATGACACGACAACTTGCGCTATGTCAGGTGGACTTTGAGTTGAATATGCGCTTGCTTCTTAAAGCCGCCGTTAGCCCAGAGAAGCACTTTGAAATGATAGAGAACCCGCAGCATGTTTCATGGAAAGACGGCGAGTTCCTCCAAAAGATAGAACAGAAGTTGGGCAAGTCTTATGCGCTCCTGATAAGCATATTGCGTGACATCGAAGGTACTATGGTTTGGATCGCTTCAAGCCTTGATATAGCCGGTTCATATGAGGTCCGTCAACAGCTTGTCAATCAAGTGTCACGATCGCAAACTAACCTCAATAGCTGGCGCAAAAGGGATTGGGAGCCATCATACAAGAGCAGGCTCCTGTCGCCCAGACCGCGCATCCGCGAAAGGCTCTCCGACTACAAAAGCGAGCGAAGTTTACATGGAGCCGCCATAAGATCAAGGCTGAGATGAAGAAGCTGGAAGATTGCAATGCAAAGTTGACCAGAATCTTGACAGCTTCTAATTCGCTCACCGAGTCGGCACCAACCACGGACAAAATGGCCGTAAGCTTCGTTGGACTTCTAGAAGAAATCTCTAGAAACGCTTCCAGAGTCCATGATGCATTATCCAACAGTTGGTGCGTCCTTGGTGACTGTACCCATAAGGCTGGCATAATGTTGGAGGAGAGACTGTCTCGAAAATCCATGAGCCACAAATCTGGTGCAACTCGTCCATATGGAAATTTTGGACACTTTAGTATCTCACTTTGGAGAGATGCTGTAGCGACCTGGCTGAATGCTGAGTTCCGTCTGGATCCTGACGAAATACGGGAACCAAGGTATGAATGCTCCCTTTCATAATGCATCAAGAGGCTAAGGATTTATTACTAACAAGGATAGCAGTCGCCGCGTGCGTTTCCAGCCTTCCAATATCCTCATTGACCAGCCTCAAGCCCAGGAAGTCACCGACATCTGTGCATTCATTCGGAACGCTTCTCATCCCGGCCTAGGATTTTCTATTGATAACCGTAATGTCTTACGTCGTCTTGATCGACTGGAGAGCTCATATAGCCACAATCTACAGACGGGACTTAGTTTGCAGGATCTGCTACCTGACATGAAAAATCAATCATTTGCGTTATCTGACTTCTACCGTCTAGCTATTACATTGGCATCATCCTGCATTCAGCTTCGAGGCACTCGCTAGCTTCAACAATCCTGGAACAAGCAGAGCATCTTGTTCTTTCGACCCGACCCTGATGGCGAGGCTTCTGCGCTAGAAGATGCTGGTACCCAAAAGCAATTCAGAGAAGAAGTGATCGGTGGATTGGAGGCAGAGATGCAAGCTATAGTGCACGGAGTTTAACTTGATTTCAGATGTATATAATAAGACTACCTGCTGCGTGTCCTTTAATAACCATAGCAAAGGCCAAGCTCCCTTGCCTTGTTAGATCCATCTAAAACAGTCTTGAAGACCTACCTTTTGGTAGTTACGTGACCGAGCCATGGTGTTGATATTTCTTAACACTGCGACCATAATTTGAACCCTCATACATAACTACAGTAGTGATTCGGCATCAATGTTAAGGTAATTTAGCACTATGGTATTGAGTTTTACTTTTCATTACTATCCATGCAAAATCAACTTAATGGGACATGAATACCAAGTAACTGTATCAGTGCTAAAGAGATTCAACGCTGAATCCCCACACCTGAGTCAATTTTGCCACATACGATTAACCACTGAGCTTGCCAACTTGGAGTACTGTAAGTGATGAAGTGTGTAGTGTGCGTGACTGAGATTATACTTGAGAGTGATTGAGTTCATACTTGCGAGTGATAAAAAGGACTTTACAGGTATATCATACGCATCTAATCCTGCAGAGGTCATACAAGTCTCTAAGTCTCACAATTCACATTTCATTCAACCTTCATATTTTCCCAGCCTCACTCTCCGTATGCACATCACTCAACATATCTTGACTAGCAAAGCCCTTGCTCACTCCTGTTTCACGATGGGTTCCGCCGTCCGACATAATGGCACAAAAGCTCCTCTATATACCCTTCTTTGGGAAAGAAGAATTCCAATTGCTGGCCAAAATCGGAAATTCATCTGGCCATACGAGCTGCTCAAAACTCTGATGACTCCGGACCTTGTCTACAAGGTGCTGATCTCCTCGTCGATAAACGAGAGGGATGCAACAAAATATCGAGACCTCATCCTAGGCGTATATGGAAACCGATCCACAGCCTCCTCCAAGACCTATCGCCGCATCCTTGCCATACTCGTCTTGTAAGACCGTGTAAGTGACGTTGGCAAGTTTCTGAGGGAGAAACTTCACGACGGGCTTTTCCCGTTAGATCGTACTGAAGGTCGCGAAATTGCTCAAAAGTGCTTCGAATTACTTGAATGGGAAGAGGAGGATATGGAATATTTCAACGGCTCAGAGTTGAGAGTATCGGTCGAGTAGTGATGCTGGAAGGCAGCGACAGTAATGTTGGTGACACGTATATAACTCTTCACGCCAACTAGGGAGTCTTGCTTTAAAGGATAAACAAGACAGACTTCAACCAATAGGCAATTCATTCTCATGGCTTGCAATTCTTCGTTTAGCTTCCCCTCAACCAAGCTCATCTTGTTTTGGTACATCATCTTTATTGTCTATCTCTCCCCCCCATCCTATAGTTATCCAATCATCCACTTCCCAGTGTTCTAGTATCCTTTTCGTTCTATTCGCTCACCCAAGTACTAATTAGATGGTATCTTCTTGGGTGAAGAATCGCTTGGCCCATCGGAGCTTAGAAGCAGCTCGCTTGGCGTTTCCTCCGAATCCGCCAAAGTTACCGCCGCCACCGAAACCCCCTCGACCCTGACCACCTCCGAAACCCCCTCGGCCACCCTGGTTACCGCCGTTACCTCCCTGGTTGTTATCGCCGTTTTGGCCGCCTTGACCACCGTTGCCTTGTCCGTTACCCTGGCCGTTACCATTACCTTGGCCTTTGTCTTGACCTTGGCCGTTGCCTCCATTACCGCCATTGTCACCGTTGTTACCGCCGTTGTTGTTGTTGTTGTTGTTGTTGTTGTCGTTACCACCGTTATTTCCACCGTTGTTGTTGTCGTCGCCTCCAGCGCCTGTCTCGGTAGCTGCAGGGGGTCGTCCAAGAACAACAGAGGGTGTCTCAGTAGCAAAGGCGGAGGTGACGATGGTGTTGCCAAGCAGAGCGTCGACGGCTGCCTTGTTCTGATCAGCCTCGTCGTTGGTAGCGTTCTCGTTGGCCTTCACGGAATCGGGAAAGTCCTTCTGATTCTGGAGGACCTGAGCGTTGATGGCCTGGAGCTGCTGAGTAGTCTTGATGTTCTGAGGAGTGTTGGTCTTCTTGTCGGAATCGGCCTGCTGAACGGCGAAGCAGCCACCGAAGGGGCCGGCGAGAGCGTTGTTACGGCATCGGACGGTGCAAATGTTACCGGTGGAAGCTGTTTGTTGTTAGATATCATTGATGTGTGATAGAACTTTGACATGCTTACCTCCAAAGCAGTTGAGGTCATCAGGCATCTTGACGGTGATGTTGAAAGCCTGAGTCTTGACCTGAGAGAGACCATTTGTTCCTGGAACGTTATTTGTAACGGTCAAGTTCTGAATCTCTTGTTAGTCTACTTTCACAAGTTTGCTTTCGATAGACGTACCTGAATGTTGGTGTTGGTGTTGCTGCTCTCGTCAAGATCACACACGTATGGGCCAGCACCGTCGGCGTTGACCTGATGAATGGTAACAGTGAGCTCACCACCAGCCTCAACCTGAGTGACCTTGCCAGCAGAAAGGGCATTCTCAGTGTTCTCGCCGACATCAATGTTACCAGAAAGCTCAGTGCGGCCACACTGGTTGACGATGTTGGCAGTGATCTCTGCATCACGAATGATAGTGGCATCCTGCTGACAAGGATTGATAGTGATACAGTTGCGGGCGATCTCGGGATCAACTGTCGATCTGATTAGCACCAAGCCAATCAAGCACTCAGAGTATCATGCTTACCTTGAAATCCTACACTAGCAGGAGAAGTGTCGAGACCTTGGGCATTGAGAATGACAGAGTGCCCATGAGCCAAAGCAAAGAGGGAAGGAAAGAGAATGCTCTTGAAGGAATGCATCTTGACAGTTAAAATATAAAGATATAAAAGGTAAAAATGTGCCGGCACAAAGAATAGTAAAGTTGAGAAAAGAAAAGAAAAAACGATCACCAGGATCTAGAAGAGAAGACTTTGCTGTAGAAGCTGAAGCTGATGATGACAAGACAACAACTCATTCATCGTACGTCGTACGAGTATATATACATTTTTCGCATCAGAAAAATATCGATATTTTATTGTCAGGTTCGCTGGCGAGGGTTTCTGCTACGGCCCCTGTATCAAAAACAAAGTGGAGGCTGTGTGAAGGGGGCACGTTTAAACGCCCATACCAGGGGGGGTCATCTAAGCGGGCCGAGCTGAGTGGGTTTTCTTCGCTTCAAAGGCAACACATGTTTCATCGATTCTTAACAAGGTTACTATAGACGGACTGTTTTGGGGGCATATTTTACAGTGTTAAGATTTACGGCTGGGAACTGGCGGATATATTGTCTCGAAACACTTGTATTTCCGATGATAATCGAACGATGATCATATCACTTGGCAATACACTTTCTAATAATACAACAACCGAAGGTAACCATGTAATTTTGGTTGGTGTTTCGTGAGGAGCTGGGTTTAAAACACTCAGTTATTGGCATGCACCTTCAGCTAGGTACCAAATACCATGGTGGTTCTGCTTGCTTCCAGATTAATAACCATCCAACTTAATGTTAAAATCTTCTGTGTACTGCTCATATGCAATATCCGTCTCTTGGCCATCACAGACTTCAGTAGGCCAATCGATGTTGCTGAATCCACCATTGGGAGGCTTGACGCAGCCCTGGTCGCAGCCAAGACAAATCCACCTGTTTGCCTCATCTATGGGGCCGCATGGGTCGATACAGTCAAGGTAGCAGTTAAGATTTGTGCGGAGCCGCAAAAGTTCGGTGGTTTGATGGTTTTGTTGGCCGCTTTGGGTGTTGTTGAGGACTTCTGTGGTGAGATCTGTTTCACCGCCGTGGCGGGGGTTAAAACGAATGCTTTGGCCGTTGTAGCCTATGGCAGTGGTCTATTGGACGTAGGTTGCAAGAAGAGTAATAAAAGCTGATGAAGGAGAAGGTATTTGGTTTATAAGCTTAGCGGATGTAGAATCTCGGAACAGTCAAGTAAAGCAAATGCCGGGTGAAAAGGATGCTAAAATTATCACAAAGCCTATCTTGTACCGCTTTGTATACTCAGAGAATAACTACACCTACAAAACCCAGACCGCTTCAAATTTCAATTTCCCATGGCTGAGACCATGAAGGGGGGATTCTACAAACTCTTAAAGTCGACGTTGTCACTCCAAAACTTCACAATTGTGGGTTCAAAGCTGGCAAAATTATCTCGCAACGACGGGTTACGATTCATCAAATACAGATTGACCTCCTATTTAACATTCTTGAGGGCAGGTCTGAGATGGCGGAAATTAGCCAGAGTAGATAAGGTTGCAACATAAGCTTAAATCTCTGCCGGAATATCGGCCCTCTGCATATTCGGAATTATCGTATGACTTCAGCTTTGAGTATGTGAAAAACAATACTGGTTTCTCTCAAGAGCTTAGTCGGCATGTCAAGAGAGAATAACTAATATCAAGAAACAGGAGTTTTTACGATGAGTAGCTATTTCGGCCGAAGTTTTGAACGAGTTTACTCCGTAATTAGACTTTGGTTGACTGACAGTTCCGACATTCCTACCTGGCTCTAATTGGCTGGCTCGCATCGCTGGCTCGAGTTAACGCGAGATCATCAAGCAGCGCCTCGTTACGCTCGTGTGACCGATTTCTCAGCTTTCAATAAGTGTAATCCGTGCACCAAGACATAATAGAAAGCCTGAGGGATTAGAACCCTGAAACTTTTAGAACCTTTTATCCACTTAGTGGGTTTTTGATCGGCTTGATAACGCTTCTTGGTGTTATCGCCCTGATAAGCGGAACAGGAATTATCCCTGTGGTGCTAAGTTTCTTGCTACTGTAGGGTAATCTAAGCAATTATTCAACATCAAAGGAAATATTTACAAATAACGATATTTATCCTATTTTCTGATTGAAAAAGACTACATTCGGCGAACTGTACCAAGGAAATGTGCAAGCTATCGGTGTTTACTAAGATCCATCGTGGCTTAGGTAAAAACGTCAGCAACAACCTTTTCAACACACTGAGGATCAGAAACCGCGTGTCCAGCACAATCCTACATCGACATTCAAAGTCCAAGGTCATGTCAAGATACAGATGTATTAGTCGTAATTACCACTTAGAGCCTTCTCTCCTCTTTTCGAACTCCCTTGATCCTGCGATACGCACTACCATGATGACCGTCATGATATATAAGAAGATCGACAGCAAAGACGCGCTTGTGGTTCCACGTCACCTCGAGAATTAACGCGTTGCTGAATCTATTTGTGAGTAATCTTAAGATATTCATCATCGATTGAATCCTTTGGATCAAGGTATCAATAACTATAAAGAATCATGTCGCTCCTGACGAGGAATAAGTTGCCATCCACAGTATCAGCCTTTTCCAGAACAAGTTGAGACACAGTCTCACAATGCACTTCTTTACTCTTTTCTCCCTGGCTCAGGCCGTCACTGCTGCTCCTCTGATTGTCCCTCGTGGGGTTGACGAGTCTGAGAGCAAGTTCATCGTCGTCATGAAGACCAACGCGGTTTCCAAAACCGTCCAGAGCACGGTTGCTAGAATTGCCTCTAATACTGACTATACTTACTCCAATCTTTTCAACGGCTTCTCAGCTAGCCTTACCAAATCCGAGCTGAAAGATCTACTCAACAACCCTAACGTCGATTTGATTAGAAAAAGTCTCCACCATGCATGGAGCATCTACCCAGAAAAACGCACCCTGGGGTCTAGCCCGTATTTCCAACAAACTAGCAGGCAAGGATCATACAGCTTACACCTATGACAAAAGTGCCGGTGAAGGCACATGCACTTATGTTCTCGACACCGGCATCGAGGTCGAACACCCTGTCAGTACCTTGCCTTATCTTTATGCAAGGCGGTAAAATGAAACATGCTAACACCAAAAACAGGAATTCGAGGGCCGCGCCAGATTCGTGCAGAACTTTGTTGATAACGCTGACTTGGATGCTAATGGTCATGGGACTCATATTGCGGGCACCATTGGGTCTAAAACGTATGGTGTCGCGAAGAAAACGCAGCTCTTCGCTGTCAAGGTTCTAAATGAGTATACAGCGGGTCAGACGTGAGTTTATTCATCTTTTAGGACCATGTGAGTGTTAGGGAAAATAATTCGGCGCAGGTCGGGAATTCTCGCGGGCATGGACTTTATTGTTGAAGATGCTGCTACTCGAAAGTGCCCCAGAGGCATTGTGGTCAACATGTCTGTCAGTGTTGCTTCTTCACCTGCTATCAACGCAGCTGCTAGATACATTGTCAAATCAGGTTATTTTCTTGCTGTAGCAGCTGGCAACGATGACACAGACGCATCTCACGTTTCGCCAAGCAATGAGCCTATGGCTTGTACTGTTGGAGCAACCGCCCAGATTGATACAAGAGCCTTATTCTCCAACTACGGTGTTTCTGTGGATGTTTTCGCCCCTGGCGTCGATATCAAGAGTACCTGGATCAAAGGAAGTGCCAAACTCGAGTCAGGCACATCAATGACAACACCACACGTCACTGGCCTCGCGGCTTATCTTTTAGGCCTCAAGGATATCAAGGCATCAGAATTATGCAACCTTATTGCATCCATGTCTCTGAAAGACGTCATCAAGGGTATTCCTGAAAACACGGTCAACCTCTTAATCCAGAACGGCGAAGCGAAGTAAGCGCACCTATCGTTAGTGGTAGTCATCAGGGTTGAAGGGTCGGGCGATAAGGCCATACGGCCGAAAGGAACGACTTGAGTCAGTTTCACGCGTTTCACAGTCAATACACGAGCATGTCATTGCTTTAAACTTCTCGAAAATGGTTATTTTGGCGAAAAGCCACAGCCGCCTGTCACTTTTCTGCGAGCCTTATTCGGCTATTTCCGACCATACATCGAATCATAATCCCACCAATAACGTCTGAGATTTGAATGACATGCATTTAAACGCCCAATCTAGAAACACTTCTCTCACAGTTCGATCCGACCTTACCGCCGTGGCAGGTCTTGGCATCGGATGGTTTGTAGTTTCGTTTGTGTTTTGATTCCTTATCTGCTGTGATTCGGTTGGCTGAAAAATAATTAGCATGTCGAAATCTGGAAACGTGTTTTACCAGGGTGGCTGGCGGGTGTTTCAAGGGGGTATAGTATTTGCCTGAATGTTATATGTGGTTTTTGGGTGGGAATAACTCGCTAAAAATTTGTGAAACTCTGCGGATGAGATTGCGCTTTAGAATACGATTTCATGTAACCTCGGCAAAGCTGAGGTGGGATAAGGTTAAGCTATCTTGAGATCTAGAATAAGCGAAGATTGTTCAGTGGGATGGATGGCTGGATTAATAAGAAACCAACTCTACAGAGGCTGCGATCATACCAGTTCTGAGTATGGAGTCTGCCATTCCTCCAAGGTCGAGCAAATATTTTCCCCATTAGTGATTAAGTAGTTACACACTGAAATTGGGAAAGTCTGTCCGGGTACTTTATCCTTACTTTTTATTTTAACAAGGTTCTGGATATCGTTTTACGTACTATCGTTTTGGACTGCATATAGCAAGGCAGCTTTCATGGCTTCAAATTGGGTGGGCGGCTGGTCTGCGTCTCGCCTTTCTACTGTTGCCATTGCATCTTCTTGAAACCTCAATAATATTATTATGATATGGAGAAACCAATGTTCTTTGTTGGTTCGTTGGTAGCCTAAAGCTTATATCTGTGGTTTTCAATTTCTTGTGCCCTCACAGACAGAATCTTCCGGCCCAAGAACGTGGATGCCACTTAGCGCTTTATAAAGTGTAATGCTATCTTTTTCAAGTGATTACTGAACAGTCTGGGCGAGTCTTTCATACTAACAGCAATAGGTTGTAACCTTGATGCACCATTTGTTGATTCTTGGCGACGACCTCAACAACCTTGAATTCCGCTGTGTATTTGTGAGTCGTTTACTGCAATATAGTAATATTGAAGGAGATTGCAAGAAGCATTAGACGAGTTATCGTCATTTTGAATATCTGGTTGGTCTTCATCACCAAAGAAGATTAAGATGTGGGTGAAAGGTTAGATCGCCACTGAACCTTACTCACAAAGTACAACAACACATAAAACTCAAATATGTAAGTTTAATGACAATTTCTACCTATAAAATAAAGACGTGATCGCCTTATCTATTCTTGCTCTTTTTCCTCTTCACCCTTTTCATAGGTCTTTGAGGAACAATCAACCTTCATCCGACAACAAAAAACAACTGCAGCCTTCATCACCTCTCTAGAAGTCTGCCCACAATGAGGCCCGTGGAATCTCAATATCTCGAGGGTCTGGTGAAGTTTAACTCGATCCTCATTCTCGATGTCGACTGCTGGGTCGTAACCTAACTTCGCAACATTCTAGCTCACGGTTCAACTCACATTACAACAAAGCAATGCAACAAAACTCTTCCGACTGAAATATGGCTGGACATCCTAGACCTGGCAGAGCTCTATGTCGACGAGAATACCTACAAGCCAGTCTACGGCATTGAAATGAATCCTAGGTCTACGAACAATGGCGGAACCGGATCTGCTTTGGTCTGCAATATCCTTGAAGAAAGGAAGAAATGCGGGGAGCTCGAAGGTGGGAATCGGGTTAACGCTTATGATAAGTGTCTCCAAGACCCTTCCTACAAGCTCGACCCCGAAAACGATGACATTGATGAAGACGAAGAATATTATTTCCGAGTATCAAAACTTGCAAACAACAACGCAATCTCAATTCCGATTTCTCACTTGGCATTCGAAACGAAATTTCTTTTCTGCAAAGTCACAGTCCAAAACATGATCTCGCGACTTGAACGTGGAAATTGCAACTTGTGCGGCGGCTATCGAACTTGCAACGTTGGAGTGTCATGGAAATTTCAAGAGGTCATCATGTTCAGCAACAGTCTGGATGATCATAAGCGTCATGAGTGCCTCAGTTCTGTCGAATGCCCTCTTTGCATTGGAGACGAGTTTACAGAACTAGATCTCAATCAGTACTGTGACGATGTTGAGGATGAGGACAAGATGCCGGTGGACGAATTTCACAAAGTTCTGAGGAAGCGGTACAAAGAGTTAGGTTATGAGTGTTAAGATGCATTTCATTGCACTGGTCTGCCCGGAGGCCTCATGGCCACCAGAAGTTTGTCATACCTTGACTTGAAGTACTGCTTTGGATGAAATAAGTTTGGTGAATAACCCAAGCTTGCAAGGCAAGGCAGCACGTTTTTGGAGTGAGAGTGATAGTTAGGGTTGTCTCATAGGCCGTCAACCGCACGACGTAACAGGCCATGGAACGGATACTTAGAGAGTACTCTTTAATTGGTGAAGCTCATAGTGAATATTTCTTCCAGATTTTATTCTTAGTGACTTGTTACTGGTGATAAAAAAAAACAGGGCATCATAGACTCTTGATTGAGAAATGTCTCAAGGATCACTCTTACGAGATTGACCCCAAAAAGGACATGGTGGGAGATCAAATTGAGCTCATATTGGAGGTGAGGATGAATGAAGCTTGCGGTAGGATATTCCATGGCAGAACTTGCTCTCATGACATTCGGATATTCATTTACTGGCCCAGGTGCTAAAGAGCGCTTCAAAGAAACGTGGGGTTCAAGTTATCTTCGGCTAATGTTATTCGATCAAGGGGCCATCTATCATCAGGACCTTGAGCGCCGTGGTGTTAACAATCATGGGGAAAGGAACGCTTAATTGCGTGTCTACTTCATATGTCGAGAACTTTCGACTAATCACTAGTATCGTCACTCATAAGTCCAGTGCAACTTCGACACACTTGTGGATCGTAGTCATGATGCTTGGCACCAAACCAAGATCGTCCCGCCCGGGCCAAACCCTGCCCGCACCACTCTCAGCCAATTGAATGTGTCGCTTGTTGTTTCCCAAACGGTACATGGCTTTGCAGATCGCCGTTGATCAATTACATACATGAGTGATCACGCTATTATCATCGAATTCCCTCACCGTAAGCGAACAAGTGTCTACCCCTTGCCGAGCCATACAAACTCATCTGGCAAGATCCATCATTCTTCTCGCCTAACTTCGGCTCTAGATTGCCATATAACTGCTACTGAATATTCAGTGATAAGGGATTCGCAAAGGAGCAACATACAACGAAGGAAGCGTGACTACGGGAGAGTCTAGTGGACACGGTAAACTTAGAGGATACAATTACTCGCTGCATTATTCGACTCGCTTTACATATTGTACACATATACAGAAAACAAAAATCGACCCATATCGACTGCTTAGCAATCATTGCTACCATTCGCGTAGTACCACCGCAGTAGCCTCTTACGCCTCGCACGAAAATGGTGTACGGAAAGCTCCAATCTCATAATGATGTTGCTGCAAGATGTGTTAGATGGAAGTTCCTCAATAAGATGGAGAAATAGAAGACTTACGATATCCAAAGCTGTGGCGTATGTTCCTCCGACAAGGACCAAGAGGCCAAAGAAAAAGATGAAGATGCAAGCGATGGCATGGAGAATATTCTCTCTGGCATACCACTTGCCTCTGCAGATCAGCTTATACCACATGACGGCTGGGAAGTACAGAATAAAGCCAGACACAAAGAGGGCTGAGCTGAGTGAGAGAAGGTCGTTGAAGAAGGGAATTGCCTCGCCGAGGACCCAGGAGATGATCGTGATGCCAGCAAGAGTGAGAAGCCAAGTAACCCAACCCTTGGGCGTATTGACGAAACGCACGATCGAGTTTCTGTAGAATCTCAGATGAACGTATTTGGCAGTGACTGTGTTGCCAATCGCACCCGAGATGAAGATCATGGGCAGAGCCACGCCAAATGCAACCTTGGGCAGAATGCCAGGTAGAGACTCGAGAGCAGGGCTGGCCACATCCTTGCCAACGAAGACATAGATGAGAGATCCACTCAGGGTGTAGATGAAGATCTCAACGCTTCCTAGGGTCCAAACAGACTTCATGAAGTCCTCAGGCGTATGCATCTCTGACATGAAAGGAGTCATGTACATGGCAAAGCAATAAGCAAAGATAATATTGCAGATAGCCACCATGCCATCCTTGAAAGTCGCATCAGGGTCGGGCCAAGCAGACCAGTCTGAGGCACCGATACCACCAGGCTGGTTGGAAGCGTCCACGCCAGATGCAATGACTGCGATACCAATGGCTGTCATGACGCAAACCAGGTCGATGTAACCTAAGATTGCAGCCTCGGCAAAAGAGGGCATGACAGCCAGGATGAAGAGCATGAAGCCCGACACAGCGCTGAAGATAAGACCGCAAACTTTCTCATCTGCCAAGATATTCAGGGCAATGCTGCCAGTGAGGACGAAAGAAGCCGTGATGAGGATAAGTTGAAGCACATACATAGCGCCAAACAACTCCTCACCAAACCTCCCCATGAGCAAGCCACCAATATCTCCATAATGTTGAATCGAAGGATACAAGACCTTGATCTTTCCGATGATCCATGCTGTGTAAATAGCCATAAAGCCTAGGGCTATACAGCAGAAGACACCCGCGACGATGCCAAGGGTTGCAAAAGCACCTGGAAGACTGAATGTTCCAAGACCAATGGCCTCAACGATGAGGATAACAGCAAGTCGCTTCCATCCTAAGCGACGGAAGTGAGCTTCGCCTTCAGCGGTTTTCTGTTTCTCGAAGTCGGTTACTGTGCCGATGGCTTGGTCGTAGGAATTGTCGATGCGAGCAATTTGATCAGGGTCAAGACTAGAGTCTTTGTTCGTCGCAACCTTAGTCGCAGTCTGTGGTGTAATGGTGTCCATGATGAAGTCCTCAGTACAATGTTATAAGAACGAATAAAGAAAAAGAAGTAAGAAGTCGGAGCTGTCAACTCTGCCCTTTGGAAAAAAGAAAAGCAAAGATCCAGATTTAAAGGAACGCCAAGGTCTGGGGAATCTCCTCTTCTCCACGCTGGGGTAAAGAAACGCGCCCGCGGCCCCAGTTGAAGTTGTACGTAAAAACAGTTGATAGCGAGCAATCCATTACACAAGACGATCCCGCGTTGTGGAGTTTTAAGTGGTAACTTTTACGTGATGCGAATTTCGCCGGCGGCGGCCGAGGCGCGCGTAGAGTTTCTTAGATGCGGCTCTCCTCGGGATAATTTTACGAGCTTGATATTCTGACTTGCAGGTTGGTGTAATAGTTGGGTAAAATGTCCGTGCTATCTAGAGCTAAACTTGTTTTTTTTTGAGGCAGTGTTGATGTGGTGGACTCATACTGGCATGGAAGGTCGGGGGTTTGTGAGGTATCATGATGCATCACACACATGCTTTGGAGCTAGAGAAAATATCTGCACGATGGCGGCGTTGTTAGTCTAGAATTGTTCTAGAAGGAGGCTTAAAATGATTGTCACTGTGAGAAAAGTTAATTCAGCTCCGATTGCGCTGTTTGGAGCGCCTTGAGAAAATGAGAAAGGTTATGCAGGGCGTCATCTGCGAAACAGCCGGTTCAACTAAACCCGGGCGTTATATCCGCCTTGACAAGACAAAGGGCGTCCTAGCCAAATGAGAAAACCTTTCATGGCCAATCGCTTGTGACATATCGCGATAAACTCTTTATTAAGGCCCGAATCGAATGTTTCTTTATCAATAGATCATGCTTGGAAATACTTTATTATCAATAAGCTTAGTTGTCGGTATTTGTCTGCATAACATAGATTTCTGAGCCTTTCCCCTGTTTTTCTGTGTCGGCTACTGTGCCAGAGCTGGTGATCAGGATAGCCTTTAAAACGCTATGCTGAGTTACCAGTACTCTGCTTCTGTTCCTTTGGAGATTCGGTGGTGTCATCCAGTTGGGTCTGTTTATCCGAGAGTATAGGATTATGTAGGCATAACCCAAGAACAAGCATCGGTACAACAAGACACATCGCGACAATGCTCAAGTTTCTTTGGATATATCGATAGCTCATGCCGATCGCCTCTCTCTCGGGCGATCCCAAACGATATTTCGGCACTACAGTCAATGGCGAAGCGTAGACAGCCCAGGCCAGAGTTTCGTTACCAAATGGTGCGAGGTTCTTCTCAAGCTCTTTGAATAGAGTCTGTGTCCACATCGCACCCGACACACAGCTACCGAGTGCTTGGCCAATTGCGTTTGCAGTAAAGACGAGCGATATCAAGACTCCAATGTACTCGTGTTGAGCCACGGTCTGGATGAGTACGAGCGTGGGCCATGAGAAAAGACCAGCGCCAATGCCGACGACGACTTCTCCGCCGATGACTCCAGATTTGGACCCTGAACCACCTCGGAAGTGGTAGATAATTCCGAATCCAACGAACCAAAGAGCAATCCCCGTGAGAATGACTTCTTTGAGGCGTCGGATCTTGATGACGATGGGACCCAGGAGTGACCCCACGACGATGGCGCAGAACCGGTAGAGTAACGCCACTCGGGTAGCATCTTTGATGGTGAAGTTGTACGAGACAACGAGTAGACTGAACAAATAGTTCCCGATAATCATGAAGGCAAAAGGAAAGATAGTACTGATGCCGAGACAGCCCCAAACAGTTCGATGCTTGAGAAGATGAATCGGGAGCATTGGATGGCTTGCCTCCCGTTTCCATATGACGAAAATTGGGAAGAGAATGAGACCGATAATGAGAGGTGTCAGTATACCTGCATCCTTCCACTTGGCACTCTGTCCGCCTGCCAACGTGAGAGGGATCAATGTCATAGCCAGCGCAGCCGTCAGGAGCAGTACGCCGATGACATCAAGCTCCCGAAAGAATGTTTTAATAGAGGTGACCCAAGAGGGAGATCTTGGCTTCTCGCGTTCCTGGCTTGGTGACTTGGTCTGACGCCCAAGGATGAACATGAAGATGATGAGAGGTAGAGCGCAGATCGGGTTTATAATCGCAAACATGCCAACGCCCCATTTCCATGAAGTCGCCGACAGGATTGCTGATGTTACATCTCCACTGATCCAGGTGTTCACAATAGCAGGCCAATTCGGCACAAAAGCAAAGAACAGTCTTGTCTTCATAGACGTAAAGTCCGCGATCATGATCTCAATAGTAAGCAACGAGATCCTGTACCCCAGCGAATGCAGCACCGCTCCTCCCGCAAATGTCTGAATATTTGCAGAATAAGTCTGGATAACGGTACCAGTCAAACTAAATACCACAGCCAGAGTAAAGATCTCAATGCGGCCGAAGACATCTGTCAGTCTGGCAACTGAGGGCTGAATAGCAGCGGCCACGACTTCACGGATGACATTGACGGTAGCTAGGAGGGAATGATTTCCGAAGGATGATGTGGCGTAGGGGACGTAGGTATTGCGGGTTAAAAAGTCGAGGTTGAGGGCATAGCTGAAGAAGAAGATACTCGTGAAGAAGATCCATCCTTTGGGAGTTGTGAGTTTGCTTGCTGCTGCTTCCATGCGCAGCACGCCTGGGAGCTTTTGGTCATTCCGAGATGGCATCGGAGGGCTTGGATCATCTTTTTGATCAAAGTTGATGGTAATAGCTGTTTTATCCATGGTCGACAGTTCAATTAAAAGTCTCTAACTTGAGGAGTCACTTAGTCTTAATATAGGAGTGAGGAGATGTGGACAAAATATATACTACTCCTCATGGGTTTCAAAATTATAGATCTGATAATCGTGAATGGTCTTCATATCAGTCAGTTACCCAAGGTGCACAGTTTTCTTCCTTCTCCTCCCGAGGTTAGCTCGTCTAAAATGTCTTGGCAAGCGCCAGAGTGAGGCCATCTCGCGAGATTTTATCCTGATTGAGATTATCTTATCTGATCTAACCAAGCCACACATCCACAAGTCAGGCTTTAGCATATCCACCTGTGCCTACATAGCGAATAGAGTTATCAGATCAGATTCTTGGCATATTTAAGTGTCTGCCATGCCCAAAGGAGCAGCTCGTGTGACCCAATGCGTGCCGGAGCAGCGGCTGGGCAAGCACTCCAAAAGCGGCGACAAGTCTACGTCGAGATTCGCATGTAATAACATTATATATCAATCACCTTGGTCTGAACAACTCAATTCTGTATGATGATTATAAGCTCACAGCCACAAGCATGAACAAGATATGGATGGACCGCATCAACGTGCTCTGAAAATGACAGCCAAATCCGCTCCTAAAATTTACCAAACATTTTTGCCGAGAACATCCTTTCACAGAATGCCAACTCTTTGGAGTCGACGACATTCGACTACATCTCATGGGATTACAGCTCACATCATCAACGAGCCAGTCGACGAGGAGTTTCTCTACGAGAGCAGGTTGAAGTACTTCCATCCGACTCAAGCTGGGGATGTACTAGACGGCAGGTTCAAGACAATTGCAAAGCTGGGCTTCGGCGCTGGGTCCACTGTTTGGCTAGCTGAAAATCTCAAGTTGTGAGTTTCGCCTGACTTCTGTCTTTATGCCGAATGACTAACATCTGTGGATGGTACTAAAAAGTTCCGGAACTCACCTATCCCTCGCTATGTTAGCATCAAGATACCAACCCTTGATTCTAATGCTCCTGGTGAATCAAAGAGATCAAAGCTCATCTCCAGCACCAATCCCTCACACCCAGGACTGTCCTTCATCAGACTACCGATTGATGAGTTCCAGTTAAAGGGGCCTCAAGGAACACACTTCTGTCTTGTTTACGAACCCACGAGGGAGACTCTTTATCATTGGCAACGCCGGCTACCAAGACAGAGGCTTCCATTACCTCTATTCAAGTCTTATGCATTTCTTATCCTCCAAGCCTTAGACTATTTGCATACCGAATGCCATTTGATTCATACAGCTAAAGGCTTGGACTGTCCCCACAGGTATTGTCACTATCTTCATTCCCAAAAGACATCAAGGATGATAATATCCTGGTGACGATTGAAAACGATTCCGTATTGGCCGATTTCGTCAAGAACTATACGACAAATCCCCAGCCAAGGCATGTACGGACCGAGGATGGCCGTGTAATCTATCTCTCACAAGATGATTTTGGTCCTTTGCGAGATAACATGGTTTTACCGGCTCTGGCTGATTTCAATCAAAGCTTTCCAGGACTGGATGGCAACAAAGGCCACCTATCTCCCATCCAGTCTCATCGTTACCGTGCTCCGGAGGTGTTGCTCGGATGTCCATGGTCACACAGCGTCGACATCTGGAACTTTGGCCTTGTTGTAAGTAACTTCGAGACACCTCCCCAAAGGAACATCACGTTAATGTTTGGACACAACTAGATGTGGAATCTTTTAGAAAACACTAGCCTGTTTGAAAGCATCGTTGGCGACGATGGTGAATACGACGCTCATGTCCACCTAGCCCAGATAATTTCTCTGTTGGGAGAGCCCCCTGAAACGTTGGTCAACAGGGAGCGTGTCTATCGCAAGCTGAAACTTGTACGAACAATAGAAAACCCAATGGGCAAGTGGCACGAGACCATGAATGAGTATTGGGGAGGACCCTTCTTTGATGAGAATGGTGAGTTCAGTAACAATATGATTTGATTAGAATGGCGAAGGCTGTCCTCTCTGCCTTTCTACTATCACAGGTCAAGTCCTGCGCAAAGACCTGGCGGTACAAACACGAAAGCCGGGGGACACTATAACAGAACTGACAGGGGATGAAAAATATGTGTTTCTCGACTTTGCTTCGTCCATGCTCCAATGGCTGCCGGAAAAGAGGAAGACTGCCAAGGAGTTGTTGCAGCACACCTTCTGTGACTCACTGGAAAAGGAGCGTGAACGGTATTTCCATAGCCAAGCATGACTCTGGATTGCTAATAGAGGCAATAGCTGTACATTATCGTAATAAATACGTCTTCTCGAAACAGCCCTTCTATACCCTTTAGCCCCCATTTCTATGTACTACACTATGCGCTCTAGGGACAGAATTATCCAGGATGATGTACTCAAATCGGAATTGGCGGGAATTCATATTCCGGCATCTATACGCACCACTCACAGTGTCCAGGTTCCGAGTGCAATCCCTTCATGACCTCTTTGGCGGTGTTTTCGGAGGACAAATTACGTCCATATTGCCACGTCGGATCCGTATCTTCGACACCATCAGAGTAAACCTCGTTACCTCCGTAGTCATCACCCTCCCACGCAGCCGTTAGGGTTCTTCCATGAATCATGGCGTCCTTTAATCCGCCGATACCTCCAATCATCTTCACATCCTCAGTTGATTCGCTGTAGATACCTTGGCCGCCGAATAGTGCAGCCTCTCGTGTGCCGTCGGACGCCACGTCTGTTCGGATGGGGTTCATGGGCCCGAGGCCAACTCGGTCGAGAGACACGAATTCATCGTTACCCCGTGCAGCTTGAGATTCGAGGTATTTAGTGAAATCAGGATCTCTTTTGACCTCCCAGTCTTCATCGTCGTCGTGGTGTCCTGCGCAGTCGTGTCGGGCGCAGAGTGACCATGTTTCGCAGTTGTTCTTGTGAAAGGTGTGGAATCTGCGCAGGGCAAGATTCCATACGTGTATAGCTTTTTGGGGACATGTTCGTTTCAGGGTGGATTCTCCTTCGATGGCATCGCAATGGGTGCAGCTTCCACCGACCCCGGGAAGGATGCGTATGCCTCTACAAGGTCAAGCTTTTCAAGATAAGGAAATGGGTCGCGATATTCTACGTAGTTCAGGATTCGATTTCGGATTTCGGGAGGGATGCGATGGCAGCGAGCCATCAGCTCAAATGCTTGATGCTGTTGTCGCCCGATGTGCGCTTCAGACTTTTGCCTGGAATCTCGACAGAATTGACGTGATCGACGAAGGAGTTGAACCTTGTGCTGGACGACAATTCCACCGTTGTGACGAACTTTGTATTCCAAGAATCCAGTGATGGGGCCGTCAGTGCCCTCCAACTGCCACGGGAACTCATCCCAGTCTTGCTCGCCGCAATCCCAACGGGGAATCGGTCCTGTGTAAAGAGTGAATTTCGATGGGTCATCTGAATCGTTGTACGAATACTCCACCCCTTTGATACCACCGACGTCCTCGAGCTCTTGTGGTGAGAGTGCAAGTGCTTCAGTGAGCTCATCCATATCGGTGACAACAAAGTTCGTGAAGACCCAGTCGAAACGCTCGCGAGATTCACTGAGCGTCCAAATGTTCTTTAATGGCACCAGGAGGGCATCATCGAGATCGGTGAGGTATTCGTGCAAGGGAGTTGTTTCTTCGGCCAAGTTGTTGTGTTTGAAATCCATCTCCACTCCAGGGGCTTGCATAAAGGCCCATCCAGTGAGAAGAAGCATTCTCGCTGCGACAAAGTCTCCGCAAGCCGGCAGTTGTCGGAGTGCCTCGATAGGTTGGAAGAAAGAACGCCAAGCGTCGAAGAAAACTCCATCGACTAGTCTGAAGAGACCTGAGTTGAAGTCACTGTTGATGACACAGTTCAAATTGTTGACGGTGTCGCAAAGTCGCTTAAGTAGTTTCTTGACTGGCTGGGTGATATCTCCTGTTTGCTGAGTTACATTGATGATGTCTTTCGTTAACTGGTCGTTTCGACGGGGAATGCGAAACATTTCTGACCAGGCCGAGTCGATATCCATCTTTGCGGTGTTATGAGAAAGGTGTGGTGCCTTGTTGTTGTTTTTGAAGAGTTGAAATTGTCCCCAAGGAATAAGAAGCCTGGTCTAAAGCCCCGCTAAGATATAATAAACTTACCTAAGTCTTTTCAGTGATCGGCTACGAGGTGACACAGGAAAGATGTTCTGACTCATAGCGGAATCCTGCAGCACTGCTTGTCGGCTGGAGGCACTGTTTTCCCATGTAGTATCTTTATAAGTTACACGATTATACGGCTATCAAACTGCAGACTTGAAAGAAAAGGAGTATTCAGACCTTTGTTACTGTGTTTAGTCGGCCTTTGCTTCCATTGAGCAGCTTCGATCAAAGAGACAGTCCAGGAATAAAGACGACCATCATAAGCGGCCATAGAAGCTGCCGGAAATCTGCCTGCAGCTATTGACAGTTGATATTGGCTGAGGATTGAGGCTCATCTCATGCCTCACCGGGTAAGTAGTGCAGGACTCATGGGATGCAAACGGCAGATGCAGACCGACATATTCTCTATTACGGTGAAAGGTAGCGAAGAAAAAGGGCGAAAAAAAACTGTAGAAGCGAGTTTTCTCTCAGTGGAAGTCTTTTGATGCGGTTGTAGTGCAATTCCTAGACGAAACAACTCATTGTTTTCAATTATCCTACAGTATTATAACATCCCAAGCCCCTTATTTGCCGGCAACTATACCGATAAGTGACAAACAAACGCAAACCGCAAGTCCAAACCAACAGGTTGTCCCAAAGAAGAAACCTGGCAAAAGAAATAGTACAGTGTCCTACAAACTTTTCCATATTTCCCGATCCCAATCCTTCTCCAGCCTTCCGTCCTTTGCAAGTGGTAGTCGGTACTCTGTAACCATTGGTTCGATGGAGGCTGGCGCCTCTGATGATATCTCGATGCGTTTTTCTAGGCCAAACGCGCGCTTTCGCCAAGTCATAGTCGATGTTTTCGATGGCTAGATGGCACTCCTAGAACGACGGCATGAATGTTAGCCAACCTTGTCTAAATAGTTCTTGGCGATCCAGACTTACAGAATTTCCAATCCCCTCCAGTATGACGAGGAAGTTGTGGCAGGAATACTACCTGGCCTCCAATTGCAAAAGCTATATCCTGTGGAGCGATGGTCCATCTGTAAAACGGAGCGAATCATTTCCCTGGCAAAGGCTTCTTTGCCAGATCACTCGCACCACTCACATAGCCCCGGCCACGAATGGAGGTCTTTGATCGCCTTCTCCGCAACTCTCTGAGCGAGCAGGTTCCGGCCAAGAGCCCATTTGGCCGGATTACTGTACGTTCCAGCTTCGTGAAGGCCTTCATCATCGCCTTCCTCATCATCGTCGTCCTCATCGTCGTCGTCTTCATCGTCGTCGTCCTCATCGTCGCCGTCTTCATCATCGTGTTTTTCATTCCATGCTTTGCACAGCACTCTTCCGTGGAGCATGCTGTCTACCAAACCACTCAGACCACCCACCATCTCCCAGTCTCGGAAGGGTTCAAAGTAGATCATCATTCCACTATCAAGTCGCTTGTGTCGGGCACGGTCTCCCTCTTTGTCGAGACGAATATGTTGAACGGGGCCAAGTCCGACTTGGTCTAGAGACAGGAACTCATCATTGCCTCGAGAAGCTTCCTTCTCGATAAACAGAGTGAACTCTGGATCTCTACGGACAGCCCAGCCATGATCGTTGCAGTCGTGGTGGCCCTTGCAATCACTACCGTGGCTGCATAGAGACCACTGGTTGAAGCTATTCTTGTGAAAGCTATGAAACCGCCGTAACGCAAGGTTCCAGATGTATAAACCTGCTTGAGGGCATGTGCGCTTGATGGCCGAGGTTTCATCAAGATGCTCACAGTCCAGACATCTCTCGCCGACGGTGGGGAAAGGGGTGTAAGCTGCGCCAATGTCGAGGTTCTTCAGATAAGGGAATGGCTCACGGTCCGTGAGATATGATAGAATCTGCCTGTGAATCTCTCGCGGGATGTGGTGATGGAGTAAAATCTTGTTCAGAAGTTCTTGTCGTTGTTTACCAAGGTTTGCTTCCGCGATCTGCTGAGCGTCAAAGCAAAACTGCCAAGAACGGCGGAAGACGTAAACCCAGTCAGTGATTAAGTCATTCCTCTCGTCCAGCGGTTGAATGTCGTACTCAAAGGCACCCATGATGGGCTCGGCCTTTCCTTCAAGCTTCCAGTGCCAATCCGGATCCAGGCCTGTTCCTTCTTCGCAGTCCCATCGTGGTTTCGGTCCTGTATATAGTTTCCAGTTCTCATTGTCCGCTGGTTCGGAATAGTAAAACCGTTGTCCCTTTTGTCTTCTTCCGAAACGGCGCTTGTACCCTTCGAGTGACAGGAACACGGCGATTTCGGCCTCAAAGTACCTGATGGGTCTGTCGATTCGGTGCTCTGTAAATACCCAGTCAAAAGATTCAGTCTGCCCGCTACGGATCCAGATCGTGCGCAAAGCGCTGAGGAGGACGTCATCGGCCTCTGTACAAAGCTCATAAAGATCCGCAAGTTCCTCATCCGCTGTGTCGTCTTCATACTAGTTCGGGACACCAGGGTGGCGGATGAGTTCTGCACCAAGAAACAAACACACCCTGGCGCCTACAAAATCGGTACCAGGCAATTTCAGGATAGCTTTGATAGTATTCAGGAGACCTCGCCATGCGTCGTAAACATAAGCTTCAACACTGCGTTTGCCCTCAGAGGCATCACCGTACCGGGCGATGTTCCTGTAAATTCTGTCAAGAATGAGTTGCATCTGGACCTTGTTTTGCTGTTTCTCTGCTGCGAGCTCTTCGATAAGATCCATGATCTGCTGATTCTCATCGAAGACCTTGCCGATGACGTGGCATGGAACATCTCCGCGTCCCATCTTCAAGATCTTTGAAAGTTGGTAAGTTGAAAAGTTGTCGATGTTGGCGAATGAATCTGCTCTGTCACTCCTAAGTTTTCTTGGGCCCAAGCCCACCCCACGATAGTTCCCCCAGTGTGGGGTCACGTGGTAATATTCACCGTCTTTGAGTCCCTTAGTTAGACGAGGGAAGAGCATAAATGATGATCCTAAATGATAACAATATTTAGGTAAATTTGGGGCAGTTTAGAATAACTTATGATAGCTTAGGATAAACTTAGTAAACTCTTCGATTATTTTGCTTGGGCCCCTTGATTCGAGAGTAGCAGAAACGACAGATGCAGCAGTACGATCTTTAACAAGCAGCAAGCTCATGAGCTCTGCCAAGATATGTCGTCTCGCAGGCCCACTACACTAACGCCTTAGGAGATGACGATGTGCGCAGTCAATGCGAGAAAATTGCTCCGGCAAATAGTCACCAAAGCCAGAGTCAAAGAGCAAATAACAAAGAAAGGGTATAGTAGATTGGTACGTAGTTGGGTAGTTATAATGAATTCGTGAATCCATTGAGTGCAAACAGGTTGATATGGTAGAAAGTGGACCTCTCCTTCGGTGACAGACAGTCTAGTTCCTGACTAGCAAACAGCTTTAAAAACGCCTCCAATGATCGTGCAGAATAAGAAAACGCCGAGCCAATGTCAAAGCAGAGCTAGCAAATGGTGTTGTTGTAGTGGTTGCATCACTACTGTCGTGGTGGACGTCCAAATGCCGTGTTGGCAGGTATTATTCGTCCATAAGTGTTTAGAATGAGAGCACTTCCATAATATCGCCCATTGGGCTCGCTTCCCGCTGCGGTCGACCAAACACAAGCGGTGCCAGTGAATCAACGCCCGAATCTTCCGCCTCGAGGCTCAGTGTAGAATTACTCGATATCGATCGCGATGGAGAAATAGTCTTGTGCGAAGACGATGGCGGTGGCGCTGGTGCAAGATACGCCGAGAGCAGAGCATCTAGGTCTGGTCCACTCGAAAGCGTCGGTAGCACAGGTCGACTAATCCGTCTATAGTGCTTCGTCGTCGGCGCCGCTGTTTTCGGACGCGCAATCGGTGCAGAAACAGCTCGTTTACTCGGCGTGCGCGTGAACAGCCTAGGAAGTTGCTTAAACGACTTTCGAATCGACGATGATCGCACAGGTGTAGTCTTCGTCTTGGACACGCCAGTCGTAGGATGCTCGAAAAAGTCGATGCCGTGGGAGACGGGAATGTTGCTCGTGACGGTATTGTTGAAGTCTTCAAGGAGAGTGTGAATCTGGGTCTCGTCGAGACCTTCCACCAGCTCGAAAAGCTGGTCTACCGACCCGCGGCGGTTAAGCTGAGGCGAATGGGCTGCCATCCTGTAGAGAACGCAACGCTCTCTCTCATTGAGAGTGCAAGGCAAGAAAAAAGAGAGTGAGTGGGGAGAGATGAACGATTGGTCAAAGCCACAGGGCGAGGAAGACATATTGTAAGGAGTTGATGGCGTGCGGGTCCTTGACATGGATGTTTCAGTTGAAATTAAATGAGCCTGCAACGGGTTAGGCCAAATACCACCTCCAGGGGGATCTTCCGAGACCTCATCAAAACAGATGAATCTCAAATGTTTGCGACAAAATTATATGCAATTGGTAAACAATGCCACAAGACCATTGTTTGCGGTGTCATGCGCCTTGCTTGTTGGAATGCATCGCTGGGGGCATTCGCGCTGACGGGGAGATGCATGTCACAAGGACAGTTCTGGCGCATTCAGGCACCAAGCCATGTCTCTATTTTTAGCGAAACTTCATGCTGGGATTGTTTACTCGAGTCTCGTCACATCGTCTGTTGTACAAAGTCAATATTGACATTATACGAGCGATATTGTTTGCGGCCTCTTGCTCCAGCAAATAAGCCACTTGGTTCTAAGCACGCTGCATCACGTACTCGGAACTCACCGCTACCAATAAACGCCATTGTTTACCTTAAAGGATTTACAGTAAATGGAAAAATGACTTCCGGTTTAATTGAATCAACCGCCGTCATTCCTGTGATGAGCACGTGGTTCTCATCATGGGACAGAATCTCATTTCTATATGTTCCAAAAATGGCGATTATATGATGGAAGGGAGACTGATTCCGAATAACAAAGTCAGATGGTCTTTCATCCATTACCCAGGCATGCATCGTACAAATCAAGGCTACCGCACTTGTCTGAAGCTTTGCTACACCTACGAGAAGGATCGACTGATTGTCATTCCATAATTCGATGGTAACACAATCAACTCTGGACTGGGCATGCTGGTACCTCTGTCGGTTTACAAGCATTTTAGGTTTCATGGTGTTGTGATGTACACACCAGGCATTGACACTCGTTAATACCTCCATGACGAATGTGACAAGAGGCTACGCATGTCGTTCCTGAAGGTCTGGGAGATTGATACTACAGGAACTTGGGCATACTGTGAGCAGCCCGAAGGCCCTCGAGCCTACTGTAAGTGTTGGTCGTTTCTTTTCTTTCTTTCCTTTCTCGTGCTTCCAACCCATCTAGGGCTTTTCTAATCCCAAGCTACTTCTTGCAAGGAATCATAAGATTTTACTTTTATAACCCAATATCAGAAGGTAAGAGAAGTAGATTATAAATCCGATGTTTTCAAGACGTTCTCGATCATAGCCACAGTCTGTTATCCGCAACAAAGTTGGGGTTCATTTCAGACATCAGTGTAATCTTTCTTGCAACTCCTACTTCGACAGACACGTTCGTTAGACCATGTTCTTTATCCTCCTGCTCACCTTTGCACACTTCTTCGTCTTCAGACTCAGCCAGGCACAAATCAGCGAATAGTTCTTGGCCAGACTCTTGCATAGTCCTCTCATAAAAGAGTCGAGGGATATCATCTGAATTCCTCTCGTACACAAGATCATACAGCGACTTGAAGAGCGTGTAGTCTTGGGTAGAAAGCATTCGAACCAGTCGCAAACAATACCACATCTTGTCAGCTCTATCCCATTGGTCAGAAGCCAAGATTTGGCCCCCATTGCGAAATGCCGATCTGAAAGCTGCAACAAGGGACGGCCCGGGCGGTGAAAGTGAGCCATTGATCCCTGGAGTGGTAAGCAGCTCCACCATAGGACTTGACGACGTAGAACTCCAGTCCATGATACACGTTATGTGGAAGTCCTCATCGATAAAGATATTGCCGAGGTGAAGGTCTGGGTGACAGAGCACAAACTTTCCGTCCGTTGACGCTAAGCCAGGAACCATTTCGTTCAGGAGTTGACCCGCAATACAGAACGCAAGTCGGTTCTTGCTACCCTCAACCTTATCTCCCATGGAACAGAAAGTCCGCCATCTTTCCACTGCCTGGCGATAGCTAGTCCAATTCGAATATTCGAAGGGATCGGGGATTGGAGCGAAGAAACTGTGTGGTCTGAGTGGAAGTTCCTCAGCATGAGCTACGAACGCTGAGATTAGTGACTGAAGGTACTGGCTCTCTTGATCAAAGGGGCCTCGGTTAATGCCTTGTAGCTCATCCCTGTGTTGCCAGAGGAGCGAAGGGCTGAGGCATTCACCAACGAAACGATTACCATTACTGTCTTCAAAAAGTGATCCGATCTTATCGAAATTGTTGCTCAAGAGACGTGACATAATGGTTCCCAGCTGCTCCATAACCTTCTCCCGATCTTGGTCCGTTATGTGGAGAAGTGGGCGTCTATTTGGATACCCTTCTATTTGAGACAGCTCAATCCAGTCATACTCGGATAATGAACGGCCACTAGCCTTGCTCATGAGAATATAAAGGCACTCCAATATCATTGTCACAGTCCCCGCTATGGAACTCTATTAGTGTCTTCATGCCTTTGTCGGCGAACGTAGCATATGACAGAGCAGACTCACTTGAACGAGAAAACCTCTGGGACAGGGATCGAGCTGAGAGTGCTCAGATACTTCAGTGTCACGGCCTCGCTGATGAGTAACTTGGATACAGATTTCTCAGTGATGATAGTGCTTGGTCCGCTACGGGGAGACCTGAACACCCATTCGGTGCCATCCTCGAAAGCGATGAAAATAACCCAGTGGGTACTACCAGCTTTGGATCTCGTTGATGTATCAACAGTGCATGATTGGCCTCGAAGTCTTGTGGCGAGAGAAATAAGAGCATCAAGATCAAATTTTGCATATGCAAAGACTTTTGGTCTCTTGGTGGTGGTAGACATGATAGACCTTGTAAGAATTGTCTTGGTTTGCTGAAACTGGATGTTGGTTGAAAGAAATGAACTTAGAGAAAACAATATCACTGTTGCAGCTGCCTGCGAGACAACAAAGCCCGTATGGAGTTATGTAATCATGGGCTTCTGCATGTATCGGTTCAGCTAAAATCCGGCGTGCTCAACCGGTGAATCATAATCAAGTTTATTATGCTGTTGGTTGATGTCAAAGAGCTTCAGTGAAACCTATGCTGTTGGTTGTTTCCACTGAGTGTAGTGCTAGGACAGCCGACCCCTAAGGATGGCGTATGGACATCATTGAGTCTCTACAACTAGTTCAGAAGCCAATTTCCCGCTATCAACTATTCAATAGGCTTTTGGTTTAGCAATAGACGTATAAGTGTTACAGTGACATACGGGTAACATTATGCGGGCTTCCTATTTAGGCTGTTCTCACCTTGAGTGCCGAAGGATTCAACACGCCAAGGATCAAGCGCCAGCCACGCCAAGACCACAGCATAGCCACTAAGACTAAGCCCATTTGATGACGTCCAAAGCTGCAATCAATTTCAGAGCCCAACAATCACCTTTTCATTATCATCACCTCGCAATCAACATGGACGGCAATGATACGAGACTCAGAGGTCTCAAGGCTTGCACGGTTTGTGCTAGTGCAAAGGTCAGATGTGATATGGTATTGGGGCAGAAGCGGTGTACAAGGTGAGTACTCAGTATTGGGTTTGGGGATAGAGCTAACATTAATAATAGATGTGAAAGATTGAACAAGGAGTGTAATTCTCAGCCTAGAGGGAGTCATAGTCGGAGGAGTCATTCGAAGGGAGGGACTTATGCGCGAGAGTTTGTGTACCTAGTCTTGCCAACTAGCAGTAGACTGACTTTACTAGTGATCTTCTAAGGCTCGAATCCAAGTTCGATTCAGTCGCAAACCTCCTATCATCATCATCATCAACAACCACCCTCCCGTCAATAACAATAGCAACTCATCCACGAAAAGCCTCATCAGCTACAAGTTCAAGTTCACAAACACCACCAGAATCTCAGTCACCTATCCACGCGCTCTTTTCATTCCCGTTATCCTCTGGCTCTCACCGTCTGGCTTATAAAATGCTAGAAACATATCGTCAAGAAATGATGCCTCTGTTTCCCTTCGTGTGGATAGGCCTGGATGAAAGTCCTGAGAAGTTGTTTCAAGAACGACCGATGTTGTATATGGCGATCATGGTGGTTACTTGTCAGGAGAATATTGAGGTTCAGCAGGAGCTTGCACAGAAGTATCGGGAGGAGATTGGACGGAGGATATGGACGCTTGCGGAGAAGAATCTTCAGCTGCTTCAAGGGATTTTGGTATTCTTGGCATGGTAAGTCTTCTGTCCGAACTGAGGGTTGATGGAAGCTTACACCAGCAGGTACCAAACTCATTGGGTTCTCGGTCACCAGCTCAGTAATCTTATGTACATGGCTATGTCCCTGGTTACGGAGCTCGGGCTTGACAAAGAGCCATCGTCGGGCACCAAGACTGCACCGGGCGTTCTGACTGAAATCACCAAGAACCAAGAACCTCAGCCTGTGAGAACAAGTGATGAAAGGAGATGTCACTTGGGAGTCTTTTGGTTGAATTCCTTGTAAGAAAAAGCCACCATATACTCTCATTATGTTAGCTAACCCCATCTAGACTAAGAATTTGTGTCAAAGATATTGTACCAATGCCCTCGCGACCTTCCATCAACAACAACTGCTCCATTCTCGAAGCAGGATTGGAATCTCCCTGGGATACTTATCTTGTTCAGCTGGTGAGGATACAACTCGTTGCTAGCTCGATTAGTGCAACACTGTACCAAGACTTGGATAGAAATGAGGCACAGATCTCGCATACGCTATTTATGGCAACATCGCATGTGGAGAGACAGGTACAAGATCTTGGAGCTACTCTACACCAAGGATCTCGTCTACAAGGTAGGACAAAAGCTTGAAACTCCTTCGGCACCTGATTCTGACTGTGAACAGCACCATTGACTATGTCATTCCACATGCTCCAAGTCTACCTCTACAAAATTGGCATCGACGAACGCCTCCACGAACCAACCGACCCAACCCTCCTCCCCTCCTCCGACCCCTCCCCCCACGCCCTCCGCTGCTCTTATCTTCTCGTATCATGCCTCAACGCCGTCAAAGCCGTAATCGAAAACTTCCTGCTCCTAACATCACCCACAATCCTCTCCATGCCGTACACCTACTGGATCCAAATGGGACACTGCATAAACATGTTTTCCCGGCTATTGGTTACACACTCCACCCTCTGGGATCCGAACCTCGTCACGGGCATACACGATTTCACTTCGACGCTGGAAAGGTTGGCGGTCAAGATTGAGGGTGCTATGAGTGAGGGCGCCGGTATGACGCCGCCGAGATATTTACCGTCTATGTTTAATCAGATGAGGGGGAAGTTGATTGATATTTGTAGGAAGGTTGGGGAGAGCTCGAAGGCTATGGCGCAGGGATATGTTGGGACGCCGACGGCGCCGGAGAGTTTTGATACGGGGAATATGATCATGGATGAGCAGACTGAGGCTCTGTTGTTTAGTTTTCTGGGTGATGGAAACTTCTTGTGAGCGTACGAAGCATCTCGATCAACTAAAGCGGAATACCAGTCAGATGAGAAGCATACCATTAATATTATAAATTCAACCTGGTTTAAAAGTTACTGGTAAGACATAGGACTTTTCGAGTCGTAGTGCTTATGAGATCTACTCAAACTATCCCAACAATCACTGCCGAACATCCCGGCTACAGCTTCCCGAGCATTCGTATGGACGGAAACCTACATGACGAAATATCGTAGGATTCATTTTCTTGATAAGCAATAAGCCCAAATGGCGGAGTAACCAATCATATCTTCTATTTCTTGGGCGTCATATTGTGGCAGAGAAATGTTGTTTATATGAATACAAGACATTCCCATCGTCGGTGGCTTTTTGCCGAGGTTATCACCCCATCCCTTCAACAATCCCAAGCTAATTTCAGCTTCTTCAACAACCATGAAAATGTTCAGCGCTTTGTTAACAGGCCTTTACGGCAGCTTTTTGGCACATGCGTATCCCGTTGATCATCCTGCCAAGTTCTCGAGGCTTATCGTTTTTGGTGATAGTTTCAGCGATAACGGGAATGGTTCTTGGGTCGTGAGCAATGGGACCTGGCCTGTTGATCCAGCGTACTACCACCATTCTTTCTCGTGAGTTTTCTTACCCTCAATTGAGATTATATATTGATTTTGGAAAGGAATGGACCGAAATGGAACGATGTAGTGGCGAAGCAGCTTGGTCTTGAGCTCATCAATCTCGCCACTGGTGGAGCGACTACGAACAATGACTTTGTCGCTGGAGGTACAGGTGCTGAATCGACGATTCCTGTGCCTTCAGCTGCCGATCAAGTTCTGTCATTCTTGTCTTGGGATACACCTCAGGCTGGTGATATCTTTGTTCACTGGATTGGAGCCAATGATATCCTTTTCAATACGAGTATTACTGGAGGACAGGTTACGAGTTTGATCAACGAGAACATCAACAGATTATATCAAGCTGGTAAGACCTCTCTTCTAGCCCATGAGTCATATTCTGATTCAATACAGGTGCAAAGAATATAATTCTAGCGAATTATCTCAACGCAACAACCTTCCCAGCAACATACAATTCCTCAACCTACAACGTTCCCAGTGTCCAGGACTACGTCCCCGCCTTGACAAAAGGTCTGGAGCAAATCGCGGCAGGATACTCAGCATACGCCAAAACCGCAGTGATCGACGTTCAAGCTTTATTCAATGACTTGTTTTCGGATCCCGAGGCGTACGGGTTCGATGAGGACTATGTTAATCCTCCGACTGCATGTCTCACGGGCGTTTATACGAGCGAAGGTGTTCCACGACAGTTATGCGGTGATCCCGAGAAGCATATCTTCTTTGATTCATATCATCCTGTTAAAGAGGTACATGCTTTGGTAGCTAAGTTATTCGTGGAGAGTATTGGCGGATTTTCGGCTTGATGTTGTTGGTCAAGTCGTGGGACGCAAGAAAACTTAGGATATCTATCCTAGACTTCGTTCCATACAGACACGCAAGTAGTTAGTGCAAGCCTGTTCTTACTCTGAGATACCGCAAGCCTCACCTGTTGCAATATTTCCAAGTGACCACTTGGCAAGAATCCATTCGTCCAAGATGGAAAGGCTGTTGGTCCGACATTGAACCTTGTTGCTCGGTTCATAAGCTATAGGGAGGACTTATGAACTGTAAGAATAGACTGCCAATAATGAAGCAATATAACTGTGGTTACCAAATGCGTCTGATTTATTGACGGGGAAGTCACTCCAAGATAACATCCCACGGGTTCTCCCCTTCCATGCTCCTCTTTCATTCTTTCGTTCTTTCATCTTGTCTCCCAACTCTCATCCCATTCTCCATCTTCGCCTGATCGTCAACGCACAATATCACACGCTTTAACTACCTATCGATCAACTTACCAACATTCCTCACAATGGGCAGTTCCCACTCCAAGGAGGAGAAGGTCGAACGGGAGCGATCTAGTCAATTCAAGGGTATAGGTCGTAACAAGTACTATCCTCTGACTCCTCAGGAGCATGCAGAGGATACTTGGAGAAGGGAACAGTACCAGTCGGCACGTAACAAGAAAAAGTTGAAGAGCCAGAGGCACATCGAGGGCCTTGAGTAAGCACTGTCATGATATTCACTTTATCAAAGAGTTGATTTGGCTAACAGCATTCCAGGCGATTCAAGGGATATCCACTGCCCGGCGAGTCCCCTGCCAAGTCCCCTGCCTCAAGGTCAGGAAGCTCGTCCCCCGCGCCAGTGTTGGGAAGCAAAGTCCATGCTGCAGAAAGCAAGCGCCCTTTCATAGGGCGCTATGACAGGTCCCCTGCCTACGGGTGGGGAAGCGGCTGGGGAGACATGGTTCATCAACATCCAGCTCAAGAGTCGAAACGAAAGATGAGATCAAAGGCCCACAACTCAGTCTAAACTACCTGTTGGCTCGACCTGACGGTTGCCAAAAGGCTGATACAATGTTAGCTTGCAGTGATCTTGGCTGATTTTTGTTAGGGATTAGGTATCTAGGTAATTCCCTGTTATTTCTGGTCTTTTAGCTAGGGCATCTTAGGATAATGGATTGCTAGGAAAATGCACTAATGGCGATGTGTGTTAGCATTTCGTGCTGCATCGCGGTTTTGTGCCAACGATATATTGCCCATATGTGTTAATTTTTGTTCTTTACTTTTGTATTGGGACTGAAACTTCTTTTGGCCCCTGAACCTTATCACCTTATTACAGTTTCAGGCAAGAGTTATAAGGTAGGGTGTGCAATATGGTTTATTACCTCCACTATCAAATGCAAAAGAGTAATGCCAATACCCATATCCTCCCCCTTAGAAAAGCAAATCCAAATTGGCTTGATATATCTCGTCAAGACATCATAAGCCTTAACTATCAATCAATCAATCCAGCATTACCAAGCCCAGATCCCCCTATAAGCTTGTGCATAACCTTGTTGGATTCATAAAAATGGCGTCAGGCTCGAGGGAGCATAGTCGTGTAGGTGAGCTCGCTCACTTACTTCTCAAGCATCAGCAAACGGACATCCATTATCTTTTTAACAAGTCTTGGTCACTTACATCGTAATGGACCGTACCGCGAGGAGATTCCTTTCGCATCGGGTTTGCCCCGCCACTCCAGTTAACCGTCTTGAACACGGGCTTGGCGGGCTCGCGATGAACCGTACTTCGGGGGGGTTCCTTTCGATTCGCGTCCGCACCGCCACTCCAGTTAACCGTCTTGAACACGGGCTTGGGGCCGCCGTCGTAGACGGTCTTTGGTTTAAATGTAATAGGATGAGGACCGTCTATCCAGAATGAACGTTGACCGGCTCTAATGGCCTCCACGTCACTTCGGATGATATATTTGCCATCCGCAGGGTTAAACACCGAATTGGTGCGACGATACTTGAATTGGTTCTGGTCACGAGCTTCTGCATTTTTGTCGCGGATGAGAAAAGAGCACATCTTGAAGGATGGGGTGGGGTGAGTGTGATATGTGTAGGTAGTTGAGACCTGTGGCTGAGAGCTTATAATCAACAGAACTTAAAGGTGGGGTAAGGAAAGATATTGATGAGTGGTGTTTTGCGAATTTGATGATGATGGAGCAGGGGCCAAAATGAAGGGGATGTGGGAGGAGGTGTGGCCTTTATAGCTCTGTCCCTTCCATTTGTCACCACAGCCTCGAATTTAATGTAATGATCTTGCCCTCGAAGAAACACGCTCGAACGCGGCACGTGCCCTGTGTAGAAGTATAATGAGTGGGCAACAGCGGGAAGTCAATACCATGAGGCTATTCACGATTCACCTCTGCCAATCAAACCGAACCCCCCCGAGCTGTATTGGTCCATCTACAAGTTATCTTGAGGGGACTCCAATGAGTGCGAGGTACTGGCTTTTGTTGCGATACGTGGAAGGATGAGCTTTCAGGTGATAGACGTTTGCCTTGCTTTGAACATACAGACTGTGAGCTCTCATTGGCATATCGACATTTGAGATGGTGGTCTATCGCCTCTCCAGTGGGAAGCTGTTATTGTAGTCCACGACAAACATGAAGCTGCCAACTCTGTTCTTCGCCTTCCCAACAGGACGATCGCATGGATTGGTATTGAAAGCTGAATCTCAAAGTATGTTCAATGTTCAAGGCTAGGGGAGGCAAGAAAACGTAGGACCTCAATTCTAAGTGACAAAAAGAATTAGGTAAATTTAGGACAGACCTATTATGCCTTTAGATTAGTTAATATTGACACATTAGGTTTAGAACAGAAGTTTTCTTGCTCCCTGGGACCGGGCCAGGATGTCTTGGTGATAGCTTCACGTTGACAACGCGTGACACGCGCGGGGAGCGTCAACTCTCAGCCAGATTGGACTCTAAGTAAAGGCTGATAACACACCAACACCTATAGGTGCAATTGCAAGCCACGGTAGAGATTTCCGAAAGCTCAAGACAGCAAAAAACATCACGGTAACAATAAGAGACGCTGGAACACATTGCTTCAATCTTATCTCATAACTTTTACTTGTAACATCATATTTTTACATCATCCCCAGCATACACCTAATATACAAAGTCCCTCTTCACTCTTACACCAAATGCCCCAAATCATCAAGGACATAATCCCTCCATGCTTTTTCTATAAGACCTCTTCCCAATCTGAAGTATGGTATTTTGCAACACAGATTCCCCTATCGTAAAAAATTACAAGACATTAATTAGTGGAGATGTGCTTGCCACCTCACTCAGCACCCCCCTTTCAAGCCTTCTTCTCGGGTGGGTTGCCGCCTCCGAAAATGCCAGAGAACGAACCCATCATGCTGTTCATAGCTTCCTTCTGGGCTGCCTCCATCATGGCGGCTTCTTCCTTTAGCCACTTCTCGCCGTTCTCGCGGATCTGCTTCTCGAGCTCCATGTAGTTTCGCTGGCCGCGCTCGCGGGCGACGTCTTGTAGCATCTTGCCCTGTGCGAAAGCCTCGGCGGGGTTTTGTTCGCCTTCGGGGGAGACCATCATGCTCATGTTGCTGGGGTTGAGACCGAGGAGGTTGCCTAGGGCGCCGACGCCAGAGCCGTGCTTTTGCTTGTGGGCGAGCTGCTTGGCTTGGAACTCTTTGCGGGCAATGGCTTCACGACGGGCGAATTCGGTGGGAATGTGCTTGCCTTCGAAGGACTTGAGGACCTTTCGGACGTCGTCGTACTGCATGGTGTGGATGTACTCGAGGAAGGGAATGAGGTTGACGAGCTCCTTGTCGTTTCGGTCGCCCTTCCAGGGTTCAAGGATGATGGCGTTCTCGGGTTGGTTGCGGACGTGCTTGGGGTTGCTGTCGATGATGATCACCTTCTTCAAGTCACGGTTAAGGTAGGAGAGGTCCTAGTTAGTTAGCGCAAGTTTATCAACGATTGTAAAGAGGCTTACCTTGACGATCTCTCCATCCTCGAACTTGGTAGCCTCTCGGTAGAGGGGCCACAAGATTAATCGGAAGGGATCCAATTTCCTCATGATAGGCTCGCCAGTAGCAAACGGCACAGAGGTGAATAGGACCAGCTCATAGTACTGACTAAGATACCGTATGAAGTAGTCCACACCAGGTCGCTTTGCAATTCTCCAGCCATGTTCACGAGACCACTCGCTATGAACAAGAAGGTCGTCCAAGCTCAGGCAGAGGGTATAAGGGCGCTCGAACGTGGGGTCGGGATCGGGGAGGAGCTTCTCGAATGCAGGCTCTTGGTAGTAAGTGACGGACTCGGTCAAACGGGCCTTAGCACGCTTCCACCACAAACCAAGACCAGGGCCGTTGGGAATGTCAGAGTGACGCTCAGCTTCGATAGTGTCTTCCCAGTTTCGACCCATGTATAGAACACTCAGAGTACCACCGGCAGCAGTCGCAATAAGCATGAATCTTGTCCACCACTTGCGATTGCGCTCAGACGTAGAGACATATTCCGATCGCTCACGTCCACCACTAGATTCAGCCTCCTCCATCTCCTGTAGCTGCTTCTGATCCTTCTTCTTATCACCGCCCATCTCCTCAAATAGCGTCGAAGGAATACCCTGTGTCAGATCGGGTAGCTTATCGAAAGGTATTTGTTCTCCCTCCTTCGGAGCCTCGGTAGACTTCTCGCCAGCCTTGTTAACATCATTCTCGGCAGGTTTCTCAACGTTTTCAGCATCGTTTTGCGCCTGGGAAGGCTTCTGTTTCGAATCTTTGTTTTGTTGAGGGGAGGATTTCTTGGCATATGTCCGGAGCCATGGCGAGGCAAATTGAGGAGCGACGGCGGGAAGTGCTCGGAGAGAAGGAGATGCGACGGGCCGTGACAGACGAGCTGTCATCAAGCCCAAGCGCGAAGCCTGGGCTACTCTGGATAGCATAGCGAAGGGAGAGAAACTAAACCGCTAAGGCTGGAGGGGTTGTTTGGCGGTTTCGATGGTGAAGGGTCGAACTTCAATGGCCTGGGGTGTTGACGTGCAGCTTGACGAAGTTGGTCTGATACTCCGCCATAGAATGGCATGGCGTCGTCGGCCGTGGAAAAAAATCGCACGGTTCTGCCAAAGTGGAGCTTCTTCAGGAAAGACACCGTGGATTAGCCGTGTCCAGTGGCACGGACTTTTGATAGGCCGATGGCGTCATACGCTCTTGTCGTTCACGTGAAATCGGGACAGTAGCTCCGGTCACGCTCCGATCATGAACCCCCTCCATGATGCCCAGTAAAGACCCTTGTTCACTGAATTGACCATTCAAGTTGATGACATTCTCAAACAATAAGACGATATTTGACTGTGATATTGTTTTTCCTCATCTGTTTTTTATCTCATTTCTATCACTTCACCTGTGACATCGAGAGTCTTCTCACGATTTCTCTTCAGCAAAAGATATTCTCTTGTTCGCCACGATCTAAATAGTCCCCGATTATTCCGACTAGCTACCCGAGACTCCAATTTGACGCCGCCTTCTACAGTGCTTTCTCATCGATTGTTTCTACACCATGATACCCACCCTCATGACAAACCTCACTCAAAAATAAACGAAATCCTTCACGCTTTGACAATTTGTCTGCGCCCATTGTCATCTCCCTAGAGATTCGACCTACGCATATCAACTTTCCTTATCGTCGAAATTCTCCTCTTCGCCACTTCGTCCTCACAACCACTCACCATGGCCCGACGATCGAGCAAGAGCTCAGCCTCTCGCCCGTCGCTGAGCTCTCGTCCAGCTGGCTCAATACGCATCGTAATGCCCTCCAACAAAAGCGCACCCCCCGCAGACCCTGCACCCGCCGTCACAGAAGAAGATGTCAACAAGATCAACATCGCCGACTTGACCCTCGACGTTCCTCTCATTCCTCTCCGACCAAAACGTCGAGTCCCAAAAACACCATTTCACTTCCTCTCACTACCCGCCGAAGTGCGCATTCAAATTTACACATATTTCTTCGACGATGTCGATACGCTTTTAGACCTTGGTCCTCAGAATTATAAGCGCGTGCATAAGAAACTAGGTCTTATGCGCGTTTGCAGACAGGTTCATGATGAGGCGACTTTTGCGTTTTACAGCACACGGACGTTTCGATTGTTTCCGACTTACCCCGGAAAATATTTCAAGAGCAAGAAGCCTCTGCTGGCGAGGTTGAAGCCGCAGCAGCGCAAATGTGTTACATCGCTGGAGTTAAGACTTGGACCGGGATGGAATGCGCCTCCGAGGGGATGGGTTGTTAACCCCGCGCTTGGACTATCAGACTGTATTGATGTTGAGCGATTGAATGTCTTTGTGGAGTGCGACCCTAGCGACAACATCTTCCAGGGTTGGCGTCGCTCAGATGGGTTCTACGAGGGATTCAGCCGGAATCTTCTGACTGATGTTCTGGAGGCCCTGCCATCTGTTCACACAGTCCAGTTTGACGGTTGGACCAGCGTTAAGAAGTCTGGTGACATGATGCAGTGCCTCATGGGCGTCGTGAACGAAGCTGGTCTAGCCATTGAATGGGGCCCTGAGAGAGGATGGACGGACACTTCTGTTGACGAAGAAGATGAGACTCAGAAAGTAGGATATCCTGAAGGATTTCCTCATCCTGGGTATGAGGCACATGGTCTGCTGGCTTTGGCCTAAGTGTACGACTTGCATGAGTAAGATTTTTGGCTCAAATGAGATTTACGAAGCGGACTTTTATACTGGTATGCAGCGGATGACACATACACTCTTAGCTATATTTATAAGATGAATCACTATAGTAGCCCTTTCATGCTATCTCCTCTCGTGGTATCGTTTTCATCTATGGTTCGTGAATCCAAAACACTAACAAACTGTCTACTGAGCTCCAAGCATTCTAAGTGCATTGCGCAGCTCCTGAACCGCAGTGGGTACATCTTCAAAGTTAAGTGCTGATATAGCCCACTTGGCGTGCTTCTGTGCCTGGTTGATATCCCGTTGATCTGTTGCAAAACCGGTAGTCTGGACAGGCGCTGGTACTGGAGGCTGAGAAGCAGGGGCCTGACGGATCACGGGTGGAGGGTTAGAAGCAGCAGGATGAGGGGCGCTCGGAGTTGTTGTCCAGGATGGAGGTGCCGACGGTGTGAATGGCTGTGGAGGGGGGGGAGCAAATTGCGAAGGAAGCTTGGTTGGAATTTGAGGTGATGGCTGAGGAGGGATCTGCGTCGCAGGCTGTGTTGGCGGCTCTGGCACAGGAGACACAGCAGGCGGTAGACCAACAGGCGGTGGTGGAGGAGGACCTCCAGATAGACCCGGCGTGGGACTCTGGCTCAAAGGCGACGGGACAAATGGCTCAGGCGCCTGGGGCTGGTGTTCTGGCTGAGGAGGGAAATATCCAGGGTCATCTGGAATTCTAGGCGGCGCATCCGTAAAGGTAGGAACACTGGGAGGTTCTCCAGCATCTGGTACATCCTCAACCGAAGCGCGAGGAGCTCCAGACAGAAGTTGGACTTCAGGATCGGAGGGATCGAGCGCAACTTCGGGTTCAGGCTCAGGAGCATTGGGGTTCGTCTCGTTGGGATCTTTGCCCTCGCGAATGGCCTTTAGGATTCGAGCGGCGTTCCATTTGGCGAATTTGATCTTCTTGACGACTTCGGGATCGGGCTCGCCCCATTCGCGGGTGAGGTCGAAGAACGTCGCGGCAGCGTCGAATGTGTCGGCGGTTTGTCTACATCTGTTAGTCTCGCCCTTATAACGTGGAGAAGGCGACATACCTCGTCACCTTGTTAGCGCGCATAGTGCGCTCAGCTCTTTCAAATGTCTGCTGAGCGAATTGCTCAACATAGGCTTGTCCCGCAGCGTTATCGACGATCGCATCATCATCAGCTCGTTCCGTCTTTGTTGCCTCGAGGCGCTCGATCAGTGTTTTTGTGAACTCAAAGGTATCGTCGTCGGTAGTGTGCAAGCTCTTTCCCACGATCTGGTTCACAGCATGGTATTCGCCTGAGAAACATTATCAGAGATGGTCTCGAGTGAAGAGGTTTGTGGTTGCCTACACCAGTATGCGATAGCGGGCTTGATGCTTCTCAGCTGATTTGCGCGATTGATGAAGCGACTGACTTCAGGGATTTTGAGCGCAGCTGGAAGAGGTTCTGCCATGTTGAGATACTATCTGGAGATCCCCAAGTAACCTCGGAGAAGTAATCGTTTGAGGGTGAGAGTCGAGTCAAGATGGCGCAAATTAATGCCAACTCCAAGTCAAGTCAAGTCAAGTTGTCTTGGAGATCATGCACCCCACCTCTCCTCTTTCTGTCTGCCTAGGCCATTGACGTAAGGGCTTAGCGGCACACAGCCACTGGTTCCCCGGATTCGATCAGCTCACGCCACTTGTGGCTCTAGCTCAACTGTCGAATCAGAGACCCTGGCTTCACTTTCTGAAGGTCTGTCACCGTGGCTTTTTCCTTTCCTTTCCTTTTCCAGAAGATGCCACTTTGTTCTTGACGGACCAACAGGCAGGCAACTATAACTTCGTCTTTGAAGTAATCAGAGAGATTCCCTCTATCTCAAATCAATCAAGTATTGTCTTTTCTCGTTTGTGTTTATTGTACTGAAAGATACATCGTCATGCCTAACCCCACCTCTTTCTTGGTGACTTTGACAGCTGCCCTTGCGGCTCTGCCAGAGGCTCAAGCTGCCATCTACACCAAGAACTCGCCTGTTCTTCAAGTCAACGCTCGCAATTACGATAAGCTCATTGCAAAGTCCAACTACACCTCTGTAAGCCTTTCTCTTCCTCACAATTGACTATCGCCACTGACACATCATAGATTGTCGAGTTCTACGCCCCATGGTGCGGCCACTGTCAGAACCTCAAGCCCGCTTACGAAAAGGTCGCCAAGAACCTCGATGGTCTCGCTCAGGTCGCCGCCATTGACTGTGATGAAGAGTCCAACAAGCAGTTCTGTGGTGGTATGGGTGTTCAGGGCTTCCCAACTCTCAAGATCGTTCGTCCTGGAAAGAAGACTGGTAACCCTGTTGTTGAAGACTACCAGGGTCAACGAACAGCAGGCGCTATTCAAGAGGCTGTCATGAGCAAGATCAACAACCATGTTACGCGTGTGGGCGACAAGGATCTTGACTCTTTCCTCAAGGGTGATAAGCCCAAGGCTATTCTCTTCACTTCCAAGGGAACGACTAGTGCTTTGATTCGAAGCATTGCCATTGACTTCCTCGATGTTATTTCAGTGGCGCAGATCCGTGATAAGGAGACAGCTGCGGTTAAGAAGTTTGGCATTGAGAAGTTCCCCGCTCTTGTCCTCATCCCCGGTGAAGGCAAGGATCCTATCGTCTACGATGGTGAGATGGTCAAGAAGGATATGGTCAAGTTCCTCTCCCAGGCTGGGGAGCCTAACCCCGTTCACGCTACTGGCAACACCAAGAGCTCAAAGCCCAAGAAGGCTGAGTCCAAGAGCTCTAAGAGCACCAAGAAGAGCAAAGCAACCGAGGCTGCTAAGGAGGAGCCTGTTGAGTCAAAGGAGTCTTCTACTGAGGCTGCCGAAGCAGTTCCCACCATCATTCCTATCTCTACTATCTCTAGTCTGGAGAAGCTTGCCGAGGAGTGTCTTGCTCCCAAGTCTCACACCTGTGTTCTTGTCTTCACTCCTGGCGAAGCTGGCGAGAAGGCAGTTGACTCGCTTTCCCACCTCAACACCAAGTATGTCCACGGTGGTCGAAAGACATTCCCCATCATCGCTGTTCCCAGCGACAGCGACGCTGCCTCTACTCTTCCCAAGGCTCTTGGGTTCAAGAACGAGGTTAACCTGATCGCTATCAATACCCGCCGAAACTGGTGGCGCCAGTACGAGGGCGACTTTAGCCTCGCTAGTGTTGAGAACTGGATCGACGCTATTCGCATGGGCGAGGGTGCCAAGAAGAAGATCCCTGAGGGTGTTATTGTCGAGAAGACTGAGGCTGCTGAGGAGAAGTCTACCCAGGCTACTGACCCTGAGCCTGAGATTGAGACTGACGGTCCTAAGGAAGCTAAGACTGAGGTTGAGACTGGGGTTGAGATTGAATCCGAGACCCAAGCTGAGGCTAAGGCAAAGACCCCAGAACCCGAGGCCGAACCTGTCGCTGAGTCTGAAGCCGAGCCTAAGACCAAGGAGGAGATCAAGCACGAGGAGCTGTAAAGGGCATCCCTTATATCTTACAATTAGTCTGTGACTATAACCTTGATAGCGAAGACATACCTGTCATATAGCAGATCAAACAAATAACTCCAGAACAATTCGATGACCCAATGCATATGGTATCTAATCATCCAAATCCATCCCCATAGCATCATTCTTCTCCACCGCACCCTCCTTCACCATCTCAGCGCCCTTATCCTTAACAACCTGATCCAAGAACTGCTTCACCTGCTTACACCCATCCACACCAACCACCAACATTCCCTCCAGCCTGCTAACTTGCACACGACTCTCGCAGACAAGTACAGCTACCTGGTCGGTATCACCTTGTGTCGCGACCGTCAAGAAGGGGAGTTCTTGCTCTTCTTGGTTGTTTAGATCGAGGAGAGGATCGGCTGTGTCGTCGCCCGCGGCGTATGTTGATGTTGAACCGGCCGTGCAGGCGGCGATGTAATCTGTCATGGGAATACCAGCGTCGATGAGGGCGAGGGTCGTTGCGTTGAGAAGTGCGGCGAGGAGGGATCCGTCTTGTGATAGAACGTGAAGAGAGATGGTGATCGAAGAGTGAGGAAACAGGTGTGTATGTAAATTCGAAGAAAACGCATTCGCAATCGTCGTTTCAATCTCTTGTATGCGCCTAAACCGTTAGCATCCAAACTCTCCTACTGCTTAGCAAGAAACGTACTTGTCATTGCGCCCTCTCTTCTTTCGATCCACGCCCGAAAAACCCGCTACCACAACATTGACATTGATAGCTGCTGTATCACGAGGAGCTTGTTGTCCACCACGTCTTTGAACTTGTTGCTCTGAAGGACCGGTCACGACACACATGACTTTTGTATGGCCCATTTCGAGATATGATGAACCGTCCGCTGCATCTTGAGTTCGGATCTGCGCATGGAGACGACGCAGTTCGTTCCATCTTCTTCCGTCGACGCGCAAGAGCGCTAATGAGTATGTTGACGTGTCGAGAGGCATCTTTCCTTAATGAAGTTTCACCCTACCGATACTCTAAGCTTTACATCGCGAACTGAATTGATGGTGGGGGAAATTTTCAGATGTGGCTGAACTGTGGCTTGACCTCCAGCTCTCGGATAATTCCAGCTACGGATTAATTGCCGCCCAATCAGAGACCATCGGTTTTGGAAGAATTGATGACTGGCATATCCGATGTCCATTTACGGCTTTATACATGCCCGAGATCAACACCAAGACCGGCACGGCTGAAGTGCCGGTGATGTAATTACCAACGCCCTAAATCCGGGAATTGTCCAATGACACTCGGATCTTTGCGATAGTTGAGTTTATTCCGTTTGCCATGATGCGTTGAACTTTCTTTATCGGAGAACGGAGTTAGCAAATGGAGAGAAATGTACTTTTTGCTATGATGCATTGCTAGTGTAGACGCTCTTTGAGGTATGGGCGTTGAGGGTTTGTTGTATATAAGTTGTTGTTTCCTCCTCGTTGAGAATCTCATATCATTAGGATCTCATCGATCAATCAAGAAGTCTCAATTGAAAGTCAATCAAACATCAACCATGTCTTCTCTTCCTCAGACTTACAAGGCTTGTGTCCTCGACAAAGTCAACGCATCATGGACTCTCAGCGACGTTCCCCTCAAACACCCCTCCAAAAGCCAAATTCTCGTCAAGGTCCTCGCCTGCGGCGTCTGTTTCTCCGACGTAGCTCTCGGCACCGGCCACATGGGCGATGTATTCCCCCGTGTTCCAGGCCATGAGATCATCGGCGATGTAGTCGAAGTCGGCGAAGGCGTTGAGAACTTTAAGAACGGCGACCGTGTTGGTGGACCTTGGCACGGTGGTCATGACCGAACTTGTCGCCAGTGTCAGCGCGCTCAATTCCAGATGTGCGATAACAAGGCGATTAATGGTGTGAGTCAGGATGGTGGGTTTGCCGAGTATGTGCTTTTGAGAGCGGAGGCTGTTGTTCGTGTTCCGAAGGAGATGGATGCTGCTGAGGCTGCTCCTCTTCTTTGTGCTGGCGTTACTGTCTTTAATGGTATTCGAAAGTTGCATGTTGAGCAGGGAAATCTCGTTGCAGTTCAGGGTCTTGGTGGTCTTGGCCATCTGGCTGTTCAATACGCCAACAAGATGGGTTATGAAGTCGCTGTTCTCTCATCAGGCGACGATAAGGCGGACTTTGCCAAACAACTCGGCGCCCATCACTATATCAACACCAAGAAGTCCGACCCGGCAGAAGAACTCACCAAGCTTGGTGGTGCCGCCATTATTGTGCAAACAGCACCCAACCCCAAGGCGGTATCACCACTTGTCAATGGTCTTGCTGCTGAGGGCAAGCTTCTCAGCCTTGCGCCCGTCGGTCCCGCAGAGATTGATACAATGTCGCTGGTTTTGAAGGGTGCAAGTGTTGTTGGTTGGCCTAGTGGTCATGCGCTTGACAGCGAGGAAGCTCTTCGATTCTCCATGATTCATGGGGTTAAGTGTATGACTGAGAGGTATCCCCTGGCCAAGGTACAAGACGCAGTTGAGAGTCTTCAGGCTGGAAAGCCCCGATTCAGGAATGTTTTGGTTATGCAGTAAATGTCTGGAAATGGTTGGGTTGGTTGTACAGTTGTTGTAAAATGAGCTATGGTGTTGGCGGTTGTGGGGAGCGGGATCTCGGCGATGATGAAGTTGTATACGATTGACATGAATGAAACACGACATTAAATAAACTTGACCGCAAGGAAGCAATCAAGTTTTTAGCTCTACTTCAATAAGATCCCCACCTCAATGATACATACAAGCTATAGAATCCAGTGCCATGATATTTCACTGAAGCCACGATGGCGTACAAATATAGGGTAATAAATAGCGACCCAAACACAGTAACAGAAAACGTCCGAGATAACAGGATCACTGCAAGAAAAATAATGTTTGGCTTGAGTCAGATTGTGACTTGACGAGATAATAGAGGTCACAAGGGCTTCATAACGACATCCACCTTGTTCATGTTTGCGCCGTAGATTCAAAACTGCTATCAAGCCATCTTTGTGCGTTTGGCGTGTAAGCTGAAACACATGCAGCTCACCTCACTTTCAAGGAGTTTACGACCTAAGAGTGTAAGAAAAAATGATAAGGCTTGGAATTGAAGCTTGAGCCTGAAAATATCTTTGGCCAAAAATTGCTAATTACTTAAGTAAAGAAATATTGAGCAGTTGTGCTTTGTCGCCTGTTTTCTTGATGGATCTACAGCAAAACACCAGCCCCGCAGTTTGGCGCATCCAAAACTCAACATCTCCAACATCACCCATGAGACTCCTCCCACTTCTCACCCGCCCGCAACGACTCCCTCTTCTCTTCTCAAAAACTTCACTTCGCCATCTTCACACAATGTCTCGCAAACCACCCCAAGCACCTCCATTATTCACAGCAACACCCTCCGCCATCCTCTCCCAAACCTCATCCCTCATCTCATCAACCACCACCCTCGAAAACACCCTTTCATCAACCCTCACACCCTCAACAGCAACATACTCCAACCTACTCACCCCCATGCTAAAAGATGATCACGCGGTATCTAAACAAACCCTCATCATTCGTCTCTTCAGCTCTGTATCAGAGGATAAAGACCTCCGCGATGCATCCCGCACAGCGGAGCAGATGCTCCTTAAAGCCAATGCTGAGGCCCTCATGAGAAGAGATATAGCTGCTCTTGTTAAAGCTGTTTATGAGAAATACCAGCGTGGGGAAGAGAAGCTGGGAGAGGAAGATGCGTATACTTTGTTCAAGACGCATAGAGCGTATCAGAACACTGGGGCTGGCATTGAGGATGAGGATGTGAGGGAACAGTACAAAGCTGCTGTACAGGAACGTAACGAAGTTCTTGTTGCAGCACGCAAGACGATTAGTGAATCTGACGAGGGCATCTTCTTTACGAGGGAACAACTCAATGGTGTACCGGCTTCTATTCTCGATGCAATGAAGACCAACGACGAAGGACAACTCAAAGCAACTTTCAAGAAGGGCCACATGATCTCAATCATGAAACACACCACCAGCGCCCAAACACGCAAAGCATACAACATGGCGAAAGAAAGCCGGTTTCCCGAAAATGTAACACGCCTCGAGCGCGCTGTCGAACTACGCAACAGCACAGCGCGAATGCTAGGCTTTAAAACCCACGCCGAGCTCAAAATGCAAGATAAAATGGCAAAAAGCGTCGAAAGCGTCATGGAAATGCTGAATAAACTCAGAACAGAGTTGAAACCCCTTGCAGATGAAGAGATGAACACGCTATTTAAGATAAAGAAGGCTTATGTCAGAGATAACGGTACTGATGAGGATGGAGATGATGTGAAGAGGCTGAATGCATGGGATTGGGCGTTTTATGCGAGGATTCTGGAGAAGGAGAGATATTCTGTTGATTCACTTCTTATCTCGGAGTATTTTGAGGTCAATCACAGTTTGAAGGGTATGCTGAAGATCTTTGAGGAGATCTTTGGGATGGTGTTTATACAGACTGATGCGCCTGTTTGGCAGGAGGATGTGACTGTCTACGAAGCGTGGAATTCTGAGGATCAAGGTGGGGAGTTTCTGGGATATCTGTACCTTGATCTTTATGCGCGAGAGGGGAAATATGCTGGTGCGCATAGCTCTCTCATCCAACCTGTAAGTCCCCCAAGTATAGCGAACGGATTTATCTACTGACATTGGGAAGGGCTTCGTAACATCAGACAACAAACGCCATCATCCCTCTTCATCACTAATAACATCCCTCCTCCACACGCCCTCACAACCAACTCTACTCTTACACTCCGAGTTAAAAACAATGTTTCACGAACTCGGTCACGCAATCCACAAACTCGTAACACACACCAAACACCAACACGGCTGCGCGCGCGATTTCGTCGAAATTCCCAGTATTCTTCTCGAGAACTGGATATGGGTTCCCTCCGTTCTTCAACGCCTTGGAAAACACTACTCCTACCTCTCCCCCGAGTACCTAACCTTCTGGAAAGCTAAGAACGAGGGCGAAAGACCGGATGAGATATTACCGGAGAGGTTAGCCCTGGATATCGCGAAGACAAAACATGTCAATGGTGCGCATGCGATGCTGTATCAAGTGTTTCTGGCGTTGTTTGATCTTACGATTCATAATGCTGAGGAGGGAAGGGCTGTTGATACGACGAGGTTGTGGAATGAGAGTAAGACTGAGATCATGGGGCTGGGAAGGGCGGATAGTATTGGACAGGCATCGTTTGCGCATCCGTTTAGGGCGTATGATGCTGCGTATTTTACCTATGCCTTGTAAGTCGCCACGACGAGAGTCGCGGGTGGTTGCTAACGAGTCACAGATCAAAGGTGTACGCGACGGACTTATGGGTTAGCCACTTCAAAACTGATCCGATGGACAAAGCGACAGGTCTGCGATATCGCGAGCTTGTGCTTCAGCCGGGAGGAAGTCAACCCGAACTCAAAAGCCTCACCAATTTTCTCGGCCGCGAACCCAACGACAAAGCATACTACGGCGAAGTCACCAGCACACCCCGAACAGAAACGACAAAATCGTCAGTATTGTAAATGCATTAAACTGCAATATTATCCAACGCTTATATGCAAAAGAGGGTATCATAGCAAGATCTATCATATGTCATACTCGCTCAATGCACCAGTCTCATCCTAGGAAACGGCGCAGCCTCAACATCAACAACGACCAATCCCTTCTCGTCCAACGATGCTCCGACATCTGTGATCGGCGTGATCTTTCTCGTGTGCGCAACTTCTTGGCGACTGACGCGGCCTTCGTCGCGAGGGATCCATAGGACGGGCTTTGGCATCCAGAGCTCGGGAGGCCAGTAATTAGATAGCTTCTCGTCCCCAGCGTAATCGGCGTCGGCAAGTTCTTCGAAGGGAATTAGTTTCCGCAAGGCGATGAAGTCTTCGTAGATCTCGGGGTGGAAGAATCGCTGGATGAAGGACGGCGGTTGATCCGGGTTGGACCTATCGCCAGGGAGAATCCATCTGTCCAAGAACTTCTTGACTCCCGACTCCTGTACCTCCTTCTTCAATTGCTCCTTTGTACTTGACTTAATCCACTCAGTCGCCATGAGTCTGAGACCACCTGCACCCTCAACGGCCCTCGAGTTTTGTGGTCCCTCGTGAAGTTGATCGTCTTCGTCATCTGTCGGCGTCTCCTCGAACTCTTCTTCTCCAAAGTTCTGTTCCGTATCGAAGTAGCTGGCAGCAGTTCCGCCGTTGGCCTCTCCCGATTCCGCGGCTGCCTGAAGCTTTGCCTCCGCTTCTGCCTTCTCCTTCTCCTGTAGTTCTTCCTCTAACGCCAATGTCTGTGGAAGATTCTGAAGCAGAGGCGAGATGGAGTCTCGTAAGGACATGTGCACGATGACGGTGAAAATAAGGAAGATGAGCATCAACACCATAGGCGGGAAGGCGAAATTAATGGCAAAGAGACCAATCATGCAGATTTCGGCCAAGTAGAGTCCGGTAATGAGCTGCATGAGGGCGGTGGGGTAGAACAAGCCCATGCTATCCATTTCCGAGTCGAATACGTAAAGAATGTTGTATCGGTAGATGAGGCGCGTAAAGGCCATTCCGGCGCATGCGAAAAGGAGGATCAAAGGAGCGATAACTGTGTAAGAGAAGGCTAGGCACGTTAGCAGAAGAAGTGGGATGGTTTGTCGTACGGCTTACCAATGCACGCCATGTTTGTATAGATGGGAAAGATGCCGCCCCAGCGGGGAGGACGAAGGTTGTACCAAACATTGAAGCGAGTCCTTGGGTTCTGCACGACTCTACCGAATGCGTGATGTCGGATCAGCTCGAAGATGTGTAGAAGACCGGTAGCTCCAATGGCCAAACACTGGACAAGGATGTAAGAAAGGTAGAAGTTTGACGCCTTGGGGAGGTTTGTGGCGAGGAGACTGGGTGTCGACATCGGTTGCTGGATGATTTGCATGGTCGTAGCCGAAGCGGCCGATGTTAACGTCGTGATCAAAAAGACTTGTACTACTTGGAAAGCAAAATAGACCTTTTGGGTGAACAACTCGACCAGTACCAAAGAGGGAATCCCTGCTTGGACACCACAGACTAGGGAGGTTAGTAGACGGCAATGAGGGCGTGGGAATAAACCTACATCTCAACATCGCCGGGACAAGCGACATCCAGAATGACAGAGCGATGGCAGGGATAAAACCTTGCAGGAAGCCAAGGATAGGACTGGGCAATAGCTTGATCCATTTAAGGAACACGATACCACTCAAGAATTTGATGTTGGACACGATACCGATCATGGCAGATGGGATAGACCAAAATATGATCGCAACGGCAATGAGTGCCATGATGAGCAAACGCCGAATGATGCGCTCCCACCAACGCATTCGAAGGGCACTCCAGACTACCTCATTTGGTCGAACGCCTAAAAGACGAGGAGCGAGCTGAAGAGGACGATGATGAGCGACGACTTGGTGAGCAGCTTGTGCAGCTTCCTGCGTGTCGAACTCGATGAATGCAGCAGGAAGTGTCTGTCCATCGCCACGGCGAACCTGGCGTCGAAGCTTGAAGATTTCGAGGTTCAGTTCCTTCAGTTTCATGCGACACCATCGAATAGTGTCGACTCGTCGAAAAAAGTTGTGCAGTGGACGATGGTGGGGTCTTGCTGTTACGGAAAGCCATTGAGCGGCGACGGATCCTCGTACATCGGGGAGATTTGGGTTAAGACCGTATGGGTGGACATATTCGGGGTCCTCGGCGGACTTTTCGAGTATATCGTGGTTGTTGTGAATGGTTCTAGTTCTTTCAGATACTTCAGTAGTAGACTTGTGCTCCTGGATTCCTCCCTGCTCGTTCTCTTGTACGTGAGTTTCCGATGTCTCGATATGTCGCGGAGTCCCTGTGCGAGGCTCCTCGCTGCTGGGTTCAGTCCTCCATGAAGAACTTGAATCTCCAGAGGATGCTTCGGCGCATGGTTCGGCGGAGGATGCAGTCGATGGTGGGTTCTTGCCGAGTTGCTTCTTTCGTGCCATGTTTGCCTTTTTGATGAGTGCAATCTCTGCCTTCTCTAGGCGCATTGCCGTTTGCTCTCTTTCCTGTACTAATTTGACAAGAGCCTTGGCAGTTCGTGGGATCCAGACTCGTTTTACAGAGTCGCCATAGAGTTTCCGCAGCCGAGCTTCGTCGAGGTATCGCTCAGGGATAGAAGTGATGAGTACTGTCCTGGATGATAGCCGCTTGGCATAGTGAGGAGACGAGAGATAAGCTTGACGAATGCCGACATAGTAGAAGCACTCTCGAACAACGGTGAAGAGAATAAAACCTGATCAATTAGTAGTGCCATTGAGCGCTACAAGTTAAGCACTTACCAAAGAACAAATAAGCAACAGCGACATGGGCAAACATGCGTTTTTGGTTCTCAATCATACCAATTGTCAACATGTCCAATTGGGTGAGTTTCTTGCCTCCAGTAAGGTGGACAGGAAAGAGAATCGGCCAAGCAATCAGCATGCCGACAAGGAACGTGTTTCGCAAGACTTTGAGGTATCGCAGAAAGAAGAATCCGTCAAGAGAGCCATGATTAAGCACGAAAGTATCTGGAGTTTTGAAGAATGGCTTGATCCAGTTGAACCAGCCATTGGGAAGTGGCGGTATAGCCGTGCTACAAGGCTGTCAGCAATGATCGAGAGCTGAAATATTTGCTGCTTACTGAGGGGAACGCAAGCTGGGTATCGCTCGCGGAGAATAGACTCGATGACATTTAACGCGAAAAACCGAGAAGAATAAGATGCAAATAACGCAGTAAATGATGACGGGTATAAATGTTCCACCAAGAGATTGTAGCGATGACGATTTTGAAGCATTGTTGGAGCTTAGAGTGCCACCACTGGAACCATCTCGCGTAGAACCAACCCGAGAGTCATCGCCCTCCTAGATACTGATCAGCCACTTGAGGTGCAATTAGAGTTAGAGTTGACGAAAACTTAACTTACCACTGGTAGCTCAAACGCTCTCGCAATGAGAGAATGCCAATTGGCGGCCATGTCGACGGCGCGAATGAAGATCAATGGATAGAGAATGGAGCAGGCAGGCTCAGATTAGCTTCGAGATAACGATAAAAATGCGTCGCCGCATCGTTCGTTACCTCGCAACGAAGCTGGTGAAGGCCAAGATCACAGACATGGATGATATATCGTTCTGCTGCGAGGTGAGAGACACTCTAGATCGATAAAGTGAGGCAGAGATGATCGAGATGAAGTCGTCGGGGTGATGTTGAAAGTGGGATGTTTGTCTGTGTCCGTGTCCTTCGGGTGAACAAAAAGTGGGTGGGCTACCTCTGGAAAGACGGCATTAGAGACGAGGCGACAGGACAGGGAGTCTTGTAGCGATCATTGCGGCGCAGTAAGCCCAACTTTTAGGGACCTGTCAACCATTGACAGCCTGGAGTGTCCAGTGGAGGTGAGGTGATCACTCGAATTTCCTGTTCTGTCCTCCTACATCGGCAATCATTTATCGCATCGGTTTCTTGGCGAATTAGCCGATGTGGCTTTCTCAACTGAAGAAATTCACGATGAGGAGAAGGGCGGAAATTTAGATTCGCTGTAAGGGTCTCGTTGCATTTCAACGAGAGCCAATGAATGCTTTATCGGGAGCACAGCCCATACAGGGGGGGTCGAGTCTAGACCACAGGTTTACGAATTCCCCACGTATTGCAGATCCAAATATCGCAAACCCTTGTTTTCAGCTCGGATATCCAGATGACTTATGGGTCAGAGAGTTTAAAGTCATAGTGACGTTTCGGCTATAACCAAGGATTATGCCCTCGGTTCTGTGATGAATCGTGGTGATCGACTCAGGATTTTCACTCGGATATGCCCGTTTAGGGGGTCCCGCTTATGCGGTCATTATCCCGTCGGTCACATCTTGATCCCTGTCAGTTGAGACATGGTCTGAGCTGATAAAGTTTAACCTCAACGTCGGGTCTTCCGACTTGACCAACGTTTTGACACGATGACATCGGAGGAAAATACCTGATAGGTATAGTTGATCTGTCACTTTGATATGTTATTACCGGTTAAACATGCAGAAAAGAGCCTCCTAATCCTGTTTCGATCTAACCCCAAGAAATAAAACGGTCATGTCGGGGAACTTGGTAGACAAGTCATGCTGTATTAGTTAAACCGAACCAGGTATTTCCAAGATAGAGTTTTGATTTGGACCAACAGTTGTGACACAAGGGTGAATGAAGTTCTTGGAAGCCGATAGAACCTAACCGAGGAATCTTGCAGCCTCAACTGCAAGATCATCCCTCCAATAGCGTGCCGAAGCCCCATCACTGACTGCTCGCGAGGGCTCGGCAAGATGTGTCAAGCAGGTCTTGACGCCAGTTACTGTACTACCAAATCAAGTTCTTAGCACCCCCTTTTCATATGCAGGAACAGCAGCTGCCGGATTAGGGACGGCCTTGCGAGGTGAGGAAAAAGGCTGAATCAAGGTTTCCGGAATAGGGGTTCCGGAACAGAGCCTGACGAGAATGCTCTGACTACGAAGACAAACTTGAAAAGGAGCTATGGCCAAGGCACAGGAGCATCCCTTGCTATTTCGTGCAGTTAATCAATAGATCAGACGAAGTTTATCGTGTTTGATCTGTGATTGCTGTAGCCCTGTTGGGCTTGAAATCTGTTGGGGATGAAGTTATTCTGTTACTGACCAGGGGGAATGGATATCACTCAGACCATAGACCTTACTTCGCGTTGATAAAGATCTAACCAAGAGATATTATGGTTGTTGCAAAGAGAGATCTATAATACAGGGTTTGTGATAATTCCATATTATTTGGGTTCTCTTTTGTTCAACTGTTTGCTTAACTGCTGTCTTCCGTACAAACCCGGGGATGACAAAACCCTGCTGCCTGTACCTTTGTGCCTGCCCTGACATTTCTCACTGGGTCTCTGTATCTAGAAATGGCTTGGTCTCATTTCCTGGCATGCATTACGCTCACCTTTCTCCTCCTCACATCTCCCTCTCAACACAATCCTGAACAGCATACCGAAGAGAGGGGAAGTTTGAAAACCTGAGACCTCTATCCTAAACGAAGAAAGCACTTATGCAAGTTTAGGATGAACTTTAGGGAAGCTGCCGGTTAGGTATGTCGTGATTTTCGTCTCTTGGGATCAAAGGCCTCAAGTCTTCTGCCCCTGGAGCTTACCAAGGTAAGGGAGAGGAATTTACCCTCTGCACGAGGGGAGTTATGAGTTAGAGAAAAAAGCTACTTGATAGGAATATAGAAAGAGATTCACGGTTTTATATTCAGTTCCAGTTTGCTATTGGTCCCTTGTTATCTAGGCTAGAAAAATGAGGCTTCCGCCATCCTCGATTTCCAACCCCTCAGCAGCAATCGCCAACAGCCTCAACTCTATCAAACTTTACCAAACAACCAATCCTATTCACCACCACAATCAACAAAATCCCAGCTTTGACTTTCGTGCGCAAAATAGACTCCCAGCCCTCGATAAAGAACACATCACCACTTGCACATATTATTCCCCTCACCATGGCTAAACCAAATTTCTCCCAACTTCATCACCTCCGCCGGCTCTGCTCATGGAAACCATACGCTCACTGGCTCAGCCATGGAATCCTGCTACCTGCCGGCTGCTCTGAAAGAGCCAGATCCGCACTTCCACAAATTTCCAGATCTGCCCCGCGATGTCCGACTCTTGATTTGGGAGGCATCACTTCGTCCGCGGCCGTCGAAGAACTACAATGCGGTGCATAGCTTTCGAGTCGAGAATTGGGAAGCTGAGGATGAGCGGTCGCACGAGACGATTGTTGGCCACAAAAGTCCGAAGATATATGGGGGGAGGAATTGCTCGTGTCGTCATCACTCGGAAGTCACCGTGGAACTGGAAACTGGGAAGATGACAACCGCTCTCGACGCCATATCAAAATGCCCCGAAGAGGCAAAATCGGCGTTTCATTGGGACTACGGGATGTGGACTGCTTGTGCTGAGTCTCGATGGGTCATAAGCCGGCGATTCAGGAAGAATCAATGGCGTGGATTGAAGAAGGCTGTCGTAAAGGACTTGAACGTCAGACCCTTATCGATGTGTTCGCCGCTGAAGGTTGAGAGGGCTTGGCAGGAGGAAAACAGGTTGGAGAAAGGCAGTGACCAAAAACTTCGTAGAAGTCAGTGGTATGAAGATTTTGCTTCGGTTATCAACATAGACGATATGTTCTTTAACATTGTCGCGACTCACCCGGCGAGAGATCTTTTCATCATCCATGATGAACGTTGGATGCACACAATTGTACCCCAGGCCACAATCCAAGCACAAGAACAAAACGCAATCAAATTCTTTCAAGAAAACGCCATCTCCGCGACAAGCACTGGCTCTCCCATCATCGGAAACATCGGCTTCGTCTACGACAGCAACTGGGTCGATGGCCTCACCCGAAACGACCCCAATCCCACGACCCTGTCCCTCCAAAGAATCAGTAACAACCCAAGAGGACACTTCCTGCTCCTCCTCTACCTCTGCGTCATGCGGATGCTGAGCCTACGACTCTGGCTCATCGATTACGAACATACACCGTGCGACACATGCAAGACGAAAGAAGATGCCGAGGAGGAGGAGAAGAAGAAGAAGAAGGAGCGAAAGGTGTTCTACAGATATGGGGAGGAGGATCTGGTTGAGGTTGATATCCAGCCCAATGTCATGTGGGTTATGGTGGACAATGCGAGGTGTATTCTTGGTACTTCATGCGGATTTGCTGAATACCTCAGTGGTGATCCCTTGGTTACCACTGCTCCCACCAACCCTGATCCTTTCGATGTCTGGAAGTGCGTTGGTGTTCTTGCGCCAAGGTCGAAGGTTCCTTGCTTGAGTGATTGAAGGTTGATGTGTTGTTTGTCGCTTGGGCTTCGTCGAGGCGTTGGGAGAGCTGAGTCCTCTACACCGGAGGTTCAAACTAAGTTACTAGTCAAAGAGTCAGCTAAATTAATCCTAAATTATCCTAAACTTACCTAAGCCTTTGTGTCACTTAGGACCTAAAGTCCTCAGTTTTATGCTCTGTTTTATGCTATCCAGTAGGGCCCCTCCTCAGGGCAGCCAAGTCTCCAGCGCTGTCAGAGGAGACGATCGAAGGAAAAGAATAAACAGTAAGCGTAGAAGTAGGTCAGAATGCAGTAGATACTCGTACTGTTATCTGGAATCGTCTCCTCGTCCATTGAGGCCCTGGTGTCAGTGCTGAGTGAAGCCCCTAAAGCCCACAAAAGAAGCCCCAAGAGGTTGTGAGCTGCGTATTGCAAGGACTTGGATATCAGGCGTCACGGGCACTTGAAATTGATAAAAATCTTTGTCAATAAAGCTTACCAAAATATGATCATTAAATAGAGTTCTTCGAATATGTTGAAGTGATGTGTCCAACATTAGCTTTGGTACGAGAAGTCTGGAGGGTAATTCACGTTTAGCACTGCGAACCAGCTGCCTGGGAGCTTTGTAGACCACCAAGTAACACTTATTTGTCCTGTTTGGCTTCTTATTAGACTCCTATAGCTTGTAAAAAAATCTTTTGGGCAATGATAGTTTCTCTCCGTCATCCTCCGCCCTGTCTTGCTTTCACTTCCTATCAACATCCGTCATGAACGCACATCAAGGCCGGGAGGTCTCAAATGAGCACGATGTGGCTATCATCGCAGACCTCCTCGCATCTGAAGCAGGAGACCAGCGAGATCGTCAATACGCGCAGGCACTTGAGCATCAGCACATTGAGGAACCAGAAGGCGACGATAACATATCAGACGAGGAAATGAACGATGAGTTTGTTGATGATCTTGACGACCTGCCTGACGGAGTATCAGACTTCGAACTTGAAGCAGACGCGGAGGAGCGTCAGCTCACTGAGGAACCAGATGACCAAGACGACATGTCAGACGACGAAATGAACCTTGACGACGAGGATCTTCGTGATATGCTTGACGACCTTTCTGATGGGCTACCAGACTTTGGACCTGAAGAAGAAACAGAGCAGCAGGACCAACAACTCATCGCCCCCGAGGACCCTGCCACACAAACATCTCCTCAACCAAGAACGAAAGAATGTGACGTCTGCAAGGGGACGTTCCCTATCATGACAACCCTGAGACTACCATGCTCGGACAGCTGCTGCCATCCATGCCTCATCAGACACCTCACAGCATCTCTGAAGAACGAATTTCTCTTCCCGCCCAAATGCTGCGGCGAAGAGATCCCTATCAAAACCAGCGAACGCTTCCTACCATCTGATCTGGTACAGCAGTACCATGAGAAGATGGTTGAGCACAAGACAAAAGATCGGACTTATTGCATCAATCTTCAATGTCTCAAGTTTATTCCACCCAAGAACCTTTCCGAGTCCGGTGAGCCGTGCTACAAGGACGAAGAGCAGTGCAGCAATTGCTTCGAGATCACTTGCACCAAGTGCAAGAGCAAGGCGCACAACGGCGCGTGTGAGAAGCAGGTCGCGAGAGATCAGGTCTTGGCTCTCGCGGAGGAAGAAGGTTGGAAGCAGTGTGGACGGTGCGGCCACCTCATCGAGTTGACCCTTGGTTGCATCCACATGGGTAAGTCTCCAAACCAATCCATCAGCCCCTTTTCACATTTACTGACTTATTTCTCGTAGAGTGTTCCTGCGGTCATGAGTTCTGCTACATCTGTGGTAAGGAATGGGGGGGGATGCGCATGTAGTGAATGGGGGGACAATCATTTGGCTCCTCAGTAGCACGAACCTGTTGCTCTTCCGCCGCCACCGCCTGCTCCAGCATCATTACAATGAGTAAAGTGGAAGTTTAGGTTCCATATAGACTCGAAGGAATGTTGAGCATTGTAAGATATTCGCTTGGAACATGTATGGGTGACAGAAGGATTCTGGAGATGAGATTATTAAGAAGCTGCCCAGAACATATTGACGTCACACCCAGTGGAGTTTTGTAAAAGTCTTGTCAATAACTTTAGGAAGGCAACAGTCTCTGTATGAGTATAATGATAGGAAACTTTTATTCGTATCGTGTTGTGGTGAAATAAGGATGGACAAATGCTCAGCAGTTTCAGCATGGTCAACTGCGAGGGTGTCCCGAAGCTGTACACTTGATACGTGAAATCAAGATACAAAACATGTGACTCGGTAGCTCAAACTTAAGTCGTGTCAGTGCTGTAAATACCTGAAGCTCATCCAAGTGTTCGCTGACTTGGGCGATTGGAGATGTTGTATTACGGATACAGAGGTTACGCCCTTTGGGTATGCATAGACTTTATGCAGAAGCACTACTACAGCACATATTAATGCAAAATACAAAGATATCAATCCGAGTTTTCGTGATATTTATGTCCAGAAAGCCCCAGAAAGCGCTCGTTGAAGGACAACATACAGTACACGGCTCCCACTCGGTGGATGCCTACCAAGGCCGAGCAAGTCGTAATTGAAGCACCGGGAAATTCTCACCATCTCGAAATGCCACCGCGGACCAAACTCTGCAGCTCTAGCGTTATTAATAGAAGGGAATAAAAATATATGTCACCAATCTAACTATAAAAAACAATATTTGATGCGACACTTGCTGCGCAAACTCATGGTAATGGCAAGGCCGTGTCGAAGTTTGTCAGGCAACGGGGACGCAGCATCAGACAAACATGCAGTTTACTAAGAACTTTGTTGACAAGTTTTCAATCAATGCATTCAATCTGGTATCGAACAAGTCTCATTTGTCGCAAAGACAACGCAGAGTGCTTCACATGGATTGGCAGAGGGCGACTCACATCACCCTAGCTATTGCTTTTGACTGACATCCAATGATGTATACAATGTCCATCCCAGAGATACATGGACGGAGGTAAGAAACACTTCGTCACGTTCAGCACCGTGAGGCATTTCATAACTTACCAAAACACCACCATAAAAGTCCCCAGTCAAACGGGAAACATCTTAAATACAAAACTCATCGACATTCTCTCTATCTTACAGACTACGATATCTACTCTTGGCAAGGACAGAGTACACTGGACCACCCTCCTTCATCGTTACCAATTTCTTCCGCTATCATCACGACTGCTTCTCGACACCAGCACATCATCATCACCATCATCGTCACAACATCACATACCCCACCATTTCCACCAACTCATCAATACATCCCCACAACCTTTCCAACATCGACGGAGAACCATCAATAGAGAACCATCAACGGAGGAATATTCCCCGCTTCTTGCCACACTGTTTGCAAACCGAATACTTGCAGCGTGTGCATTGCCACAGGAACGCAGGCAGGATGTGCAGGCAGTCAAAGCATCGACCCGACATCTTCACTTCCCTCATCAAAGGGTGCTGGCAAGCCCCATTCTGAGTCTCGGCACGAGGTGTTGCATTGTATCGCTGGAATATCCCCTCAAACTGCTTTCGTTGTCCTCGGAAGGGCGCAACGTTAGGTCGAGCAGTCTGAAAGGATGACGCCTTTTGGATAGCTTCACCCTTTTCACGGCGCTGGCGGGCATCCCACCACTGGCATTTACAGTTTGCTCTGCTACTGTTGCATTGGTAGCAACAGTCAGGGCAATCTATTGAGAGGATTTGTTAGATTGGTACAAGATTTAGTGGAATATTACTTACAACAGCCCTTTTCAATGGCTTTATCACACAAATGACACTTATTCTCATTCTCGCTTCCTTGAGATGACCCAAATCCGCTGAAAGAGTACTCCGATTTCTCCTCGGCCGAAAGCGGGGGAAGAGGGGGAAGAGAGGGAAGAGAGGGAAGCGGCTTGTCACCCCGTTCACCGACGTCACCCTTTTCACCCACATCAGACGCCTCGAATTTCCTCGACAGGAAATCGTACGAAGTCTTCTTATCGAAAACAGAAGAGTTGATGTTAACGGGGATTGGCAGTTCGCAACAGACAGGAGGGAAAGGAGTCGACCCGTGGATTGAAGCCTTGACTAGGTCATTGAAACAGTCAGAACAATACTGATGATTGCAAGCGCATGTGATGACAGTATCAGCACAGTCATTGGCACATTTAAAGCACTTGACAACCTTGTCATTCTTATGAACACTGTTTGCAGTTGTAACTGTGTCGTCACCGGTGATGGACCTAGCTGCGGACTGTGCCTCAGCATAGATAGTGAACTCATCATCGGGAGCCGAAGTAGTCCCCTTGGGGGAGAAGGGGACACCTTCGGCGGTCTGTACCAGAAGCTCGGCCTCAGACTCAACAGAGTGGTTGGTGGTAGGGTAGACATCGAGCGCGACAGTGCCATTCTCGACCTCTTCTACCTCCTTAGCGACAGTGCTTTTAGGAGGGAAAACATCCTCAGTAGTAGCCGAGATAAGGCCGGCAGGAGAGGGATCCCCATCAAAAGAAATAAGGTCCTCATCATCTCCATCGTGGTGGAGGTGGGAAGTTGGTGCTGGGGATGCAACTCCAATGTTGACATCTTCGACATGGCGAGTAGCCAAGTCCTTCAAAGGGGTCCCATGTTCTGCCTCTCGAGAGGAGATTGACTGGCTGGAACTCTGGGCCTGGGCTTCAATGATGTGACCCACATCCGCTTGGGAGAGGAAGGCAAGAGCAGTGCGTGTGACCTTTGCGATCTTGCTGTTGTCCGGGTGGACAGTCTCCAACTCCAAGAGGGTCTTGGGAGGAGCGCCAGCGTTGTCATCGGAATAGATGTCAGAGGGGCAATCGTCTTGAGGGAGCACAACGTTAGTAAAGAAATTTAATACAACAAGCAAATGGTGCGTTACCTTGAAGAGCGGCATCAAGACGGGCGAAGCCACTCTGAGATGCAATCGCCACAGAACTGGCAGCAGGAGTTCCACGAGGGGGGGTGGTCACGACATCACCGGCAGAGTCGGAAGAAGACGCAATAGTGGCAGTAGTGGAGGTAGTCAAATGGTGCTCCTAGGCATCCTCTTCGAGGTCCTCCGGCTGGCCATCTACGTGAAAGTCGTCTAAGGAAGTCAGTCAGCGATGTAATGGCCTGAGTGTGTTGATATTTACCTGTGGTGCCAGCAGCGACGGTAAGAGGTGTATAGACCTGGCGAGTAGGTGTCGTGACCAAGGAAGAAGTAGCGCGAAGCTCCTCAAGATCATACTCGGCGGCAAAAAAGTCTTTGTTTACTCGAGCGTTGACAGCAGCTTCGTTGAATGCCGTGCCCCCAGCGGCAACAAGTTCCAAGTGGGGACGGACAGACATCAAGTCATGGATGATAGGTGGCAAAACATCTTGCTCTGGGTTCTGTGCCTCCCACTCAAGGATGTAGTCAAGCTGGAACCGCGCAGCCTGCTGCAAGTCTGCGTTGTACGCGGAAGCCATGACGGCAACGGCGACAGAAGAAGTGGGGGAACAGAGTTAAGTGACAGTGGAGAACGGAATAAAAGATGAGGAGAAAACGGGATGAAAGTTTGGTGAAGTGTTAAATATTGTTTGCGAGTGTAGGAAGAGGTGAATGTTGATGAAGTGAAAATGGTTGAAGGTGGGGGAGGAGAAGAAGGATGAAGATGGGAAGAGTAAGGCTAGCCTGGTCCGTTGTCGGGGGAATATCAGAAATTGCAGAAGGTGCGGATGGGCTAGGGCAAGGCAGCCTCAGGCTTGACGTCGACTTGAGGTAGGAGCCCAGATGCGCCCCTGAGGGCACCCCAAGAGGGAACTAGCCCGGGCGTGGCACTGTCGACGGGGCACTGGGTTGAAACCACTTGAATTCAAGGGTATCAGGGTATTTTTGGACCTATAGTGCTTGATATAGAGATATAGATGTTGAGAAAGTGATAATATATATGTTAGATGGATATAAAAGGGGATATGATGGAGTGTATCTCATCCTTTTATAGGGATCGAGGTTTGCATGCTGCTGGATGTTATATGCCCCCCTCACTAGCACAAACAACACATAACAATAGACTTATTGTACCCAAGACCTCAATAAGCAAACAGCATTGATGCCTACTCGTATTCATTCACGTTCATGACTACCTATTGTTGCAAAGATTGCCTGCCACCAGGGAGCAAGAACTTCAGACATTAAGATAGGATGCCAAAATAAACTTACTAAAGAGTACCCTAAACTTATGATAATTTACCTAAATCTTTTCATTGCTTAGGATTGAGGCCCTAAGTTTTCTTGCCTTTCCTAGCTGTAAATAATGAAGCCGTACTCAAGGCAAACATCCACCACATTTCAGTCACTTGAAGAATCCCATGCATCCATCTCTGTGCCAAACAAAAACCTTTCAGTCCCGTTCTACTATACATATGATCAAGCTAAGCATGCCCTAGCTCTCACGCCATTTTGTTGCTTTTCCTTACGCCTTGTCCGGATCAGTTCCCCCTCAAGTCATCATCGTCTTCAACGCCATCCCCAACGTCAAAACAGAATGATCCTCGCCCATAACCCCAGGCGGTTTCTTGTCCAACCCCAAAAGCCCATAAACAGCCAACTGCGCCGACCTAACCGAATACTCCATCGTAAACGTCACCTCCCTCTCAATCTCAACAAACTGCCCCATCAAACCCAAGTTCTTACTTCCATCGGGTATAACATTTGGTCGATCGCCTTTCTTCCGTGTCAAGAATGGACTTCCGATTAACGGCATCAGACAAGGGATAGTGATGGAGCGCTCGAGGGTGGGTTGGAGGGGAAAGGCCATGAGATGAAGAAGCTCGGTGAGGATTTCGGCGCCGGTGCATTCGAGCATGGGTTTTCTGACGTAGCGGCCTTGTTGGTCTGGGAAGAGGCCGTAGCCCCAGAATATGAAGACGTCGGAGGGTTGGTCCCTTACGTAGGGTTGTTGGGGGATTGTGAGGGATAGCATCCAGGGGCAGTCGCGGAAGGTTATCAATGGTACAGCTCCGGTTAGTGTGCCGGTCCAGGTACGTAAGTGCTCGAAGAATGCTGGGTCGCGAAGGGTGACAGTGAAGGAGAGCCATGTTGACTTTGAGGGTCGGTCGAAGAATGCCTCGGGGTTACCAAATGTCTTGGGGCGCTCGAGCGCAAGTCTATCCCAGAAGGTCCACGATGGGTCGAGCTCGTGTGGTGCTGAATCACGAAGCTCCATCGTCGGCGGCGGTTGGCTATTTGTGCCGTAACCCATTCCAGATGTGAGGGAGCCGAGTGTGAGAAGTACAAGGTCATCAGGCCCAGTTGTTATCAAGACATGCTTATTGTCTTGGTATGTTTTCATGGCAGACACTCGAAAATCAGAACCAATATCTTCGATCTCCAGACCGCTAACTTGGATGCCTACATAGGTCAGCAACATCCTTTCGAACGATAACCCGAACTTACCATGCCTGAACTCAACATCCATCGTCTTCAAATACTGCGACAAAGGTTTGATGATCGCCTCAAAGTCTTCCTCGGGCGCTTGCTCCACGCCAGATAGTGTCCCCATGTTGGGAAACTCATGCAACATCCTATGCAGGCATCGCCTGAACTCAACAGCACTACACCAAGGGTGAAACCGATTGAGCGACGACCATAAATCCCAAAAGTTCGTTTCGAAGAAGTCCGGTTCGAATAAAGCTTGAATCTCAAGGCCCTCCAACTCTTCCTCCGTTTCGAGAACCACTCTCATCAAGTCGCACTGGTTCTTGACACTCAAGCCCATTGTGCTCACATCGACTGCTTCAGGTTTCTCATTCCCATTATCGTCAATGACCTGCCTCACTAGTCTCGTTCCTGATGCGCCTAATTTCTTCCTTGCTTGGTTGAATCGGTGTAATTTGGCTGCCAGTGTCTCGCCCTCAATATCTGACGGTACCTTCTCCAACATCCCATACAAACAATGATAAGTGAGACTCATTTTTCGAATCGCAGATACTCGATACCCTGTGTCCCATGATGGCTTCGAGAACGTCGCCATTGATCCACCAGCTTTCGCCGATGCCTCGAGAATGTGGATATGACCACCCGGCACCTTCGCATCTTCGATCAGAAAGACAGCGGCGGCAAGAGATGCAATACCGCCGCCGACAAGCCACACATGAGGACTCTTCGCATCGGCGTCATTAGTACTCTCCGGGCTGTTGCTGAGACTAATAACCCCGTTGTTCTCATCGGGCGAATTTTCGTGTTTGTCATCCATCCTCAATTCCGGAGTTGCAAAATGTCGTTCGATTTGGCTTACTCTAGACCAGGGATTGTCGTGATCGCTGCAAGCGAGAAAAGATCCTTGCGAAGAACGGAACGCATGTAATTGGTAAGAATCCTTTTGCTTTTTTATCTTTCGACAAGTTTAGCTTTCACTAGCTTATTTAGAGAAGAAGGAGGCAAGATCGATCGAGTTTATCTGGGGAAGAAGGGAGATCACGAGAGAATGGCGAAATTTTTATGACTGGGCTGGGCCTCATTCAGCACGAACCCTTTCACGGCCCGGTCCATCCATTACAAGAGACACATATATGATGACTTATCACGTACATTGGCGCCTCTCTTGCTAGATTTTGTTTGAGACTTTTCCCAGCCTCAGGTCGTGGACAAATGAAATGTTGCTGTTATGAAATATGGGAGCATCGTACGATGTTTAGTTGGCGTGATGCCGGGTGGACCGGACAGTCATCGGAAGCGGGCCGCTGATTGTGACGGAGGATGAAGGATTGACCTCCGGAAGGCGCCGGCCCTTGAGAATTTGTTGATTGTGTCATTAACAGTCTATATATGCGTTGAACTATTACTCATTGTGTCTTGAGATGTCTCATACATCAATTGATTGACTGTGACATTGATTGTCATGGTTTTGTTGACGTCTCAACCGTTACGCAAAGATCATATCATGAAAACTCAATGGCCAATGCACCCTTGGGTCTCGGCCTCCGTGGGCCGTTGAGCTACCGTAGCGCGACGGGACTTTCAAGTCCAGAAATGGCTGCTATCACTCACCAGCCTCGAGGAGCAAGAACACCTCTGAACTTTCACAAGGGTGCCCAAAAATGACTGGTCTAAAGGCCTACTAGGTTACACTAAACTCACCCAAGTCTTTTTGTCATTTAGGATACAGTACCTAAGTTTTCTTGCCTCTCCTAGACCAGTTGCGTCGTCTAAAACATGCTTATTTTATAGGCCTTTTTAGGTTCGAATTGTTACAGTGGGAAGAGATAGCTTTGATGCATGGAGACAGCAAGAAAGCCTCAGCCACGGCGCCACTTGACCTCCAGCTTTTCCATACAAGACTTCTTAGAATGATGGCTCCATTTGACATCTTCATTATTCGGACGACACAGATAAATGGTTGCCGAAAGAAAAATAACAGAAGAGCATACATCAATTCAATGATATGACAATCCATCTTCCGGACCTCAGGGTCTACGGCCCCGCAAATAACCTTCCGGATGGTGGACCTTCAACGGCCGGGTCAGGGTTTAACCACAACAAGGGTCTCATTTCAAAGACGATTCTTGCATCATAAACAACATACACAAGTTTGACATTTCTCCGTGAAGAAAAAGCGCCGAAGTTTGTACATCATTGTGCCGTGGTTTGCGCAGATCCGGGTAGTATCCGATGCACTGAGCCGTGAGTTACCGGTGTCAATGAGTGTAATGTCGGATGGTTGTTGAAATATTGCAACTTGAAATATTTCATGTTTGCTCAGAGCACACGACGGATTAATTATGCAGCGACTTTGTGTTAGACGGTGATCGTCAAACAGCAATTGCTAATCTACAGACGAGCTTGGTGGGAAGATATGTAGCACATCGCTTGGGTCATTGGCGGCTTTTAAACTCATAATCACAAGACGTCTTCGCTATCAAACAGGTTTGTTAGAGCAGACAGTGCACTTCTTTTCTCGGCGTAATGATAGCCCGTATCAGTTCCCGAATTTAAATAGGGCTAAAGTTGTTGCGACAGACAAAATGGTCAGAATATGCAGGTTCAGCAGATCAAATGGTTGCTTCCCGCCCCCAAACAAGAGTCCAACTCCTCTCGGCCTTTCTCAGACTAGAAAATAATGGCGCATCATAGCCGAATGCGGCTCAGCGTCAAAGCCAAGGACCAGTTCACTCCTCAACGTCACCACCAAGAAGCATCATCCGAATATCCGTTCAAGAGCCTCAAGAACCTCGGCCCAAGACATCAAATCTTATCAATCTAACCTCTAGAGCATCTCAAACCACACTAGAAGCCGAAATCGCAGCTTTGCCACGTCTTAACCCCCACCA